TTTGGAAGCATGAGTGGACCACTAAAGCTTGGAAGTTTTCGAACTTCCGGAATAGTTTTCTCTGTTGTTGGCTGATTGTCATTCTCGAACCTAATAATGAAAAAATGCAAGTTGAATTAATTCAAATATAAAGCACAACGTGCCACAGAAACACAGGCCACAATAGGGCTTCAAAAGTAAAAACATTCGACCTTCAGAAAAATAGTAAAAGAGTAAAGAAAATTAATTTAAGATTAATAGAAAAGTAAAATCAAGATTTTACAGAAATCGTATCTCCCTATACTGTTCAATTCTGAAAGATTTTGCATTCACCTCATTAAAAGCTTGCATTGCCAAACAAACACTTCGCATTTTCTGTTGCTCTTTATCTTTTGGAGCAAACTTTAAATAACAATGCAATCATGCAAGGCCATTTTGTCAAAGCCGAACACTTTCCTTTCACAAGGACAAAAGAAAACTACAATAGAAGTCCCAATTCAATAATTAACTATCTGCAACTAAATCTGTGATTCATTAAAACAAGTTGGTCAACATAATACCTCCCTGTTGCCTTGATAACAATTATGAGCCCCGTTAGCATGTGAGAATAACAAAAGAAACTGTATTCCTTGCATATTTCAAAACCAAATGTAGAATTATAATTCATGCTAGCATGTTTAAGGAGTGTGGCCATTACACATCTCAACAAATGAAACGATCACTCCCGCAACAAGTATCAAATATCATTTCAAACAGATCCTAACATAATAACTTCTCTTATTAATAGTGAAGTGCACAAACCTTTCTGAAAAACGCCCCTTGTCCGATAATGAATGGCCAAGTACAGCACCCGGCACTAGTGGTCCACTCTGAGTTTGACGACTCTTCACCATTTTAGGCTTTCCCTGTGTCATTTCCCTTTCAGAGGTTGATGCTTTTTCATCATCATTTGATCCAAGTTTCTTCCAACCAATTTTTTCTTCTACCATGTCACTTTCCAGAAACTTGCCCTTTCTGTTCAAGCTTTCAGCCTGCAGTATTCCATCCTCATCTATTTGTGTTCTGCACTCAGCTTGGTGTAATTCACTATTTGAATTCAGTTTCACAGAATTGGAGCAAACATCAGATCTAGCCTGCCAGATATACAAGATCATGTGTCTAATTGCTGATGGATAAAAAACGTAATGCAACAGGAAGAATCTATAGGAATAAAGTATGACACAAACAAGGACAATTATTGGAAATTTGTAAAATGCTTCATGAATAGTTGAACACAAATTTATGACCTTATCAATGCATTGTTTGATGCAGTCATCCTCTTCCCGTGTCTCAGGCACATCATCATCATCATCTCGCACCTAAAACAGAGTGAAAAAAGCTAGCTCATATTCCTAACAGAGTAAACAACAACCAACTTGGATTTAAAAGTTGCGTTGTGAAACAGTTACAAGATTAAGATAGTTCACTTACTAGCGAGGCCTGGGCTTTTAAATCCTCAATGTCGAAGTTCCAAGCACTAACTCCTCTCTGGTACTCACTCTGATGAAGGTAAGAACAAACACTTTATCAGAATGGAACAATTAAAATATGCAGAAAGTGAAAAACTGAAACAAATTTTGACACCTCAATACCACTTGTCCCAATTATGCATTCATTTCCCTAATGCTTGAAACTAGAGACAACAGACTGCAAATATCACCCTGAAGCAACTGAATTACAGGATTCCACAAACGAAAATTTTGTAGAACACACTTCATTGGGATTACGTGGTGAGCAATAGTCAAGAAGCATGTTGTCATGAAGATATGACTGTCGTGGTGCTAATATCAGTCTGTTCTGCTAGAATGACCATGGAACACTGGTAGATAGAGCGAATTCATTGTTTCCAAACATCTCTCTTTTTACTTTGATACACTCCATAGTTAAATAAAGCACAACAAACATTCCGAAATCAAGCACCATCTATCACTTCTAACACATCACACTTTTTAAATTGAAGGCACTCTCCCATGCTTGAATATGAACTAGGAAAACAGCCTCAATCAAGGGTAAGAAGCAAAAATGCAACTTTCTTAAGGAACTCTTGTATATGTTTCTAACAAATGTTGACCAATTTTTGTAGATTCTAGATCCTAAGTACTAGGAGGGGGAATTGCTTTTAAGCTCAAAATTAAGCTTAAAGAGGTTAAAAAAATCCCAAGAGCTATAGAAAGTCTAACACCAAATGAAGACACAACAAAAATGAAACAAGATTCTAAAGAACATTCATTTAAATGGGTACATCAAATAAATGTCAAACTTAGATTGCTTTAAGAAATGTCTCAAACCTGGGACAAAGCTTCTTGTTCTGCTGAAGGCATTTTTTTCAGAGCTAACTGAGCAGCATCTTTAAGCTGCAACATTTAGCAAGTACGTCAAATAATTGTATCCAGACACAAGCACACGAAAATCAAGCCTGCTACAGTACAAAAACAAACCTGAAGGGCTTTCACACGACTCGGAAGTGGGGGCAAGTCTGCAAATAACTTCTTCACAGAAAGCTCTGGAGGCTTTGCATGTTTAAAAAATGAATGCTTTAATAACTTCTCAGCTGTTGGCCTCTTTGTTTGATCTTTTACCAGGCACATTGCAACCATTTCTTTAAAAGACTGATCACAACTGGAAATCCTCTAATAAGAATCTTATGACATATGAGAGAAATATTGCTAACATCAATTGCACTAGAAATATGCTGACCATCTTACCAGGAAATGGAGCTATATACTATATACATGCGCAAAAGGGCAAAAAAAAATTGTTACTGTAAAATCTAGCTAGAAAGAATTCCAATACCTTAGAGAACTTTTTATCACGATCATAATCAAGTCCAGGTGGGGCATTCTGTATAGTCATCAAAAGAACCTGACAGAAACAAAAAGAGCAAATGTCAGAAATTTCAATAAATATGTAATAAAAATTTCCCCTAGCTAAAGCAGTATTTTAGAGGAATCCTAAAGTGGAAGAACCTTCATTGGAGGATATTTTGAGAATGGAGCATGACCATGTGCCAACTCCAATGCCGTTATGCCAAAAGACCAAATATCAGCCCTGTACAAGAATGACAAAAGAAGCAAACAGAGAAACAAGTAAATAAGAATTTTCTTATTCTGTAAATTTTAAACTTGAAATCATTTTCTTTCATGGATCAAGATATAAACTCAGCCTAAATATTGAAATTAACACAAAAAGGGATAAGATATGTTGAACATCAATTTACAAGAGAAGATAAATAAAAGAATAGCAGAGTTATGAACATCCATTGTTCCCATCATATATGCAAGGTTTCCAACACGCACACACGTATATATCAAGTGGAAAGTACTACCAGCAATCCTACAAGAAAAAAAAAAATTAAGATAATGCAGCACGTTAGGCACACGGACAATCATTAAGATGCATAATTGCAAATTAGATGGGTGGACGAAGGGAAAACAAACAAAAGTACCACAAACAAAGACATTCTACTGGACTAGAACTCTTAAACTGCCCTTCCCACATTCTCAATGTAGGATTATGCATTCAAGGACATAATATATGTCACTGCAATTCTGATAGATTTGCAACAAGCCAAAGCTTCAGATAACCACATTCTGGATACTCTTAATTTCATAAAGAAGGTTAATAAAGCTCACTTGGAATTATATCCACCTCCTGGCTGCAGAACCTCCGGTGCCATCCTGGAAAATAGCCGATCATATGCAAGGATAAGAATTATCTTATTCTTTCTTGAAGAGAAGGATCAAAACAATTCTATCCTTAAAAACAGCATAAAATAACAAATTAATTTTAAAATAATTTTTCATCTATACCAGCATGGAGTTCCCACAAAAGTATTTCTAGCACGTTGTCTATCACCTGTATCAAACATGCAAGCTGAAACACCAAAGTCCGCGAGCTTTACAACCCCATTACTGTTGAGTAATATGTTTCCAGCCTGTAAGCACAATTGGGCTCATGGGATAGGAAATAGAAAGATACAAATAAGCCATCTGATAAACTGATGAAACTTAATGCTGAACTAACCTTAACATCCCGATGAATATGCCCTTGCTGATGTAGGTAGTCCAAAGCCTTAAGAGTTTCTTTAAGAATACAACCAATAGCAGCCTCTTCAAACCCATCTGGATATGCAATCTTCATGAGGTGCAAACAAGAACCTTCATCCATGAATGGCATCACCACCCAAAGATTTCGGTCAACAACAAACGAACAGAATGCCCTGATAACATTTGGATGGTCTATTAAACTCATGGTTTGAGCTTCCCTTCGTATATCATCCTATTAAAGAGAATAACCATCAGATGGACCACTTTAGAGAGCCATTGACACAATAAGTGCACAAAAAAACATCAGCAAAGATAAAAAAAAGAATCATCACAATGAAACTGCTGCAAACAGCCATAAGAAAAGGGCGCCCAGGAGTTTAAAAAAATCTAAAAATATAAACTATTATGGCCACCCTCAGTCCCTCAACATTAAATAAATAAATAAAAAAAAATAATAAAAAAAAAGTTCTAGAATATAAGTTTAACATATATGAGCCTAAATACCCTTATAAATATTACTTCCACTTCTTTTACTTGAAGGACTAATTTATCATGCGTGTACAAAACTTATTGTACACAATAAGTTGTCAAGCGAAATATCTAATATCAAAACCATTGAAGTTATATAATGTAGCCAATATAATATCAGAAATTTACAAAACATTGTGTTTGGAAATTCAAACCACAGGACACAACTCTAACAATTAATCCAATTATAACTGAAAACACAAATAATCCTTCTGCGACCACTGACAATGCGTCAATTTATTCAAGTCTATAAACAAGCAATTTGGGAATGCATACAATTCTAATCCAGCAATTCATCCTCCACCTAGAGGAAAGAGGTACTCTCAGACTCTAAACTCATATTACAAATTCAATCAAAAAAATGAAAATTCTGCTCTACAGCTAAAATCTCACTTTGTAATCTGATGGTATAAACACTATAATATTAAAAGCAACTAGTCAAAACCAACTATGAGCCTCTACACCAAACAGTCAAATCCAATCAAATCAAATCAAATTCCTCAGTCCAATCTAAAGCCTAAAGACGATCTAATCTTGAAGCAAACTAATTTTGATTAAACTAAACTTAATTGAAATATTAAACAGTTGTCAAAGGGGTAAAAGTGAGTGAAAACTGTATCACCAACCAGATTGCTATTGCATCGATCGAGATCCAAGCACTTAACGGCGACGAGGTCATTGAAAGGAAGATAGATCGCTTTGTAAACAGTTGCACTTGCTCCATACCCAACCTCGTCTAGAAGCTTATAATCATTGGGATTCGCTGAGTAAGCCTTCTGATTACTCCCCATCCTCCCCATACCCCCTCAAAAAACCGTCCTGAAAACCACCAAACACCACAGGAAACTGCTTTCCAGCAATCTATAAACAACAAGTTTATTGTTGTTCTTTTTTTTTTTTTTTTTTTTCTTAATAATCATTGGGATATCCGCTGAGTACAGCCTTCCTGATTACTCCCCATCCTCCCCATACCCCCTCACAAACAAACCGTTCCTGAAAAACCAGGCGCAAAACACCACAGGAAAAACTGCTTTCCATCAATCTTAACAGTTTATTGGTTGTTTCTTTTTTTTTTTTTTTTTTCTTGTTCAGAGTCTATTGAGCATATGGACTGATTAGAAGCTTTGCAAGTGAGAAAATAGGCTTTTTTTTTTTTTTTTTAAGTAGGGATATGTTTTTTCACCAGTTGGACCGGCATGAGAACCCGATACTGGAGAAGGCACTTCTTTTTCTTTTTTTTTTTTTTTTTTTTTTTTTTTCTTGTTCAGAGTCTATTGAGCATATGGACTGATTAGAAGCTGCAAGTGAGAAAAAGGCTTTTTTTTTTTTTTTAGTAGGGATATGTTTTTTCACCAGTTGACCGGCATGAGAACCGATACTGGAGAAGGTCTTTTTCTTTTTTTTCTTTTTTTTTTCTAATTAAGTAAAAATAACAATAAATGATAATAGAAGCTTTTAGCTGCTGACGTGGTGCAGGGGTATCAGGCAATTGCATGACCGATCATACACGTGGACAGGTGATCGTGTGGCTGGGACGGGTGGGTTATACCCATTCATTTTCCCACAGTTTGTATTGGTTAATTATAATTTTTAGAAGAAACTTAAGAGATTAGTTCTTATTTTTGGGAAATTATTATGAAATGTTTATTATTTAGTAAAAAAATTATTTATTATTTATTTTTTTCAAAAGGTAATATTTATTTTTTATTAATCATATTTTATGAGCTGAGAAAATATAATTTCCTAATTCAGACAATAATCCTATCTAACTTTATGCTCGTAATATTTTCTAATTTTAGAAATTTTGCCAATTTTGGCTTTGGTAGGTTTTGATATCAACTTTAGAATGGAGTGATTAATACTAACCCAAGCCAGACTTTGGACGTTAAAAATTGTTAATCAGCTATTAGAGAATGAAAACATTTTCAACCCAATAGGAATTTTAAATTTATGTTAGATCTAGCGGTTTTCTAGCTCTTGTATTTGGGAATTTTCATGATTCCCAAACAATTGCCCTCTCTTATCCTAGTATTTTTGCTCTAAAAGTTTTTTCATATCATTGTTATAAGTAACTAAAATTTTATAGTTCCAAATTTTATTTTCCGATTTTAAAAACATATTAGTCCGATAAAAGAGTGTGTATTGTTAATCCTTTTATTTTTATCATGGCATGAATGGATGAGATAGAATTCAAGTCACAATAGCAAAAGTAATTAACAAAATCATGTGCAGAACAAGAAATGATATTTGTGTCACTAATTACAAGATTGTCGTTTGTCTCCTCTCATTATTTTACTTTTCAACTAAAAACAAAAGGGAAAAAAGAAGGGATTAAGTGCAATTTATTCGAGTTACAAAACTTCAAGTCGTTCAACTTGATAACATGTAATTAAATTTTTTTTTTTTTTTGATACAATTATGAATTAAAGAATGGACAGGATCAAGAAGAAGTTGTGAAAAATAAAGGGCCTTAAGGAACAATGGGCTACAGTAGCCGCAGTCGTCTCAAGCTCCTAGCAGACGCTTTAGAAACCAAGTAGCCCACTCCAAAACACATGACCCAAAGCCCAACATGAACAGCCCATCTCACTCCTTCCAAATCCATCTCCATCAGATCATAATCGGACTCGCACGATTTTTCTAAACCTCCACCGTCAGATTCACGATATTTGCAATCATCACGACATCCGTTAACAGATTCATCAACCCCGTTCTCTCTTTCCTCTGGGATCACCTCCAGTCTATCAAACCCAATCCTCCTATTCTTCTTTCTCCTCGACACCATCTCCACCCTACCACCCAACGCAACGTGGCCCTCCAATGCCACGCAGACATCCGCCTCCTCCGCCACTGCAACTTCAGTAGCTCCACCATGGACAGCAACCTCATGGTCTAGCCCGCATTTGCATTCCAAATTCCACTCATCCTCCTCGTCTTTCCTAAAAATCCCCTCCAAGGCCCTCTCGTCCCCCGAGTAAACTTCAAAGCGAACCCCTCCACTTGCCCAAACCTGCTCTCTTGATCCAAATATTGCCTCCCCCTCCTTCGTCTTCACATTAACAGCTCGATGGAGCGTCAAGAACGCAGCAGAATCAGGTCGGACCTTAGACCCGTTGACAAAGAGTTCGGATCCGTTAATGCGAGGAAGGTAGAGGAGAGTGAGTGCCGGGGGCAAGAGCTTGCATGACTTGAAACCCTTAAGGCGGACAAAGAAAGCTTTGATCTTTAAGCAATTTCGACCTCTGGGAAGGATCCCATCAAGTTTTGTGTCTGTGCTTCTACACATCTTCACTTCCACTTCTATAATCTCCGAAAACCGGTGGCTTGTTCCGGTGTATCCTCTTTAGGAATCTGTTAAGTAAAGATTGGCGATGGGTTTTTATATGGAATAGATCGGCGGCTCCTCCCTGTGGGTTAAATATTCGAATTCAGGGGGTGGACTGAAGAGCACGCGGTTTTTCGGGTGACGTGTGCGAAAAAGACAAAATGCTTTTGGGACTTGGTTGTCGTTTTGGCTCGGAAAGCTCCACGTTTTGAATGTATTTGACGCGTGCTGGGAGGCCTGACATTGGGCTTTGGAGGGTTTTGCATGTGATTGCTTGTGAACTGGAACATAATAGTTGTGGTGGACGTGCATGAGATCATACGAAAATTATTTATAGTCGTCCGATGTTGATGTGCAAATTTCTTTATACGATCGTTGGGTGGTTTAGGAGGAGGTGCATGAATTTGGTTTCCTCTCTGTTTCTGCGTATTTACGTAGAGATGGGCCTTCCAAACTTTGTTCCAACCACAAGAAACGCTAATGCTTTATTTATTACTTTTAGTTCTTATCTTGGTATGTAATAAATTACATTTATTAGCTTTTAAACCACCTTAATTAGTGGGTTCCCGTCAAAATAATAATAATAATAATAATAATAATAATGGGTTATAAAGCTTTTTGCATTGTCGTCTGGTCACTTAGACTATGATTAAGAAGATATTTTGGGCTGTGTTGGAGCGTACTAGTAGACCGTTTTTGTTCTTTTTTTTTTTTTTTTTTTTTTTTTTATTAGTGGGTTCCCGTTTCAAATTAATAATAATAATAATAATAATTAATAAATTGGGTCATATAAAGCTTTTTGCATTTGGTCGATACTGCGTCACTTAGACGTCATGATTCAAGAAAGATATTTTGGGCTGTGTTTTGGAAGCGTACTTAGTAAGACTCGTTTTTTGTTTCTTTTTTTTTTTTTTTTTTTTATTTCTTTTACATCTTAAAGTATTGAGTCCATTCTATTATTTAAAGTATTAAAAAAACGCAGCAGAATACATAGTCAACGGGGAAACAATTCCCCAAGTTCGAAAACAAGCCCCATTGAGGAACTTGAAACTTAGCTAATACATGAGCGTACTATGCAGTTTGCATTGTCTTCTTTAACCTCCAAAGCCAAGGTTGACAATTTTGGCAATATGGGACTAAAAGAAAAGGCTTACATTCAGAAAACACTTAACTACTCCAAAACTCAGACCAATCTTTCCAAACTCAGACCAATCTTGGACAGAATTTCTCATAGCACAGTAAACCTGCAGACAATCGGTCTCAATTTGAATCTTCAGGCTGGAGTAGCTCGATATCAACCAAGACAACAACGTTCTTAGCGCCTGAGCTTCTGCAACTGCTGGAGAAGAACAACCTTGCAATGAAGACGTTGCTGCTGATACAAACCCCCTGTTGCAATTTGAAATGACAGCGCCGACAGCTCCATGGCCGACAGAGGGAAAAATGAGAGCATCAAAATTGATTTTAAAAGTACCAACAGGTGGTGGGAACCATTGACTACTTGCAGGAGCATCGGTACCTGTACCTGAACCTGGCAGCTTCAGCTGGGCTTTCTTCCAAGATGCGAGCATACTTCTGGCTCGAGTAATCACATGATAAGGTTAAGGTCCTTCTTCCACTTGATATCCATTTTCAGCTCATTTACGGCGTTGACCAAACACCTCCATGTCCAACCATAACCAAAACTTTTCAAAAAACTTCGGTGCTCCCATAACTTTGTTTTGTAAACTGTTCCAACACCCCAATTTGTAAGAAACTTGTGTAAATGTTCCAACAATTGTAAGAAACTTGGAAAATTCCCAGTAGTAAGCTGAATACCGAAAAACTGCCAACAAAATCTCACTCGTGGACACTCGACAAGAGCATGGACTATACGTTTCAGTGTTACCACAGTAATCGCATCCTGTATCGAGCTCCAGTCCCCTTCTTGCCAAAGTTGCTTTAACTGGCAGAATGTCTCAACAACACCTCCAAATAAAATGTCTCACTTTCGGCGGAATTTTCAGTGACCAAAGTCACTTTCGGCGGAATTTTCAGTGACCAAAGTATTTTCCAAAAACTCGACCGCCAAACATCTTCAGGATCCACATATTGAGATGCTACTAATCTGTATTCAGATTTCACAGAGTATATCCCAGAGTCTGTCCAATGCCGTATAAGGATGTCGTCCTGAACATTTGTAGCTAAAGGGAGAGAAATAATAATTTCAGCAATAGAAGGGTGGAAAAGACCTTATATCAGTGGCAAATTCCAAGCACGCGCCCCATTTGCCAAAATAAGATCAGAAACCCGTATATGCTCAAAACCAGGAAGAATAGGCAAGTGAACCCGAAACCCCGCAATGCCGCGGTCTTCGGTCCATGACATTATCGATGACATTCTCCATTCTCCACCGAAAACCTGACCTTATAATCCTTGGCTGCAAAACCTGAACATATAGCATCCTTGGCTGCACAAATCCCTCTCCATACAAAGCTTGGATTACGGCCAACACCTGCACCAAGAAAATCCCCACTAGGGAAATATTTAGATTTGAAAGACCGTTTTTGTTCTTGTTTGGTTTTGTGTACGCCTTCTTTTTCCTACCTTCAGAAGGAAATAAAATTATGACTTTAATTTGGACTTGCTTGTTTTGTTGGGTCAAAGAAAGTTGCTTGCTTTCTACCTTCCTCTGCATATATTTGTAACAAACGTAAATTGACCACTAACTAGCAAATATACAGATCTGGCATTCACCATTTTGATTTTTTAGCTAGGTTTAGTGGCAATCAGCTGTTAACTACGTAAAGGTAGTTTAGCGGTAAACGTTGTTTAGCGGTAAACGTTATCTTAAAACTACTAATATAAAACTACGTAAAGGTGGTTTAGCGGTAAACATTATCTTAAAACTTATTGCGAAATAAAGTCTTTAATTTAACAAGGCATCAACCTTTTAAAGAAAGATAATTAAGACAGAAGATATTAAAAGATTGAAAGGTATATTTAATAATCAAATAACGATTTACAAGTTTGATGCTATATAGATATATAAATTAAAAAATATCTAGAGGAAATAAAAACTGTTACATTAACATTACGCATTACCAAACAATTACTCAACCGGTATTATAATTGACAAGGAACAAATTTGAATTTTACTGCATAGATAGATGCATATAGACTAATGTTTGAAGATGAACAGGTCTAGTAAATTGCTAATAATTATACACATCAAACAGTTGGGTATACATAGTCTTCCTCAATATACACATTCCACTCAAAACTCTTCATCAATGTCTCATAAAAAAACTACTGAAGGAGCTAAGAACATGTAATGCATATATCATCAATTGGGTGTTTGTTTATGCACATGTTTTATGTAATTAGGGCATGTGTACAACTGCTGCTAGCCCACCAAAGAAAAAAAAAAAAAAAAAAAAAAGAGTTAAGAAAGTTTTCATATTATTAAATGCTTAAGTACTAATAAATATTTAATTCAAATTATACTAGAAAAAAAAAAAAAAAAAGAGTAGAAAAGTTCATATATATATATAATATGCTTAAAGTACTAATAAATATTTAATTCAAAGATACTAAATCACTTTCTCTTTTTTAGTGCTTCAAGCCCGTTGGGATGAGTCTAAATCTTTCTTATACCACATTAGGGTTTATAAGAGGAAAGTGCTTTAAACAGATATTTTCTCCATTTATAAGAATCACAATTGACCTTTTGTTTAAGAGACCTAAGTCTTTTTCGCTCAAACCAACCACATTAATTAAATGATGAAAGCCTTCGAAAAAACAAGATTCGTCTATGTGGGTAATCAACAATCTCCACACGAGTCGAATGTAATTTTACAATCCCAATTTTAAATTTTGAGCACAATGTGGCCAGCTAAATGCTAATCATCAATGACAATTCCACCATATATTAGATATTAAATGTGCCATCAGTCATCATTCATAACTTCTTTGGAAAAGGATGGATCAATATTCAGTACTATCTTATATTAATTCATTCTTTTAAGATGTATACAACTAATTAACTTTATATATTTTATGATCATATATTAGTTCTCTCTTTACATGAGGAATCTGTATAATGATGAGGTGAGCCATTCGCCCTAATCAATGGACCAGAAGAAAAAAAAAAAAAAATTTGGTTGCATGTACGAGGTTGAGAATTATATTAAAAAAAGGTAGACAAGCCATCATCTTAGGATATGTCGGGCAATAAAATTATACAAATCCATATATAATATAACTAAAACAAGTGGAGATTAAAAATCCAATATACCGGAATGAACTATTTTTGCGGAGATCAAATACATGAGCTGAACTAATTAAAATTATTCATACTTTATACTTTTTTTTTTTTATTGATTTAATTTATGGATGAAGCTATAAATCCCTTTTAAGCAATTTGGGAGTATATAACATAAATATATTTTTCCTCTTTAGCCTTTTCTCAGCGACCAAACAGTAGCTGAAATGCTAATTTAGATGGATTCAGAAATTCCAGGTGATACCTTTATTACACAGAAATTCAGCACTAAGTAAAGGAGCATTCCTTTTCGACAAAAAATAAAATCAAAATCAAAATCAAAATCAAGTTCCAACACCCCAATTGGGTAGCTGCATGTGTGTGGAGCTTATTACCATTACTTTTTCGTACAAACCAATAGAATATTAAGATCCCACTCCAATCAAATCCCGTTTTAATTTCCAGAATTGATTCTCTTTGTCTACTTAATGTCTTTCTTTAATTCTGAGATTACGACTCGTTTGCTTGTTTGTCTATATGTAAATGTTGGTTCAAAAATATATTAATTTCTCAAATTATTATTTTCAATCATATATGTTTATATATTTACATTAAATAAGTATTTTCCTTATCAATAAAGATTTTATGAATTGATTATATATTATAAAAAATTTTGTGAATGGGCCAAGGAAAATAATCCAATTTTTGGATTTAATGAGAATATTAGTGTAAAAATGTCAAAGTTTTAATTTCAGACGATTCAAATTACGTGACCTTTTTTAATTAGGTAACAGAAGCATGGATCCAAAGTATAAGCACATGGATGGAATTATTTTAAGGTTACTATATATTTGGACAGATAAAAAAATCACAAAAATCTATGGACTATAAAAAATTTATAGATTTTTATAAATTAATAGATTTGAAAAGTATTTTTAAAATAAAATTAAATGATTTAAATTTTATTTTTGATAAAATAAAAATAAAATTGAGAAAACTTAAACTTTAAAAATGATGAAATTTAATAATTCTAATACCGAAATAAATGATGGAATTAAAATTATTATGAAATTCATTAATTCCAGATATTGTATTTGCCAGATGAAATTGAGTCAACAATTCTCTACTTTACTCTAAAATGTTTTTATATTTGGGCCAATAGAAATCAAGTTAGTACATCATACATGTGCCATACCGTACAACATTCAATTATTTATTTATCTACGCTGTATGCATACGTACATCGCCAGCCAATGGCCTTATAATTCGAGAGCAGAGCAGGATCGGAGTTGTCTAACCTTCATGTATGGGACCATCTATAGATAAAGCCAATCAGAAATTTTTTTTTTTAAAATATTATTACTGCTTTATTCATATTTTTTTCTAGTGAATAGTTATAAATACATTCGTTTAAGCAAAATTAACTATTTTTAATTAGTTTAGTATATAGTTGAGGTCCTGATGTCTACATACAAGGTGTAAATAAGTCATTCCTTCTATAATATTATCATTTTATATAATTTTAATTCTCTATTTTAATTTCAACGAATCATTTAGATATGAATATTGTATATTTAAAATAATTTTGATTGGTCTTTTTCCTGTATGTGAAAGATTTCGAATATCAAGTTGTAATTTATGATATTATTCTAAAATGAAAAACTTGACCATTCAATGAGCAAAAACCTTTTATAGGAGAAAGAGACAAGTCATTTCGAGGTTGAATGGACAATAGGATTGAGCATATTCAAGAAAAGAGACATTCACGTACAACATTAGAGAGAATTTGATTTTCTGCACTCAAAAAGTTTTTATTTTGGCATTTCTTTTCAAAGAATATGAATTGTAATTCCATTAATTTCTACCCCTTATCCTTATAGAATGAGTATTGTTATTGTATGGTCTAGAGAAAGAGTTGCTTTTTCCAAATATACATGAATCGTTCCCAAGGACTCGAACTTTAAGATGAAAAGGACTCGAACTCAGAATATTTTATATCTCACTTTTTCTACAACATGTGGAATAAGAAAACCAATCTAAAAAGACTTCATTAGCTAAACTAATATAATATACTCCATATGTCCTAAAATATAAGTTGTTAAGGAGGTTAATAAATGATGTTTTTCCATTATTACCCTTATTTACATTAGATAAACTGTCTTCCTTACCTTAAAAATCTTAAACTGACTTATATTTTGGGACAGATGAAATAATAATTATGTTAATGTAGGTTCATTTAATAAAAATATATTATATACTCTTCATCCATCATTTTCCATTCATTACATGATTGTCCCACAGACCAAGGCCTGATATAATGACGGCAACAGGTTTTCCAACGGCTAAAGATTAGAATTCAACGACCCAACTTGTTGTAAAGGAAGAATCTCCACTATAGTGACAAACACCATCAAAATTCATATCAACATCGATGGAGTAGAAAAAAAGAGGCAGTCATCAATCAACCATCACTTGATAAGGTCAGCTTGGCTACTCTGTACCCTGTGCGGCTCTGCCTGTCCAATATCTCTTGGATTATCTTTTCCTAAACTTACTAACCATATTACACAGCCAGGCCCATACTTTCATAAATTATGTTTTATCCTGAAATTTCTGGGACTAAACTACTGATTCTTCCTTGCAATGTTTTTACTTGTTAGGCAAAGATTAGTTCTTTATTTTGTTTTTAATTAGACCTTTTTGCAAGTGCTTGATTAAGTGCAAACTAGAATTCCTAACATTGTTGGGTAAGAACAAGATTTTTTTTTCTTTATAGTGATGTAATGAGTGATAAGTAGTTAATTGGGTGTCTAATTTTCTATGTGAAAGAGTTGAATCTTTCTTTCTAACTAGTAGCTTTCCTGCAGATGGTCCAAATCACTAGAAATTTAACATTTCTCATTTTCGTATATAGTTAAGTAAAAGACGACAAGGATACCTATTCCCCACCCCAACTTGTTCCAGGTTATATATTGCCCTGCTCCACTCATTTAGTGAAGCAAAGAAGGAAAATTTCAAAGCAAAGTAAATAACATTTTATTTTGTTTTGTTCTATTTTTTGAATCTTTAAGGTATTTTCTAAGCTTAGTGGAGCTGAGTTTTATTGATTAGTTAATTTTGTTGTTGCAGATGAAAATGGAGGAAGTAAAAGAAAAGAAAGAGATTGAAAAGGAAGAAATGGAAGATAGACAAGAAGAAGCAGAAGGAATAGGGAGAGGGCAACCATGGACAAAGCAAATAACAGTTAGAGGAGTACTAGTTAGTGTAGTGATTGGAGGCCTGTATAGTGTTATAGCTATGAAGCTAAACCTTACAACAGGATTGGTTCCTAATCTAAATGTGTCCGCAGCTCTTCTTGCTTTTGTGTTTATTAGAACATGGACAAAGATTCTTCATAAGGCAGGATTTGTATCAAAACCCTTTACCCGCCAAGAAAATACTATGATTCAAACTTGTGCAGTAGCATGTTATAGTATATCAGTTGGAGGTTAGAGCCATAATTTAATTAGTTAATTAATTAACTTCATATTGTAACTAATAAAAATTTAATCTTTTTAGTTAACATTTTTCTGGATTGATTCTTGTTTCAGGTGGGTTTGCTTCTTATCTTTTGGGATTAAACAGGAAGACATATGAATTATCAGGAATACACACTCCAGGGAATTCTGCAAATGCTATAAAAGAACCTGGATTTGGTTGGATGACTGGCTTTCTTTTTCTTGTTTGCTTTGTTGGACTTTTTGTTTTAATTCCACTTAGAAAGGTAATATATTTATGATTAGTCAGTCTTTAATCTAATTAATATCTTCTTCTTGCTTTAAAATATTGCTGTTACTTTTCTATCAACAATTAATTAATTTGAAGGTTTTCAATGGTTGCAACCAGTAGGGTCCTCAGTATCATCATCATCATAGTGTCATCAATCTATTTTCTTTTCCAAGATTATAAAGTTAATATTTGGCCTTTTGTTTCTAAAAATGAAACTTTTTTGGATCAACAGATCATGATTGTAGACCTCAACTTGACTTATCCAAGTGGATTGGCAACTGCAGTTCTCATCAATGGTTTCCATACCAGAGGAGACAAGATGGCTAAGTACAGTCCAGAAGTTTCATTTCTAATGAGTTAACTCTAACATGAAATAATTAAATATGAAAAGTAAATAATTATTATTAATTACTACAGGAAACAAGTTCGTGGGTTCACAAAGTATTTCTCAATCAGCTTCTTGTGGGCATTTTTCAAATGGTTTTATACTGGTAAAGAGGCATGTGGCTTTTCACAATTCCCAACTTTTGGGTTGGAAGCCTGGAAGCAAACGTATGTTCTTAGACTTCTCTAATTTTAGTATATTTCTTGCTTCTTTTGAGCTTAACATGTTGTTCATAATTATGTAATAACACGGTTTTTGTTTTTTGTTTTGAAAGGTTTTTCTTTGATTTTAGCGCCACTTTTGTGGGAGCAGGGATGATTGTTTCTCATTTGGTGAACTTTTCTTTGCTTATTGGGGCTATCCTCTCATATGGTATTATGTGGCCACTAATTAATAAGCTTAAAGGAGAATGGTTCCCTGTAAATTTAGAAGATGAAGCTGACATGAAAGGATTGTATGGTTACAAGGTCTCTGTTCCTAACTAATTGAACTCTGTTTTTTCTTTTTTTCATAATTGTTAGGCTTCTAAAACTTCCATCGGTTTTCTTCGTTTCTTCCTCTGTAATTTGGCAGGTTTTTATATCTGTTGCTCTAATCCTAGGAGATGGGATCTACAATTTTGTTAAGATTATGGGTTTTACAATCATCAATATCCATGGCAGAATAAAGACCAAGAATCTCAATATAGGTACATGAATAGTTTTTACGAGTCTAAAACTGCTTTTCCGGAAGAATAACCGGTTAGATGTTGTCGTAAACAGCAAATTAAGAGTTGTATTTAGCTGTTTTGAAGCTTTTATGATCATAACTTAGGAAATGTCAATTTGACAAACAACATTGCTTTTGACAGAGACTCCGGAAGGGCAGCAGAAATCACTTGATTTAAAACAAAATGAACTCTTCCTGAGAGAGAAAATACCCATGTGGGTCGGAGTGAGTGGATATGTCTTCTTCTCCATTATATCAATAATTACAGTCCCAATCATATTCCCTCAGCTCAAATGGTACTATGTTATTGTTGCTTACATTTTAGCTCCATCTCTGGCATTTTGCAATGCTTATGGAGCTGGTCTTACCGACATAAACATGGCTTATAATTATGGGAAAGTAGCTCTATTTGTACTGGCTGCATTGTCCGGGAAGGAAAACGGAGTCGTAGCAGCACTTGCTGGTTGTGGTATTATTAAATCTGTAGTTTCTGTTGCCTGCATTTTAATGCAGGATTTCAAAACAGCCCATCTGACTTGCACTTCTCCGAAAGCCATGTTCTTGAGTCAGGTTATCGGTACAGCAGTAGGCTGTGTGATGGCTCCTCTTAGCTTTTTCCTGTTCTACAAGGCATTTGATGTTGGAAATCCAAAGGGAGAGTTTAAAGCTCCTTATGCATTAATATACAGAAACATGGCAATTCTTGGTGTTCAAGGAGTATCAGCTTTGCCCCAACATTGCTTGCAGTTATGTTATGGCTTTGTTGGTTTTGCAGTAGCAGCTAACCTTGCGAGAGACCTTTCGCCAAGGAAGCTCGGGCCATGGATGCCACTTCCGATGGTTATGGCGGTGCCATTTCTTGTAGGAGCTTACTTCGCCATTGATATGTTTGTGGGAAGTATAATTGTTTTCACTTGGAATAAAATTAACCCCAAGAAGGCAGAGCTGATGATACCAGCAGTTGCTTCAGGATTAATCTGCGGGGAAGGGCTCTGGACACTTCCTGCTGCTGTTCTTGCTTTGGCTAAAATAAGCCCACCAATCTGTATGAAATTTGTATCTTCCTAAACAAACCTCATCAAAATAAAGAGAAATTACAGAAGGAATCTTTTTCTTTCTTTTTCTTTTTCTTTCTTTTTTGTTTGATGAAAATCTTAGCTGCATTAATATTGAAAGGAATTGAAGCTACAAAATTTCTTAGATGCTCGACAACTAATAGAAAAAAGAGCCAAACCATACTTGCAATAATAATTAAAAAAAAAAAAAAAAAAAGGTACTGTTTTTGATATGAAAATAAGCTCTAAGCAATGGTTAAGATGCATCGTTGGTAGGAATATGGTCATACTTTCGCTCTTAATGGCTGTGTTAGTCTAGCTTGTGTTGGTTCTATCTAGAAACGGTGCATGAGAGTTGTTTGTATTTGTGCTTGTGAAATCAAATTGAGAGACAAGCTGTGTTTATTATCTTAATGACAATTTCTATTAATAGACACAAATAAATTACAACTAATACTTTACTAAAAATCAGATTTTTAATTCATGGGTGTTCGCCCAAATTTTCTTTTTAGTGATTGAGTTATAGCATAGGATGGTATAGATACGTCGAGACTCTTTATCCTAAACATTGCTTGCAGTTATTCTATGGCTGCTTTAAGTCTGGTTTTACATCTCGCGGAAAGCTTGTTAGTAGGTAGACTCTGTGACTGGAAAGCCTGTCTGTGAGAGACCTTTCGTCGCTCAAAGGTTCAAGCCTCGGGCCATCGTGACTCGCCCACTATTCCGATGTTTGTATGGCACAGGATTAATATGCCATTTCGTATAGTGTTAGGAAAGCTACTCTAATTAATACTTCAGTCGAGATTTTGAAGAATTTAAGTGTTAAGTTTCTAGGGAAAATCAGTCACTCATTTGTAGTTAATCATTTTTGGAATAATCACACCTTGTTATATACTTTATACTTCCCTAACGAAGGCTCAGAAGTTGTATGTGACTTTTGGACTCTCCTCTCACTTGTCATGTTTTTTCTTAGTAGACTTGATTGTATATTTACTAGACTCTCCTGTGAAGGACAATTCTTCTGGGGACTACACTTATATCGGGTTTTCCTGCTGTACATGTTCTATGACTCTTATTAGGGTTCTACAAATAAGCCCAACATCTTCATGGTTTATGATATTGTATCTTTTCCTAAACATCATCCCCAACATAACGAGAAATTCCAGGGAAAAGGAGTTCTTTTGTTACCTTTCTTGTTGTTTTCCTATTTATCAATACTTCCTTCCTTTTTTATGTGGTGAATTTGCTAATGCATCAATCCATTTCTTTGTAGCTAGTTACTTATGTAGATGATTGAGATATTGGTATTACGCTTGTGACAAACATTTCAATTTTAAGTAGTCTACTGTTTCAAGCTTAGGTGTTCTTGCAACCTTAATAGAAAAGAGGCCACCGTGTGCCAGACCATACTGGGGCAATAAAATTGGATTCTAAATAAAAGATTACAAAAATATCAAAATGACTAAAGATTAAAAAGCCCTAATTATTAAATAGTCTCCAAGACATTTTTCTCTCTCGCTTGTTGTTCTAATATAGAAAAATTTAATTTATACTACCTTTTGCAGATGTTGTATAAATTATATTGTAATGATCCCAATAGTTACTTTGTTTATATGCCCCTCCATTTTATCAGAATTCTTTTTTAATGTCTAGTTTTTGTCTTATTAAGTCGAGACCAATAAAGTAATTTATTTGTATCTTCGTATAGTTTTCATTTTACAAACAAATTTATAATCGTAGCATTTTAGTAGTTTTAGATTTCAAACATAACTATAAATTTATTAGTGAGTCCCAATTTATTTGAATGTCAGTCTGTTTTTCTTGTTATGGTGCAAAGAGATATTATATGAATTTTTTTGTATGGTAAGAAATGTTGTGTAAGACAATATAGATAGATTATAATGTCTACATAACCTAAAACCCCCGTATTTAAGTGCTACAGTTAGATCTGACCCAGTGAAATCAACCCGTAACTAATCAATTAATTATTTGTATGAATGGAAGAAAATTAAAAATGAAAAGAAAACTAAGAAAAAAGTTGTGGGTTAGCTAATGGAAGATTTCTGAGACATCCTTAGGCATTTCACAACTCTCCTTATGAGAGAAAGCTATACTACTTATTGTAAAGGATAATTTCTTGTTACTATTAGTAGTGTTATACGCCCGCCATTTTGTTGTGTGTGTGCTGCTTTTGTTCCTTAGTATTTAGCTTTAGTTGTTATTCTTTCTTGCGTTCGCTTTAAGTGAATACATAGTATATTTATTTATATTTCTTAATAAATGAATAGCCTCAGGTTATCCCCGCGTTCCTGTGGCAAATAGTTTAAATATCCTAAAAGGTAGATTATATTAATTGGTCCGGAATATAAAATCTGGCATTCTCTTCGCGCATAATATTTTTTTTATTTAATTGAATCTCTGTGTGGGGAACTCGAGTACTAGTTACCAAACTTCCTTATAGAATTATAGTTTTTTTGTTTTGTTTTTTTTTATTTTATCATTTTAGCTTGTTGAACTGACTTCTCACGAATTTTTTTTATTCTTGTTATCCCTATGAGTTGTTTCTGTTCTTAGTCAACAAATTTATTTAAGTTATGAAATCCTCAACTAAAATTAAAATAGTATAATAATAATATTTATAATTGAGCTAGTCCTACTTACCTCTTCATATTTTTAATAATGCACCAGCGTTATGTATATATTTAGTAACCCGCTTATTAGGCTTTCCTTCTGTTTCCTCATTCATTGAATTTCCAAAGTTTCCATGGAAGAATCGATCTTTGCCTCTTCATCTGCATTTGCACTGAAATCGCCAAAATATTGAAGGGAGGAACCAGCTTTATTGAATAAATAATTGCAATTAGAATTTGTGATGTGCAGTTTCATTTTAGGTTATTCCTTGTCATTTGATCATATTTAATAGGTATAGAGATTGAAGTCATGCTTGATATCTTAGTTGAAAAAAATTGCATGATATTTGTTTTCTCTCATTGAAGTGCATTTTGAGTGAACGCAACATTGATGATCACTCATAGTGATTCAGTCCCACTAAGATATAATTAACCAAGTAAATATCGTCTAACGCAGGCTGATCTTAATGAAGAGGTAGGAGATGTTTCTTGATCCATATGTTAAGACGGATTCCTGACTCCTGGGCCTCTCCATAAATGATTTAATTCGAAAATAATAGCAGATGTCTTTGTTATGATCAACCCGTGTAACCGGCCAAAATTATGAATCTGAAGAATATTAGAAAAACGTGAAATCACATTCAATCGCCTTCTAGGTTTGTTCTCCTAACGTGGTTAAGTGTGGGACATCTCTTGCAGTTGGTCTATAATCGAAGAATAATTGTTATAATTTAAAGGAAATAAGTGAAAACTAAATCGAGATCTGACTACTTAATGCCTTGTTTGAGGAACTAAATCTACTTAGTTTGTTCCTTAAAGCGACCTACAATCACTTATTTGCCCGCCTTAGGTTTGTCATTGAGGTGATATTGGCAAATGAGATTATGAAATTAGTTTCCCGTAAAAGCATTATGATGTAAGGCTTTTCAAGGCCCAGTCATGCTAAAGGTGGCTGTGTTCCCCAATGAATATCAAGCTGTAACCTGTTACATGTTCAAATTTTAATGATATTTTATGTATATCGAATGGATTTTTTTTTAAGTAATGTTGTCATCACAATCATCTGGTTTGTTGTTGTTGGTTGATGGGGTATGTTAAACAATTATTTCTTTGATTTAAAAAGAGGGAGCCAAAAAAAAAATAAACCAGTCATGCTTGATCTACCTTTATTTCCAATTACTCAGCCGCGTTTTATTTTTTTTATCTAACCCGCCAGCAGGCTTGAAAAAGAGATTGTTGCTTGCCTGCTTACAAAGACCCTTGAAGTAGAAGTTATTGGCAGTAAAAAGTATTCAGAGCTAGACAAGAGATTTTTTGTGATAGCGGGATAAACACTTGGAAGTATTAGTGTTGTATATGATATTTCCTCTATGTTTGGTTCATAACTAAAGAATAACATATTACTTTCCATATTGGCACATTTGCTCATTAAGTCTTATATATTACTATTTGCTTATGATTGAGACAGATTTGGTATTAGAAGTTAAATTTATTAACTTAAAGAACATATTGATGTGTCAAAATTGTTTTTATATTTTTTGGTGTATAGATAAAATTGGGATTGATTTAAGACAAATATGGACTTATATTAATGGTTAGAACATAATAAGAAGATTTGAAAAGTATGTAATTAATATTTGGAATGTATTTCGAATTGTTTCATCCATATTACCACGAGCCATGAATATTTGCTTTTGAAATGTGATAATCCATTCCTTGCAGTGATTTATGCAAATAATATGTTAGCTTGCTATGTTTGTGTCTTGTATTCATTTGAAGCTTTGATGAGTTTGGAGTTTTGGGAATATTGGTGAAGTGCTTCCTGGTTATCTTTTCATCATGTTTGCGCAACTTTCTATTTTTAAAGGAGATGACACTCTATGCACGCATGTCTTTTCTGTAGGACTCTCCCAATTCCTTTGTCAAATATATATACATTATCAAGAATATAGATTTACTTGCTTAATAAACATCTTGATAGTTAATTGATAACTCTATGCTACTCACTATCTGAAATAGAGATAATAATGATTATTGGCTCCATAGCGAGTTTATATGGATACGTGTTAGCGTACACGAGTTGTGCCCCACTCCTCTTGTGCATTTCGGAATGCCTCAGAAAGTCCAAGAATGGTCGAAATCGTGGAGGTGTGCTTCTTTTCGCTTGGAATCGTGTGATTTCGGGCAGTGCGGTATTGTACTTAGCAACATATCTACTTGCATCTTAACATGTTTTTTCGGATATGTGAGGCCTTGACTCAAAGTAACATAGCGCCAGATATTAGGCCAAGCCCTACATTTCACGTACTCCTGATTTGATTATGGGCGACGTAGTATTCCCGGGAAATGCATTCAATACTGCAAGACATGGTAGAATGTTGAATCACCATATCCTCAAAATTTTTTAGACTTAGGAAGAAGATAAAGAAACAAAAGATATATTTTACAGGTATAGAATGTTGCTGAATTTGTCTTCACTCCGCTTTACTTTTATATATATGTCCACATATTACAGAATTTTACTGTTGACCATTTGAAACTCGCGAGAGTGATTAGAGACGATCCTTATCATCAGAGCAAGTTGTTTATTTATGGTGTATTTATATAAAGAATATCCTCTTGGCCCAGAAAAGGATTAAAAAAGTCCCCTGTTACACATCGCAACGGAAATTAGAAAGGACCATAAGGACAATTAATTAGACATTTAACAATGAATGTATGTTTTGACGCATATCATAAGGTGAAACTCTGAAGTGTGCCGCAAAACTTCAGATGGTGAGAAATTGAAAAGATTGTATTTTAGAAGAAGTAAGAAACACTTATCTTTGTTGAATAAAAGAATGCTATCCATATGAAGCTACGACGCAAGATTAAATAGTCTGGGTCACCTTTCTATTGTTTCCATATGATCATGCCCATTCAATTGCTTGAGATGATCAAATAAGAAACAATGCAATTCCGGAGGTTTTTCCCCAAGTTTCAGTGTATTGGCAAAAAGCGTTAAGAGATGTATTTCGAAGACCATGCTTTGATTAATCGCTGAGACGCAATGACATTCTGAGAATTTTTCATCAACAATTCCTTATTCAATTCTTTGTAGGGGCTAGCACTCCCTTTTCAAACTATTTAGGTGAACCCCCAATTTTGGTGGTGATGACTACAAATCATAGCATATAGATCTACTAGAGAGGCCTTTTTGAGATATTTGTTTTTTGCTCTATAATTGTTGACCTGTTTAGGGAAAATTAATAAGCACAAAAAAAGTACTAATGAGATACGGCGATTAGAAAAGAGGGTCAGAAATGCGCAATTTGGAGTCAGAAAAGAGTACTTTCATGGAAATCTCATAATACATCCATGTGTATTATTAGCTTCTATTAAAGGGACTTCAATAGACGTGTGATTATAAACAGAATTAAATACACACCCCAAAACGCTAATCCAACTCGGGAGGCTAAATCACGCTAAATTAGAATACAACCTATATTACATTTACTCATTCCCGTCCTTGTCATATTCATATCTTTTTATGTTTTTGAAGTTATACTCTATTTTTAACTTTGTGTTTCAATAATTTTCAATTATTTGTGGATGTCTCTCTTTCCTCATTCCATTATCCGAATGGTGCTTAAATTGCGTCTCTTCCCATATATTTTCTCCGCTTGGCTTGGTGATTTTCGTAGCCTGTCCAGGTAACCCCAACCCTTGTTTTTAGGATTGTACTCGGTAAAATGGATAACTGTGTGTGACAGGTCAAATATAGGATATTTCATTGTTTAGACTGAGGCTTTGTATCATACAGACGTGGAAATGATTTGATACTATGTGACCACAAGTTAGCTAGGCTGGTTCCACATATAACATGAGAAGCCCAATAGAGCCGGCCCATCCTGGTCTTGTATCCAGAGAGCACCTCCTAGTGTGAGTATTTGAGTCTCCTAATCATGTCAGAAAATATGAGCGAAGTTCAGTCACAGTGCTGCCTCACAGAGTGGGATCAAGAAGCTCTAAGCCTAAAAGACAGGTGTCAGAGCCGCAGTGATTTCTTTCGTCCAGCACCCCTGTGCTATGGGCAATTGTGTACCACAACGGTTCAGGATGAAAATCTCCGTAACACGTATACCGCAAGTTGATAGTTATAAAAATAATTTGTGAACTGGAACCGACCGCATTTGGAACCGTGCCTTGGTGGTGCGGTAGTCTTCGCCCCGCCGAACCAGAAGCCCCCAAAAAGAGTACAGCTGGAAAAAACAGGTTCAAAAAAGTTATGGTTCCGATTCGTTAGTTCGGCCAAATTGATGCAAAGAGTTTTTTAAACAAAAAATAATAAAATTTTGAAGTTTCCGGGAATTTCCTTAATGTATATACATAACTTTAATTTTTTAAATTTTTAAAATGTGTTTACTAATTAAACGATATTTCACACTAAAATGACAATTTTTTTATTCAAAATTTAAAAAGACAAAACTTTCTTATTATACATAACTATAGAACTATGTATTACATTTAAATTTTCACAAAACCTTTAGTTGTTCTAATAAAAAAAAGGTTGACGTAAGGTATACAAAAAAAACTCATAGATAGGTTCTATGAGTTTTTGAAAAATTAATGGATGAAGGTTTGGAAGGTAAATATCAGATAATATTTTTAAATTAGAGACGTAAGAATAATTATTTTAAAAAAAGATCAAAATGTACACGTAAGATACTTCTACATGAGGATGGAACAACAAAATTGAGATAATTAGGAGAAAGAAGATTTCGGAGTTTGATGATGTAATGGCTTAAGAAGTTATTATATAAGATTAAAAAAAGATCCAACATAGATCATAACATATACCAAACCAATATTATAAAGGAAAAAATAAAAGCCAAAGCTTGCACATTAGAGCAATAAGAGTCCACCAAAAGGACCAATAATGGCTTTATTTGGAATAAATATTTGCATGATGAACATAATTTTAGCATTGCACAGAATAAGAAAAGAGTTAGAAGAAAGTTCCAATATGGAATTGAAAATTGTTGAAAATATAAAAATATTTATCAACCCTCATCGAATAAAAGATTTATAAAAATTGTCCTTCTCATTTTAGATATCCATAAGTTATAATATATCCTCAAATTGGTCACTTCTATCACACATGAAAAATAAAATTCAAACGCAAAGTGATATTTTTTAGAAATCGATTCATTCGGTAAATTACAGGCCCTAAATAAATAACAAGTGACTATAATGCATTATATCGAATTAAAAGAAATTGAATAAATATTTATTTAGGATTTGACCAAAAAAATAAAATAAATCAAATCCAAAAAAACACATTTATATTTTAAAGATCATATCAATTGTAAAAACATTATGACTCCTAGTTTATTACATCTGCTTTTTTGTACACATGTCGTGAAGTATTACCATGTTTTCTTATCCCTAAATGCACACTTGCTGCAACTATATATACCCGTGTATCCAAATCATTTATATATTAAACAAATTAAGTTTTATAAAATTTTTTTTTTTTTTTTTTATTTTATTATATTCTTGTTAAATACTCTCACAATTTTTTTTTATTACTTGTTATCCTATGATTGTTTCTGTTCTTAGCCAACAATTTATTAAGTTATGAAATCCAATAAAATTAAAAAATAATAATAATAATAATAATAATTGAGCTAGTCCACTTACCTCTCATATTTTCTAATAATGCACACGTAATTATATTTATAACCATATTAGCTTTCATTCTGTTTCCTCATCATTGAATCAAGTTCCAAATGAAGAATCGATCTTTGCTCTTCATTGCATGCAACTTGAATGCCAAAATATAGTAATGGAATTCAGCAAAATAATAATAATAAAATGTTGCAGACATTTTAGGTTATTCTGTCATGATCTAAAGAAAATATATTGAACTTGATATCTAGTGAAAAAATTGCATCGCATATTTTTCTTACATTGCAAGTTTGAACAAGATCCCATATTCATCCACAGTATAAAACAAGAAATCTACAGCTGATTTATAATGCAGAGAAATTTTGACAAAACATTATCCTGGGCCAAAAAATTCTATCAATATACAGAATTCTTATTCAAGCGACCAAATCTGAATACAGGAACCATAAACCTAGGGAGGGACATTGCATTGGTCATGAATGTAATAAATAACCATGATCAGCCTGTGACAATACCTGCTAAGACTTCACTTTTACCCCGTGCATAGATTGTGTAAACTAGTCGAATAGCATCAAGCCATCCATCTAGGGCTTCCCATGAATCAGCAACCTGATGGATAATGGAGCAGGTATTAAACATGTTTTCTTGATTTAAAAAAATGATGCATTCCATTCCCAATTTTTGTACCCAAAAAAACCTAGATATTGGCAGTAATTTACTAGGGAACAGGAAAGGAAGAATCAAGAATAAAAATATACTTCCATCTTCCTCTTAATCTTGCAATACAGATTGAAGAAGAAAATAAAAGTCATGTTTTATATTAGAAATTGAAAAATAACTTGAAGATCATCTATACACGAGCTTTGCTTGATTAAACTCTTTCATTTCCTGTTCTACTGACATACGCTTCTCTAAATGCAAGTCTTTCGAACTATATTAAATTTCAGAAGTATAATAGATTATGAATTCATCACAGAGAGAATGCCCACAGAATGAACTCTAAATGCCATTTTTTTGCCAAGATGGTAACTGATCTATTAGCTTGATCTGTATACTAGAAAGCAAATGTTCGATGGGCTCTCAAAGTAAACAATACAAGCCTACATTTCCTGATTTATATGAGGAGATTCAGAAACATATTAATAAGCTAGTAGATATCAGTAGGCTGATTATGTTTTATGCTACAGTTGTTACCATGGCAGCATTCTGACAGTTGTTTATTTATGTGTTAAAATCACCCTTCCAAAGGTAAAGTCCTGTCTCAAAAGAACACCAACCTATTTATTGCATAAAAATTCCAAAGTGAAAGTGAAAAATTAAAACCTACCAAGAAAAGTGGTCCATGAATTGTATCAATGCAGAGGCCTGCACCGGGTGGCAAAGTCAGATCAGCACATGCTGATACTGAAACAATATCTGGAACATCAATTTTGATAGCCCTTTTGTCACCATTTGGTACATCTGATCTACTAGAGAGGCTTTGAGATATTTGTTTTTGCTCTAATTTGTTGACCTGTTTAGGGAAATTATGAAGCAAAAAAGAAAAGAAGGCATAGAAAAGAGGTAAAAAAATTGGTCAGAAAAAGTACTTTCATGGAATCTCAAACCAATTTTTGATGGCCAAACTAAAGAATAAAAACATCAACAATATAGTAACTAGAAAACAAATAAACTTTACCTGTTGAAGACCTTCATGATTCAAAACAAATTGTGATCTCTTCCAGTCATTATGAGGTGCAATTGGTTTCCCTGCTGGCGGTACAGTCAGGTACCCAACTTTAAGATATGGTAAAGGTAACTGTAAATGATATTCTTGTCAGATATTTTATACAAGGAATGATTTCTTGAAGTAGTTGTCAGAATAAACAATAGCCGCCTTTAGACTGAATGACTCAAATTTCATGAGCGAAGTCATGTCATATGTACAGAGGATAAAATCACCTAAAAAGAAGTAACAATTGCTTGATTTACAAGATAAAATACAGTAAATAAGATAGTAGGAAGTCCCCCAGAAGCCAAAGGTAGGAAAAAAAAAGTTCAGCGCAGTGCTTTATCCTATGCTAAGATCCATTTTCACAGTACCACAGTTTAAGGGAGAGGCAACGATGGTTTGGGTAACGATGCAATACCAGTCACACGGAAACACAAGATCCAGCAGATAATCCAAGTTTTGGTTAAAAGTCACATATCAACAAACAAAAAAAGACCAATGCAGTACCATAGAGCTCCCAAGGCATGTATCTCATCTTACAGTTAAAAGGTCCAAGAAAATATTCTGAAAAGAAATCTAGACAATTAAATGACCTATCACAAGTGAAATCTCGCTAACGGCTTGCATATGGAATAAGCATTTTAGGATTGAAAATCATCAAAAAAATTAATTTAAAGAATTGTAATACTGACCATAGAGCGTACAAGTCTCAAGGCACTGCTGTATACCTGTAATCATAAAATAAAAAATAAAGCTAGCTTAATATTCAAAATTATTACCCTCTGACAACTAGAGAATATCATATAATGAACATGCACAGTAAGTACCGTATGGAACAAAATTAGGATTGGTGATAAGTTGTGCCAACATCAAAACAAAATAAGATTATTATTCAACACGAGGAAATTAATGGAGAAATGAGAACCAAAATATATCCAACACTTACAGAGTAATTTGGCTTCAATGCATGAGCAGCTGCAATGTAGATAGCAGACTGGCTATACAATTCATTAGGGGAAACATCTTTAGAATTGGTTGCAACTCCAGTTCTTAATGTGTCCTCTGCTAATCCATACTGCATTTAAGAACATAATGAATTGATCAGAAATTAATGTTTCATACTTTATGTTCATTGACCAACAAGGTAAATAAGCAAAATAAATGAAAATATAAAACCACAACAGTCCAAATACAGATTGCAAAGATAAAACTTACCAAAACAGTTCCAAGATTGTAGATTGCTCGGTGGAAATCAAATTGTAACTGTATTGCTGCACGAAACTGCATTATAAGAAAAGTGAAAGGTATCAAAAGGACAGAAGGTACAGATTGACCTAAATCTTAGGTGATCTTGGATGCTACATAACTTTGCTTCTTGTTCCTTTACATCCACCCATACAGCCTGAAATCTCTCAATTAACTTTTTACCTTACTAATAGCAGTTTTGACTATCTTTTGCTTTTCACGAGCAGGAACAATTGCACTGAGCTCCTACAATTGAAAAGTTAAAAGACTAACATTTAATAAAACCATCAGCACTGTTCATTAGGTAAAGTATTCACTGAGATTAGAGGACAATAGAATTTGGAATCAGAAGTGAAGCGATCTATATTTGACTTAAGTACCTGCAATGCTAGTCCCCAGTTGTTAAGAGCCTGAAATAAAATTTCATATAAGCTTAGAATCAGTAATAAAGACAGACAAACCAAGTTAAAATTAGAATAGATGGAAACTCATGGATTCAGGCTTCATATAAAACTATAAAACTCAAGAATATATAGAACATACCTGGGGACTGTTCCAGTTAAGTTCGACAGCCATTTCATAGTTCTTTGTCGCCTGCAAAATCAAATTACACATCACTTCTTTAACATGGTTTTCCTAAAGGATAATGTGGACTAAAAATGACCAAAGAGCACTTCCAAAACTCAAGCATTTCCAATGTACTTAACAAAGGATATAGTAATAGAAGAGGAAAAAGAATTCTGCATATAGTTAGCTCTTGTTAATTTCATAAAGGTCCGGTCATTAAAAAATTATTACACCTTAAACAATATGCATACAAGCAATACTTGCAACATAAAAAAATCATACATATTTGTGTATGAGCATGCCTGTGAATGAATACTAAGATTTCATAGTCAACCTGCTTCCACAGTTCTTCAGCCTCCTTCGTACGACCACGCATTTTTGCACGATCAGAGATTGCTATAGCCCAGTTATAAAAGGCCTGACAAGTAATCATCAAGCACAAATTTCAGATCAGCAGATCATGAATGCAGATAAGTTCACCAATGTAAATCTACCAGTATAAACATAATAAAACATGAACTTAAGGTGTTGAGGTTCATTAGCAATGAACAAATGCTCTACAATGCACAATCAATGGTATATGGTCCTCATCCAGCTATTACATTACTTTCTTATTATTCAATAAAGTTCTTATGGTTTACCATGAAAACAACGAAAAAACATAATCAATAAAATCACGCTCTGCAAAGTATCAAGCTACTCACTGCTTCAATGGATGGCCAATTATCTAATCTCATTTATCTGTGCAATTTGTTTCCTAATCTCTTATACTTTGCTGTGGCCAATTTATTGTTTTTGATCCATTGGATATTTCACAAGATTGTTTAGGTTAAACCAACACATACATACATCATGAAGTGTAGGGCAGAGGCGTGTAGCCTCATCATATTTTTTGCAGGCCTCCTCCAGCAAAGCATCTTTGGAAGGTGAGGTAGAATCTGGACCAACATTATCTGCACTTTCCTGCCAGCCAAACATGGATCGTGTCAACAGAATAAAGATGACAGTACCATAAACATTTATTGCTTAAGATATGGTTCACAGATTGAAGGTAGCTTTAATGCTCAAAGTGAAACATGATCGACCCTCTCACATGCATTGAAAGACTTAATGGAATACATGCTATATACCATCATTAAGAGCATTCCCCTCCTCATATGCATGCATAAATATATACACATTCATTTACAGAGAAAATAAGTCTTTGAAATAGTGTAAGCTGGACAACAGAGATCAAACACATTTGAAAACTAAAAAAGAGAACAATTTAGAGAATGTTAGCATTATAAAAATCAAATGAGATATTTCAGACCTGAAGAACCAATGCCCAATTGTATAGTGCATCATAGTCTTCTGGATTTCTCTCTATTGCACTAGCATACCTACAAAATTTTGAGTAGAATTTAAAATTTTGGAAGAGCAAAATTTCAGAACGGCTAAAATCCACAAAGTATCTTTTACCATGATGGAGCTCAAATTCGAAATACTTCCAATTTTTACTTCCATTAGTTTGTCTTAATCATTTTTCACTTCATTCAATAGTTTGAAAGAAAGCAAAGGAGAGACTTTCACATAGCTTGACAATCTATCTTAAAACAAATTCTGAAGGACAATGCCTGTTGTTAAAAATATAATGCAGTTGGGAATTTTTGTGTGATATTCTGAATACAAGTACCTCAATGAAAGTTACCAGATGGATCAGAAATGAAAAGAAAATAGGCAGGATAAAAAGGTAATACCTCCTAGCAGCAAATGTAAGAATCCGTTGGCGAGACCGACCCTCCTCATCAACACCAGTGACACTACTGATCAATTCCATTGTAGCATTGTTCTGCTCTCCCTGAAGATGTGGTGTACTCATTTGACTAAAACAATTGACAAGCATGGAGTGGTATGCGTAAGGCGCTTGCAGAAGAAAACAGATTTTTTTTTTAAAAAAAAACTCTAGTGGCATCACTAGACAAGAAAATTTCAGTTACTCCCACATAAAAAAAAAAAAGGGAATTACAATAGTATGATAAGATTAATGGGAAATGACTGGCATTCCAGCTTCATATAACATGAGACCAACTGCGTCAATTTTCAGGAAAAGCTCCAGAAGTGCAACATGAAGAGATTAGTCAAGACAAAGGCAATTAAAGGTGTTCAACATGACTGTCCAATAGCTCCAGACAAAAGAAAAGAGAAACCGAAATGGACAATAACAGTTGAAAGAGATAACTAACAGCCCAGAATTCTCTCTTGCCAGGATCAGCAATGAATGAGATAATGCTACCACTTTCAGGAGAATTGAGCAGATAAAAAGCATAATGATGCTGCTTCAATTATAGGCAAAGGCACTTTAACATGAAATGAGATCATACTACCATGCGTGCCATCATTTTAACGGACACATAGAAATAAAAGAAAGTGATAATTTTAATGCGTAGCTATTTTCAATTCAACTCCACAATTAATAGGATTCTAATCCAGTTTCCTACATTTTCTAGAAGATCCATCGAATAGTACACAAAATGAATAAACACTGAGCAAAACATCAATGAAAATACTAAGAAGCGTCCTTCGAGTGAATTCTGTATAGAAAAGACAGTACCTTTGAGGAGAGCTAACATCATCACCTTCATCACTTTTCAACTCGCTAAGCAATTCTCTCATTGTGAAAGTTCGGTTTCCTTCGTCTTTTCGCAGGTCGGGACGCGCATTCTGCTCGTTGGATTGAGGTTGCGTGGCTTCACTCGAATCGATCAACACTTCTTTAGGCTCCTCCGCCTTGGGATCTACATCCGCTACTGCCACAGCAGTTGATTCAGGTTCTGATTTCGACGCTTCTTCAGGTTCAGGAGCAAGATTTTGTTCTGGTGTAGATGCTGGTTCATTATCAGGTACAGGATTTGGTTCTGGTGTTGATGATGCTGGTTCATCATCAGGTACAGGATTGGGTTCTGGCTCTGGTACCCGTTGAGGTCCGGCTCCATTTTGCAATTCAGATTCTTCGGAGGTGGAAGTGGACATTGCAGGGAGGCTTAGGGGTTTTGCGAAGAAATTGCTGTCTGGCTTCAAAGTCGGAAAGTAGAGATCTGTTACAATGTGCAGAGTGAAGAGAAAAATCGATGAACGAATAACAGAAATTTCTTTTTTTATTATTATTATTATTTGTTAAAATTCACTTAGGCACACAGATAGGACGTGAATGCGGCCCAATATTTTTTTATGGATACATCCGGCCCAATATCGATACTTCGGTTCAGCCTTTTACGCTAAGTTGGAAATTGCCCCAAAAAGAAAAAACAGTTGTTTGGTCATTAAATATTAAATATTCATAGATCAAAACGAGCCCAGTCCCCAACTAACAATGTCGTTGCAATTATTAGAATATATTTCAACTGTATACTAACAGCCATTCCTTTTTGTTAGCTCAGTAGCTAAACTTAGCTTTCGCCCAATAAATGGCGAGAGCCTCATTTGGCTCCGTTCCCGCTCTTGTTTCATTTCGTCTACCCCGTCTCTCTCCCCAGCCAATTTCCGCCGTCCACGTCGCCGCTGCCAGCATCCCTATGGCCGATGCCAAAACTCCCCACCCTTCTATCGAAGTCATTGGCGGCGGACGTGACCTCTTCCTCCCGGCCTTCAAGACCATAAACCATCCCTACACTCCCTTCCCTTTCATTACTAAAAACCGTCACGTCGAGACCATTTTCGCTTCGCTCCTTAGAACCACCCCATACGTTCGATACAAGCGAGAGTGTATTCGTACCAAAGATGATGGAGCCGTTGCTCTCGATTGGGTAGCCGGCGACAGCCGTCGGTTGTCGCCGGATTCTCCTGTTCTCATCTTACTGGTTTGTCCTCTTTCTATGCATTGTAGTAATTTTAATGATCAAGGCCTATGGGAGATATGGAGAATTCTAGGAGGTAATTAATTTTGTACTTGAATTTGCAGCCGGGTTTAACCGGCGGGAGCGAAGATTCATATGTTAGGCATATGTTAGTTAGAGCGAAAGGAAAAGGATGGCGCGTCGTCGTTTTTAATAGCAGAGGTTGCGGAAACAGCCCTGTTACTACTCCTCTGGTACATTTCTTTTTGGTTTAATTTTGATTTTTGGAGATGCAAGGAAAGTTAGTACATAATTATGTGATAGTTTTCAATTTTACAAAACTGATAATGCAGTTCTATTCGGCTTCATTTCTAGGAGATATGCGTGAAGTAGTTGCTCTCGTTACTACTAGGTATCCCAATGCTAAAATATATGCTGTTGGTTGGTCTCTTGGTGCCAACATTCTTGTCAATTATTTGGGTCAGGTAAGATGTATTTCTGCATTTCCTTTTTCCTTGTTCTCTATTTAAAGTCTTTCCCATGATGTAATGACAATGAATATATTCATCCTTTTTTGTGTTTGTTCTTAGGTGAGGGTCTGGGTGTTGAACCCATGAAACCCACCTTGCTTTAGCATTTAGTTACTTTCGGGCTTTCAGCACATCTGATTAAGCCATTTAACCTTCAAGTTCTGAGTAATTTGTATATACAAGACTTTTGCTCTTGAATTTCTCTCATCAAACCTGTGGATGAACAGCTCTCTTCTAATATTGTGTAAAGATTAATGTTGTATTGTATTTTATTTGGCATAGTTGGAACTTTGAGTTGAAATTAAGGTATTTTCTTTTGTATTTTGATTGATATTTCTGCAACATTGATTGGTTGAATGCTCAGTTCACTTTACTATAGAAAATTGTTATTGCGTTGAAGATGTGATCTTCTCGACTCTTTTTCTCCCCTGAATATTATTTCTCGCTGTTTCACACATCTTTATTATCTCTTGCAGGAATCTCAAACTTGTCCTCTAGCTGGTGCTGTGTCTTTGTGTAATCCTTTTGATTTGGTTATTGCAGATGAGGACTTCCGTAAGGGCTTTAACATTGTTTATGACAAAGCTCTTACAAGAGCTCTCTGTAGAATTTTCCAGAAGTAATCCTGTGATGAATTTCTTTCCTTTTGTTGCCAGTTATTTCTGCTTAGAGATGATATCATTATCGCTTGTTTGTACAGGCATGCGTATCTTTTTGAAGATATGGATGGTGAGTATGACATCTCTTCAGTTACCCATGCCAGGTCTGTTAGGGAGTTTGACCAAGGATTAACACGCGGTATCTGATTCTGTACATGGAACTGATTTTGATTTTTCTTTTCCATTTATGTGGTGATTGGTGTTTCAAAATGACATGGCATTAATTTAGAGCGTTGCTACTTTATAAAACAATGCAGTTTCATTTGGTTTCAAGTCAGTGGATGACTACTATTCTAAATCAAGCAGTTCAGATGCCATAAAGCATGTCTGTAGACCTTTGCTCTGCATTCAGGTACTGCGTATAAGTGCCATTTCAAGAGTATTCTTCTGAGCCTCACAATTGATATTGAACTCCATAAGAATTTATTACTGATTCAGTTGTAATTGGTCATGTTCTATTGCAAATTTAAAACGTTTCCTATGTGAAGATAAATGGATTTGAAAATCCTAGTAAATTACATACATAGTCCTGTTAGCAATTTAATTCACTTTCTTTGGGCCTTTTCTACCATCTTGACCCCAGAGCTCATTGCTGCCATCTAGGTCTTCTTATATAACTCTATTTTAGTTTATGCAATTGTGCAAAGGACTTATGTAGTTGATATACATTTTTTCCTCTCATGGAGTTGTAACCCACATGGCAATCTCAAATGTTTAAAGATGAACTAGCAGATAAACCACATTATATTATGTGCTGTTCCTTAATACGAAGCCAAGCTTGGGCTCTGCAAGCCCAAGAAAATCTTAACCTGCTTAACGATGGCAAAAATGATGTCTTTTGAGTTCCAACTCACATGGCCTTGGTCAAGGTATTAATTTTGATGCAGATCAGTAAAAATAAAAATAAGAATTGTAGAAGTCCTATGAAATTTCATATCAAAATTAAGCAAAACCCCATTTTAGATTGAAATTGAGACCCAAACTTTGGCATTGCAATTCGTGGTTTGGTATATGTTAACTACATTTGACAACAATAAATTTGTCATTATTATGAAAGATTTGAAATTAGTCAGGCATATGTTGAATTTTCCAGACTTACCGGAAGCCATCTTCTCAAATTGCAGGCTGCCACTGATCCGATTGCTCCTGCTAGGGCAATTCCTCGTGAAGATATCAAGGTAAAGCTGGGTGCTTTTTATTCTCAATTCATATGATGCTTCTATTCACTCATCCTATATGATCAGATTATCTTCCTGGATTGCTTCTGTTTCCAATTTTTACTGTCCTTCTTATGCGATGAAGTTCTTAATTTTTTCTTCATCCATTGTTTAGAGACTTATAACGCACACATATGTAATTTGTTTTACCAGATTCTTTGATTGTTGTTGGACCATGACATGTCCATAATTATTTATGGTCTAGGTGTGGTCTTTGATTGTGCTCTATGCTGAACTCAACTCCAATAAGCCTTAATCCCAAACTAATAACAGTTGATTATTTAGATGTGTTTCTTCCACTCAATCCTGTTTATGGCTACATTTTTAAATAAATCGAGAACCACCGAGTCTTATAGAGATATGTAATTTAATCCACCATTTAAATTTTGAAGTCTTGATGCTAACATAGCTCTTATTCATTTCTTCATGTTGAGAATCCATTTCAAAGTAGCTTAGTAATTTTAAGTCTGATACCCCATGTTCTAGCTCCTATACATTTCAAAGTAAACTAAATATTAGTCAGAAATAATTTCTTTCAAATGTCTGTATATGAGGTTATGAAATGTCTTTAGGAACTCTCTTATTCATTGTAAAACTTCTGTGCAAAATCACCCTGGGTGGGCAAAATTCTTTTTCTTACCTGTCCGACATGGTTGAATTTCAAAGGCATATTCTAGTATTTTCCAATTATGTGGAAGCATAAAGTAGTCAATCAATGATTTATAGATAGATAGGGTTCATTGGCAACCATGTCTTGTTAACTCTCCAAAAGTGTTGCCATCATGTTCCTCTGATCATTTGTTTAGTTGAGTAGTTAGTTTTGCATTCCCCCCATTTCATTGCACATGTTCCAGGCAGTAATCTAAAATTCCTTTCATCACGACATTAAATGTGATGAAGCAATGCCTTCTGTAGCTGATTGCAATGAATATAATGTACCCGCATCATATTCTTAGCCATTCGTTGCCTGTTGTCCCAGAAAAACCCAAATTGTTTGCTGATAGTGACACCCAAGGGTGGCCATCTCGGGTGGATTGCAGGCCCTGCAGCTCCACTTGGTGCTCCTTGGACCGATCACATAGTGATGGATTTCCTTGAATATCTGGAGGGAGGTGGAGCTAAGTCCACCGGTTATGTGCAAAGCGAGCTACAGTCTCCTGTGGGTATGCAGCAAGTGGAAGTATAAGTTGCAAATAGTTAAAGACATTTTTCGATATTCTCCAGAGGGCATACAGCAAGTTGAAGTATAAGTAGCAAACAGATGAAGGCATTTTTTGATATTCTTACATATTTATCTTCGTTAGTGCGTAAAGCGATTGTATACCATCATTAATAAACACTAGAATAAGCGATATTCATTGGGCTAGAGGCGCGCCTTCAGTAAAAGCTTCCATGGTTGATTGACCAAAATGGAGATTCCAAATTGTATGAGCAATAGGTCTTCTATACCCGTGCTTCATAATTGGTCATTTGTATCATACTTGCATTTACCATTTATTATTCAATTATTGTTGTTTCAGCTGATAAGAACATTACACATGCTGAGGATTCTTTTTTTTTTTTTTTTTAATTTTATTTCTAGTGATATTTGGATCAAAGGTTAAGCATTTGCCGTAATCCAATTTGCTTTGTTGGTGTGATTTGTTGAAATTTAAGATTTCTATCTAATATTGAATATAATTCCAAATGGCATTCTATATTACCACGTGGGATTTAGATTGTACTGTCTATTTTGTCTTTGTCATCTAATTAGATAGAGATCCATATCCAATAGTCGTGGAAGGTTCTCGTTTTTCCATGTTTTCTGTACATGACTGTCTTTGGGGAATGATTCATGGGGATGAATTTAGCGAGTAGATAGAGATCCATATCCAATAGTCGTGGAAGGTTCTCGTTTTTCCATGTTTTCTGTACATGACTGTCTTTGGGGAATGATTCATGGAATGATTCATGGGGATGAATTTAGCGATTAGATAGAGATCCATATCCAATAGTCGTGGAAGGTTCTCGTTTTTCCATGTTTTCTGTACATGACTGTCTTAGGGGAATGATTCATGGGGATGAATTTAGCGATTTAGCAACTGGCCGCTGAATGTTCAAAGTCGAATATTTTATGATTAGAGTGTTTCGACCTTGATGGATCTCATTTCCATTCTTTTTTCTTTTGTGGGACTCGATTCTTTAAGTTTGATGGTTGAAATACGAAGGAAAGTAAGAAGAAATTGATTTTCCCCAAAAAAGCAGAGACAAGGATCTGTCGTTTTTAGTAATGTAAAAGTTTCCTTTTAATTGGTGAACGACAGAAAACTTTGAAAAGTTTTGCTCTATGCAGACAAATTTGAAAAGTTTTCCTACTTAATGCAAACGACAAGAAAACGAATCTTAACCAAAATTCAGTGAAATTTTGGAGTTCTGCTTTTTTTTTTAAAAAAAAAAAAAAAAAAAAACTATGCAACAAATTTGAAAAGTTTTCCTACTTAATGCAAAACGACAAGAAAACGGAATCTTAACCAAAATTCAGTGAAATTTGGAGTTCTTGCTTTTTTTTTTAAAAAAAAAAAATTTTTTTTTTAAAAAAAAAAAAAAAAAAAATCAAATGAGGGTATTAAACCCGAGTTACACATTCAGTAGCCGAGGCCAACAAAAAAACACCTGCATTACCAGCTTGGAGCAATTTTCCAATAGCAGAAAAATGAACATTTACCATTCGTAAACATGAGCCTCATTTGATAACTCAGCAACAGAATTAGCTTCTCGATAAAATCTTTTTAATAGCGGCCTCGCATGCTCGATTAAGCAATTCAAAACAAGCAAGCAAGAGATTAGATCTGGTAATTGGTATAGAAGCATATTTAGGTCGGGGACGGGGGCAGTGACAGCGATGAAGATAATAATGTAATGTGGAAAAAGCAAAGGAATTTGGGATGTGATGTGGTGTCGTTTCGTTTTTGGTTGAACCTATGTGGGGACAGATGTTCTCCAACTTATCTTCTGTGGCACTGGCCACTCCACCTCACTTTCCTCCAAATTTCCAAATGAAATTATAGCAGTTGACAGATAATAACATCAGCGTCTAATATCCAATTCTGAAGAAGATAATGTAAATATGGCTCCATCTTCAAATGGCCTTACTGCATAATATATTTCATTTTGTAGATAAAATGGAATAAAATAAATGATATTAATATTTTCTCATCACTTAAACCATTTGGAAAAAAGTTTGAATTGTCAAACATAGACAGAGCAAAGAAAAACCAAACCAAAAAACAGAACAAACAGAAGAAAACGTGATGCAATAATATTATAACCTAACCTAACACCCAAAAGTTCTTGAATGAAGGCACGTAAAAAGAAATTGGGATTGGATTGGAATTACACCTCACGAAAGATCATAGAATTTCTTCTTTCTCTTTAGTGGTGGGTTCTGCCTTATCCTTCAATGGACCCAGACACCACATATGTGCACAGTTTAAGGACTGTCCATATTGTAAATTACATAAATGTACAATGTGGTTTGTGTCCTATTTTAGGGTGAAGTTACGGTGAAAGAAATTCTTAATCTTCGTGCTCATCTATTAATGCCCACGTGCTACACAATGGAGTTCCCTTACCTTTGGAGGTCATTATCAATATAATGACTTTGCAATTTGGATATTTGTAGGTAGGGGGCGGAGTCAAACAAAATTTTCCTAACTTTTAGGGGATTGAAATATAATTTTTGTATATTTTGAAGGATCAAAATGTAACGTTTTTGGAAGGCCACGGCCTCTTAGGCCCTCCGACAGCTCCGCGCTCTTTATAAGTGTCGTAGGGTAATTTTTTTCGTATATAATATATTGATCAGCAACCAGTAAATTTCATTGGTAAATTGATAAAAATCCATCAAACTCAGAAATAAAATCCAAACAAAATATTAACAGATTTCAGAATTCATTATTTTGGATTTAATTATAAACAATTCCATATCTAATTAATTAAAAATTATGAATTTGTAAAGACACTCAATAGGATTTTATATATATTTAATTGCTTATTTAAGGCAACAGATTCCTATAAAAACAATCCATGTCATTAAATAAACATAAAAAAAAATTTATAAATAACAGTATTAATGCACACCTAACTTAATTTTAACTTTTATACAAATTAAATAAATATGCCAATTTGTCACAGTTTTTAATGTGTCCATTTTTTATTTTCATATAATAGGATTTTTTTTTTAATTATTTTTTTCGAAGCATGTCCTGCACGGGTAAATAAATAAATAATCTTAATTCTTAGGTCCACTTTGTAAGCCCATTAATGATTCTATTCAACCTAAAGATCTTAATTTACGGATCATTAGGCTTAATTAAACACCATTATCATAAAATTAATACAATCCCTTGAATTCTTGCATATGTTTGTCTAATATCAAAACCTTTCTCTAACAACTTTTTATATATGAAAAAGAATTACAATAGCTAAAACTGACGTGTACGATGACGCGTGATTTTATATTTCAATTATTTTATTTAGGTCATTAAATTTTCAACTCAACTGAGAAATATGCAATATTTAGAACTACAATTTAATAAGTTATGTAACTAATAAATAAATTTAATATTGAGCTTATCTACGCTGATATTTGACTCAAAATATGCTCGTATTAAGGATAACTTATTTCATAATTATTTATTTTTTTAAAAGCATTTGCCCTTTAATACTGGTGTCTAAATTTAATTGGTCAAAATTAGAAAATTAATTGGTAATTATATTTAATAGTATCAATAACCAAAATAAATAATGTCTTCTACATTAAGCATTTTTCTGTTATATTATATGTAAAAGTGGGAATGAAGGGAATAATGAGTTTTTCTATTATTAAAAATTTAAAATACTCTAAAATAACTTTAGTTATAGCCAATTGAAAATTTTTAACATAAAAATATATATAATATCTCAAAAATTGGATTGGATGCTTTTTTAATAGATAAATATATATAGATAATTAAGCATTTGAAATTTAAAATTTTACTATTATTATCTTGTTATGTCTAATTTATGTTTCATTTCATTATATTATTATATAAATTATTAATTTTAAAATTTTACTATTATATCTTTGTTTTATGTCTAATTTATGTTTCATTTCATTATATTATTTATTATAAATATTAATAAATAATTTAATAATTTTATTATTATTAATTATTAATAAAAATTTTTAAATAATTTATGATTTTGATTGTTAAAAAAATTAAAAATAACATTATTATTATTATAAATATTAATTTGATTTATGATTAGTTTATTCTATTATTAACGTATATTTATTTATAAATATTTAATTTGATTTAGATTAGTTTTTTATTCTATTATTAACGTATATTTATTTACTAAAGGAGATTATAATGAAAGTTATTAATATATAAGTTAATTATAAAACATAAAATAAAAGATATATGATGATTTTTATAAATCAATTTGGTATTTAAACAAAAAAATAAAAGCAACTACTTAAATAAAAAATAAAATCAACTACATGATAAAAACTATACGCATCTATATGTTATATAATATATAAATAATATATTTCATTTTTAAATTGCTATTTTAAAAAGAGAAATAAATATATTGATTTTTTTTCAACTACGTGATGTTTCGAAGCATTTCCTGCACGATAATTAATTCTTAGGTCCACTTTGTGAGCCCATTAATGATTCTATTCAACCTCAAGATCTTAATTTACGGATCATTAGGCGTAATGATTCTATTCAACTAGGTAAAGTTTGGTACGAAAGTAAAAATTTTCGAATCGTATAGCTTATCAAGAATTAAAAAAATAAATAAATAAATAAAAGAGGAAAAGAAGGAAGGCATGTATATAAATGAAAATAAATAGAAGACAGCCAATTAGGAACTACCAAATTCCAATAATAGGTCTTTCATCGTGAGCTGTAAGTATCTATTGAAAGAATATAGCTAATAAGGTAACTTAATAAAGGATTAATATTTACTTAAAATAAATATACTTCTAATCAGAAATTAACAAACTAATTAATTGTTCGCATGGCACGCCAAAATTTGAATGAACGATAACGATATAAATTATAATGGTGTGTCCTAATCCAACCCAACCAAACCAAACCAAACCTATTTCTTCTTAACCTGTCTACATTCACTGTACTCCGGTTTCCATACAATTTCCACAATTTATTTTCAAATTACCATTAAACCTTTTATCATTCACTCTCTATAAATAGGAATGCCCAATCCCTGATTTTACCAAATCAATCTTCTCTTTACCTCTCATCCTAACAGTTATGGCTGAAACCAAAACAAACAACGTCTTTGTTCCATCAGGGAAGAAGAGAACTGGCCAGGACGACTTCGACGGCGATGATGTTATTAAAGCTAAGAAATCAATGTTGCCATCGGCTTTGTCTTTCGGGGATGATCCTGTCGCTGCATTAGCCGCCGCACGCCACGAATTCGGTGAACATGGTGGTGTTAATATGTCCATTGAGGCCTCTGCTACCTTCACCGTAATGGAGCCTGACACCATGCGTCGCATGTTCTCCGGGGAGCTCGGTCCTGATCGTGACTTTTTCATCTACAGCCGTCACTTCAACCCCACCGTCTTAAATCTTGGCCGCCAGATGGCTGCTCTGGAAGGCACCGAAGCCGCCTATTGTACTGCCAGCGGTAAGCCTCAATATTTTTATTCTTAATGTTTTTTTTTTTTTTTAAAGGCTACAAGGAATAAAAGGTTTATGTTTCTTGGACAGGTATGTCTGCAATATCTTCGGTGTTGCTTCAGCTTTGCAGCAGCGGAGGACATGTGGTGGCCTCAAGGAATGTGTATGGCGGTACTCATGCTCTGTTAAGCCATTTTTTACCAAGGGCATGCAATATAACGACGACGTTTGTCAATATTTTAGATCTTGATATGGTAAAAAATGCCATAGTTGAAGGCAAGACCAAGGTCCTGTACTTTGAATCCATGTCCAATCCTACTCTTCAAGTGGCCAACATCCCTGAATTAAGCAGAATTGGCCATGACAAAGGGGTCACGGTGGTCGTGGACAACACTTTTGCTCCGGTTGTCCTATCTCCGGCTCGTCTAGGGGCTGACGTGGTTGTGCATAGTATTTCCAAGTTTATTAGCGGTGGAGCTGATATAATTGCAGGTATGATCAAGATCAACAATGATTTATTAATATTAGATAAATTGATCCCTTTAACTTTTGGAAAGTAATCTCTTAATTTTAAGATAAGATTGGGTGATTAATTAGCATAATTGGTAGAATCCAAAGGATAAGCATGTGATCTTTTTTCTTGATTAACATATATAATTGGTACGTGAACTTTATTTTCTCTGTCACATGAATGTTGGTGTCCTGAGTATAAGATATTATATTCTACTGTTAGGATCTCACATGTGATTCTGAGAGTGATGTTTGTTTCTGGAAATTTCTTGTCCTCCTAGTCCTGCCTTGAATGTGACGTGTCCACTTTATTCAGTTGATTCATGGCATGTCCGACACATATGAATATGCAGGTGCTGTCTGTGGGCCAGCGAGCTTGGTGAACTCAATGATGGACCTTCAACAAGGGACGTTGATGCTTCTTGGACCAACAATGAACGCCAAGGTAGCTTTTGAATTATCAGGAAGGCTTCCTCACTTGGGATTGAGAATGAGAGAACATTGTCACAGAGCAATGGAATATGCCACCAGAATGAAGAAACTGGGACTCAAAGTCATATACCCAGGTCTTGAAGAGCATCCACAACATCAGCTCTTGAAATCCATGGCTAATAAAGATTATGGTTTCAGTGCACTTGTTTGCCTTGACATGGAAACTGAAGAAAGGGCTAACCGGTTGATGAACCACTTGCAGAACTACACCCAGTTTGGGCTTATGGCAGTTAGTTTGGGATACTACGAGACGTTAATGTCAGTTTCTGGGAGTAGCACCAGCAGTGAAATGAGTCCTGAGGAAAAGAAACTAGCTGGGATTTCGCCTGGGTTAATTAGGATGTCTATTGGGTATATTGGCAATTTGGAGCAGAAATGGTCACAATTTGAGAAGGCAATTTCCAGAATGCAGGACTCAAGCTTCGGTTACAAGGGTTAATATATATATATATATAAATAAAAAATAAAAAAAAAAAGAAGGTGCTGTAATCTTCAATGTTTTGTGCCTGCAATAATAAAAATCGACCATTGTTTGGTTTAAATATTCTAAACTAGCTGAGTTCATTTTTGTAATCATCAAATCAGGTATAAATACTAAAAGAGCGCACAGATAAGTGATTCACCACAATGGGTTTGGGCCTCAAAGCCAACCCATGATTATTAATGTATTAATGGTCCAAATAATCCATAAGAAGCCCAAAATACAGTTGGGCCACTGTCCCATAAAATGTAAACCCAGATCGTATTCCTGTCTTCTCTGGTCCACAGGAAACGATTTCACCCGGTTGGTGAATACTGTAGTCATTGTCAGATGAACAAAAAAAATTAATTAATTGATATTTTTGATAAACCACTCATCATTTTCTTCTTTAAGCGAGGTGGATAATTCAATCCTTGTCAGTGAAGTTAAAATACCCATTCTTTTCTTTCTTAAGTAAAGTGGAGTATTCAATTTTTATGACCAGAGTAAATACCCATTAGAAGGCTTAAGCAAGCTTCTCAATTATGTGTTTGCAGGGGTTTTGAATCATAGAATTGGACGTTTACAGGTAAGTAAAGCCACTAGGCTTTGAAAGATATGGATACAAACCTAACAAGATAACTACAAATATAGAGCAGACACAAGAAGATCACAAAATCTTTAGTAGAGCGATGTGGACAAAATTTCTCCCATGTAAAGGAGCTTTCAGTAATTACCATCATTGTCCTTTCTCTCCACGTTTATTTCACGTGCTCTTGGCTGCTTCTTCGTGAGACGTGATTATCTCATTAATTGTAAAAGTGGGAGAGGAGGTTTTTGATATCATTTCTTTACTTATCTAGCTCACAAATTTAAACACAAGAAACCAATTAAAATCAGGTCGGTAGACGCAGATTCTTTCACTATGCCAATTTCTATATTTAAGATTCGAATCTGAGATTTTTCATTAAGAGGAAATGAGTTTCGATCACTCCATAATTATTCCGACGCTAATGCTGAATAATTTGTTGATGAAAGAATTATATATAAATAAATGATTTCATATCAATACATCAGGTCGATGTAATAAGATTGTGAAAAGCTTTAATAATACAGTGGATGATAGAAGACAATAACAAAATTGTAGCCCATACATTGAACTATCTTAATCCAAAATCTGGATCACTAACTTGTTATAATGAGTCACTACCTGTGCACCCCATTTGCTCTTTCTTTTTGGCCAATGCTTTAGCCTCCTAATCAAAAAGATAATTAGGCATGCGCATGGGAAAGCAATAGGGTCCAACAATAAAAGATCTAATTATCTACTTTCTAGCTAGGATGGTCCATTGCTAATATAAACTTTTTTTTGTTTAATTTATTAAAAGTTTAATAACCCGAAATAATAATAGAGGATTTGAACTCGAGATCTCTTACTCTTTACGTAGATAAGAAAACCAACTAGACCGCTACCTAATTAGACCGCTGCAAAATTAATTAATTAGTTGTGCTTAATCAATTCTTGAATATGTACCAAGTTTCTATTATTTAAGCAATAATGCACTTAGGGCCCAATCTGAGCACTTTCTCTTGCATTAATTGAACTTGGCTAAGGTTTTGTTTTGTGCAGTGATTTTCTTAAGCCCACTAGCCAGTTAAAGTAATGCAAAATATTAAATCATTAATACATTTAATTGTATGGAATATTCCAAAGTATATACCACTATTTAATTTAATAATAATTTATAGTTATTTTTTTAGTTAATTTTGTTTCATATAAGTTATGGATGCGGTTGAGCTCAAATTATATGTGTAGTGATATAAAAAGAAAGAAGTTTGAAGTAAATAGTAATGGTGACTATTTCACTTAGCCCAATCTCCTTAGCCAAAATTCCCAACTTCAAACTAATATCCCTAAATCTATCATCTGTTAAACGAAATTTACCAAGTTAGATCTTTAAAATAAAAAGTCCAATTTTAGTAGACAAAATCAATCCAACAGTAGTAATTATGCAATGTTTAAAATTAAAAAAAAAAAAATCAATTTTACTCATGATTTACCTTGATTAGTGTAATCCTGCATTGAACCGGTCTTTAAATTTTTCCCAATTTCATACAAACTTGCAATTAACCGCCGGTTATAAATGGTTAAACTAGAGTTTTAGGTGCAAAGTTTATCATATTTTTCCTCTCAAAATTAAGCAAAAAGACGATATATATTCTCGAAGCTCAAAGCCACCTTTTTTCACGTCATAAAATTAGCTTTTAATCGTTTAGGTTTAAATTTACTTTCCATGCGCGCTGATTTAGGAAAAATTGGGTTAAGTGAGAATAAAATGTCGAATTGGTAGATTTTTTTTATCCAAAAATTCATTTAGGGGTTTCTTGAGAGTGCAAATTGAACATTTTTTCCTTTTGTAATTACATATTTATGTGGCATAGGCTGTGCCGTCAATCACTACTCTTTCTATAAATTGAATTTATTTTCGTTTTATTTTTAATATTAACTATATGCCATTAATTAATGATTCAGAATTTACAATGAAGAGGTATATTATACTTGCTACTTATTAGCCATGGAAAGACGTACAAAGGGGATATTTACAATGTGTTCTTGTACTGTATATGTTATTAGGACACAACTTAATTAACTACTAATTAGCAATTAGCAACCTCTCCTCCTAGGATATACTTTGACGCTAAGAGGGTTTGCCAGTTCACAAGAAAGCCTTAGCACTTCCGTGAGATCCACCGGGTCACGATCCGATTGCACCCACTCGAACTCATGCAACAAGGTCCCCACCCAAAAGCTAACTGTGGCTAAACCCAATGCCTTCCCGGGGCAAGTTCTCCTCCCCGACCCGAATGGAGCCAGTCTAAGGTCCGACCCTAAAACTGAAAACTCCGTGTCAGTGTCTTTGCACATAAATCTTTCTGGCCAGAACTTGACTGGGTCCATCCAGACCTCTGGGTCCCTTGTTATGGCCCACATATTAACCATAGCTGTGGTCCCTTGAGGCACCTCATACCCATCCACTTTAGTATCCGTGATTGCCAAACGGGCCCAGGATAAAAGTGGGCCCGGTGGGTGTAGCCTAAGTACTTCTTTCACAACTGCTTGTAGGTAAATCATTGATTGAATATCTGATTCCATCAACGGCCTTGATCTTCCCACGACTCGATCAAGCTCATGATGGACTTTTGATTGGATTTCAGGATGGAGTACCATTCTTGCTAGTATCCACTCTATCAAAACCGCAACAGTATCGGTTCCTCTAAAAATCATCTCCTGTAAAATATATATATATAAAAAATTAATTAATTAACCTCTTAAAATCCATCAACAATTTAATAACTATTATTTAAAGAAAAGAATTATATATATATATTTTTTTCTCTTTCTCTTGATCCATAACAATAGTCATGATCATAAACATGCAAATAGTCATGATTATGGCTTACCCAAAGAACAGCAACCATATCTTGGTCTGACAACTTGTCCGGTCCTTGAAGTGAGAGTAAAACGTCCACAAAATCTTGCTTCCTTTGGCTGTAGTTTAACTGCGATTTGTGTTGGTCAATAATCTGGTTGACAAAATGGTTGACCTTAGGAACAAGTTGGGAGCACCTGAACCTGATCTTTTGAAAATCTAAACATGCAAGCCAAGGAAGATGATCGGACCAGTTGAGCTTCCCAAGTAGTTCATAACCTTCCTCAACAAGCCCTCTCAGTTGTTCTGTTTCACTATTATACGAACTCAGTTCGTATCTACGCCCAAACACAGACCACATCATGTTGTTAAGTGATGCTTTTTTTAGTATACTGCGGATTTGGAAATCCCCTTTCTGACATGCAATTAGTGATACCATTTGAGAACCAATATCTGATCTCTGTGTCTCTGTTAAGTTTATTTGTTTAGGACAGAAAAGATGAGTTGCTGCGATTCTCCTTAGGGTTCGCCAATATAGTCCATAAGGAGCAAAGCCAATTGCTCTGTTAAACATAAGTCCATAAGCAGATTCTTTGAGTGGACGATCTGCAAAGACTGAGCTGTTTAGAATTTCTTTAGCCACATCAGGATTGCATGTGACTATAACCCTACTGTCTCCCAGGCTAAAAGCCATCAGTCTTTTTGCCTTAAAAAGATTAGCTGCAGCTGCAAGCTTATGATGAGCTAAGTTAGCCATGAGATTCATGCTGCCCAGCAGTGGAAACCCTCGAGGACCAGGAATTATTTTGCTTTCTCTTTTAATCAACCAGTGTTTACCCCAGGCAGGGCCTCCAGGGTAAGCCCAGTAGCACAAAGACATGGTAAGCCAAGCCATGCAGAGAAACATAAGAAGAAAAAAAGTGCTATGAGAAGAGAGAGAGTTGCATTTGGAAACAAGAGCTAAAACCCAGAAGCTCTCAAGCTGTGTTTCCATGGAAAGAAGGAGAAAAAGTAGTAAAAGTAGTTGTTTTTTAGAGTAGTTTTTTTGTGTGTGCGTATGCGTGGGCTTTCCTTTTTTGGGTAGAACTATGAAATGGGAGATTGGTTTATATAGAGAAAGACTGAGAGGGAGAAAGAGGGATTGAAGGGTGGAGGATTATTAATTTATTAATTATTTTTGTACCAAAGAAAAAAAAGACTGTTAAACAGTGAATTATGAAAGCATAACAGAAAATGAAAGGGCCGTTATTGAAATATCTGCGTGCGCCGCCATGGATATGTAACGCAGCAGGAGATTTACTGGAAGGATAGTACTCAGCACACAACCTTTAATATTAAATAAAGATATAAAGTTAGAGAACTTTCTTAAAATTCGTAAATAAATTATTTGATAATATTATAACATTGCAAAACAAAAGAGGATTAATAACTAATTATAGTTAATAATAATAATATATATATACTATATATATAATATATTACTATATATATACTATATATATATAAATGACAACGAAAACTGATTGTTTAATTCAAACTTAATATATAAATGAAACTGCAAAAACTGATTGTTTAATTCAACTTAATTTAGCTTGAAAGAAGCACGCTGTAATTAAGGTAGCATAAACTAAGATTATTATTCTACATATAATCTAACGAAGAATAATAGTCTAAAAAAGAATAATTATATATGTACGGCTACAAACTTTAAAATAAAAATAATTTTATACTTGAAAGATATGGGGATATTGATGACAATTAAAAAGAAATCTCATTACAATTAATAATTGATATTCATTTTCATAAAACCATAATAATTTCATGCAAGCATACTAACCTATTTTTGATTAAAATTAATAAAAATATTTTATTTTTATGATTTAATAAATATCGAAATATCTAAAAAAAGATTACAGTATTATTATGTTCAAGTCCTTTTCAGCATATGATTTGATGAGTGTGTAAGAATTATGGATTCGTGTATTGTATGGCCTTTCGATCACTTAGCATCCACTGAATAAAAGATAAAAAGAAAAGCTAGTGTATTGTATAGTAAGAAGAAATATCTAAACCAGCTGGACAATTGCTGGAGAAGCTTACAGGTGTCAAGCCAAGGTCATCCGAACGCAAAGGTGGCCTGTGCTGGTGTGGTGGGCATTCTGCCATTTTCAAATCCGAAAACAATTAATTAATTAATACCATAAACATCTTTTTTAGGATTTATTAATGGAGAGCTATTTATGTTAAAAAAATTTTATTTTTTTCCGAAATAACTATCCTAGCTCCGGTCTCTCGCGTTGACACGTGGTTTGAGGGTGCATGCAATGTTCATAAACTTGACAATTAATCCGCCAGGGGGCTTGAAAGGCCAACGCTATATTTTTGTTTTTGGCAGGAAAGGATCAATTATTTATTTTATTTTATTTTTTTTCAATTTACTTGTCTTTATCATGTGCCGTTAAGTGCAGGGACATAATTGTCTTGTTAAAACATAGGATAAAACAAATTAGGCCACAGCACAGGAGATGGTCTCAGTCATTTGTCATTCCCACTTGGGTTCCTCCCTGCATTTGAGATAATAATAATAATAATATATGCCCCACTGTTGGTTTCAGGTGGTGAAATTATTATTAATCAAATTGATGTTAAGTTTGATTAGCGGAGGACAGACCAAATCTTTTGCTTGGCCATTTCATTTTGTTCCAAATTATCCTTTAATTATATTCTCTGTCTGAAGATTTTTTAAGAATTTTCTCAATATTTTACAGCCAGATCTTTTTTTTTAAACCTTTTTATCAAACTGAATTTGCTTATAATATCTTGTCCTCAGGTACATTTTGTAGATATGCAATAAAATTAATTTATATTAATGTGGGTTCTTGGAAAAAATATTCTTTTTTTTTAATTCATTAGAGATCCAATAGGCCGAAATAACACTGTGAGCTACACAATGATATAACTCTTTCATTAGATCATCAAATTGGTTAAAACAACTATTGATCGTGAGTACTGAAATTTAAGACTTTTTGCTACTCACATAAGCAAAAAGATCAACCAGACTATCACATGATTAATTAATAAATTTAAACGAGCAAAATCGTGACTATAGCAAGTGCCAACTGTCAGGAAAATTAAAACCTTAATTGATATCCTACACACACCTTATGGTTATAAAATAATTAGATATGTTTTCATGTGGAGATGCAATAATGAGCAAGAAAAGTAAATATAACACTTTCACATAATATATGTATATATCTCTTTTAGTGCCATAAGAGAATCAACATTGCCTTGTTATTTTTGTACAGATGTGAGAGATTGCTTTGGTGACATCATATGAAATTTGGATTTGGTTCAACACTGGGGACCAAGAACATTTGCATATTGTAATTATTTAATTATATGATTTTATTACAACATAAAATTTGATCCTAAACGCTAAAAAGAAATGAAACCCTTGTATTAATATAGAGTTTTTGGTCATAATATATACAGTCTTGAATTGTTTTGGTCAATAATGTTCCCATTCAGTGGATTTGATTGGTCTTAAGCAAGTAAATTAAAGAGCAACCTATCAAAGATTTGGTTGGATTCTTGTTTTAATTATATTATAATCTCCAATGAATAAAGGTAGTACAAATTGGTAGGTCTATATTTGCTCAACTTGCGTAATATATGAATCTTTTGAATATTGCTTAATCGGAAATTATATTCTCCTTTGTATTGTATTTTCATTGCTTTTTGAAAGTATTTTCTTTTATATTGTAAGCACACAAGGTATCTTTCCCTCAAAGACAAAAAAAAAAAAAAAAATATTCTTTTTTTATATTGTAGTAGCCACACAAGGTACTCTTCCTCAGACAAAAAAAAAAAAAAAAATATTCTTCCCCCTTTTCCTTTTACTTATTTTTATTATGGATATATCGTGAATCAATTAATTAAATTTCTTAATCTATATACAAAAAAAAAAAAAAAAAATATTCATTTCCACCTTCATTTACTTATTTTTATTATGATATTCGTGAACAATTAATTAAATTTTCTTAATCTATATACAATTAATTACGGAATGCTCATGTGAAACAAATCTAATTATAAGATTAATCTATATATCTAATTAAGATTTTCAGGTGATAGACAATGACACGTTCACTCTTCAATTAACATTCGAGGGAGAAAAGCAAGCAACTATGAACATATGAATCCAAGAGGGACCCTTAACAAAAGCAGTTAGTGTATATATATTGCAGCTTATCATATATTGATGGTAATGGTTTCTAAAGCTGCCTTTTGGGTGGTTATTATAGTTTTCTATTGATTTTTTGGCAACTAGAAATTGCTGACAATTGGTAGAGAAAACACAGGTGGCCATCTTCCCAGAAAACAAAGATTTTGTTTTTATGATGCAGATGAAATATGCACTCAAGGATGCGTTTTGCTTTATGATTTTTTGTGTTCCTAGTGCAACTTGATTATGACTCTTGTAAAGGTGTATATAAAGCTAAATTGCAAGTTGGATAACTCCTTGAAAACGATATTCGCTTAAGCAGTATCACTGATTATTTAATTTTGTGTTTATGTTTTAAAAAAATTATATAAATATATATTAGCACGTGAGCTTTTTTCATTTGGTATATCCAAGTGAAAGGAACTTAAATATTTCTTCTAACTTACAGTAGTTTCCTATTTTGGGTCAGGTTTCGTGTATTGGGTATTAGGGGGTTTAGGCCCGTCCCAAAAGGAAGGTCCAATGGCCCAATTAACTTGGGTTGTCTGTAGGCAATCGGCGGTTTTTGTAATCTAAATTCGATCCATTTCAAATTGACAAGTGTTTAAACAGATACAGAAAATCTGATTTGATTTTGATCAGTTTGGATTTGATAAAAGGTATCGGCATTTCTTTCCTGTAATTACGTATCGGGCGATAGAATTTTTCACTTTGCTACTGCAATTTTTTTTTATGATGGATTCATCAGAGAATACATCAATGGAGAATAGTGGCAATGGCGTATTGCCAACACAAGCCAACGATACTGATACGATAGAAGCAGTAGATCATGATCCGAAACAGAATCTAATCCAGGTTATTAATTCCATTCAAAGGACGCTTGCCTTCCTCCACCACCTTTATCTGACCGTCTCCACCTTCAATGCCGCCTCCCAGCTCCCTCTCCTCCGACGCCTGTACTTTTTTTTTTTTTCAATTTTTTGTTTTTGTAATGCACAATCCTCGATTAGGATTTGTTTGGTGATCATTTAATTTATGAAATTAATGTGTTCTTTTGCAGCAATGTTCTTGTTATGGAGTTGGATAATTTGATTAAATTGTCTGACAAATTGAACATTCAAGTCCCTACAGAGGTCCTCAGGTGAGTTTTTCCTTTTCTTTTAAACAAAAATTAGAACAGAAATCAGTCTAGCTTGGCTTGTCTGGATTCTACTATTAAGTTGAATGATTTGTACTTAGCTACATTGACGATGGAAAGAATCCAGATGATTTCACTCGAGATGTTATAAACAACTGCATTTCCACAAATCAAGCTACTAAAGGCCAAGCTGATGCCTTCAAGGTTCGTCTTATCCAATATTTTGTGATGGTTTTCTTTATGATATGTGTTTATATTTATAAGTCTTATTCATGTTATAGAGTTTACGTAGTCATCTTCTGGAGGAACTTGAGCAGGCTTTTCCAGAAGAAGTTGAACATTATAGGGAGATCCGTGCAATTTCTGCTGCTGTAAGTTATAATTTCTCCATGGAATTTGCCCATTTCTTTTTATTGTCAAAATCTAAATTCTACTATTATTCGTCTCCTTCAACCTGAACACAGTTTTCTGTTCACTTCATCTTTGGCCTCGCTTTATTGCGGTTATTCATATTCTGTGTGTAAACTTGTTACGGGATTGTCTAGATTCAAATTAGCTGTGCAAGCATCCGTTAGGATAGGTAGTGATTTGAATTCGATGTGGTAAAATTTTTTTTATTTTTTTTGATTCCAACACATCTTTAACGCCTACACTATATACTATCATATATAATACGACAAAAATTATAGTTATTGATTCATATTTCTGTTGATTTTAGTATTTAGTGGCTTTTTTTTTTTTTTGTTAAACAGTAACTTCCATTTTCTATGATTTTGGCTGATATCAATCTTCTCCATTTACTTTGCTGGTTTCAAGATATTGATCTCTTCATGTCAGTTTTGGTGACTGGATTATTTGCAGGTTGGAATATTTTGTGTAGGTTATACAGCTAATTTGGGTTTTAAATAATAGTATCAAGGCCTTCCTTTCGAAGATATCTATTTTCATACAAGATATTGCAGTGTATATATTAACTTCGTCAATTTTAATTAAGCATGGAGTTGGCATGCATAGACCTTGTACCTTACGTGTGAATCAAGTTAAAGGTGTCTGAAGATTTAAATTTTAAAGCTCTTCATCTCACCTCTGCAGGAATCAAAACAGCTTGCTGAAGCACAAAGTTCATTACCGAATGGGGATGTAAAGGTTAACAGTGAACTTTAAAGGCCACTTTGTTTATGAATCAGGTTTTTTCATTTCTTTTTTGCTCTCTGCACACTCTAAATTTTATTGCCCTATAAAATTAGGGACAGCAACATGAGCAATATTATTGATATGATATAGCAACGTTTTTTCGATTAAGTAAGCAAGCTGGTATAGCAACATTGACAGTTTAGGTCTGTCAGTTGATACTAACGACAAATAATTCCATCCAAATTTATGTGATCTTTATTTTGAAGTTGAAAATTGTCACAAAATATGTACATATATTGAAGTTTTTTTGTTTTTTCATTTCATTCATTAAATTTAAGCAATAATTGTGTTGCTCAAGACAAGAACTCCCACCATTGTGAACTACAGGTTGACTCATCAAGAAGATAATTTGACGCAAAACGATGCCAGTCAGATGAGGTCATGGAACCATCTTTGCTTTCAGTCAGATGGTTTAAAATCTTAGTTCCTTCCCTACTGCAGCCAATATTTCTGCTGTCCTGATTGCTTGAAAGAGTCTCTTCTTTGCTTGAACGAGTCTCTTCTTTGCTTGAAATAGTCTCTTCTTTGCAGCTACATCCTGCAAATAGCTGGCCAAGCTTTTCTTTGGAATCTGAGCTGGGTCCCCTGTTCTCAGGTCTCTGTTCCTTGCAACTTTCAGTTTGTTCCAACCCACAAATTTTGTTTTCCTGTTGCCTTGCTTGAACGTTCTTTAGTTTCTTTAGCTGTTCAAAACTAACACTCTTGTTAGTGTCAGAAATGAAGTGAAAAACAGTATCTTTACTCGTATGAATGTCTAGTTAGACTGAGTATATGGTTTTTGGTACCTGGATGAGCAATGACTGATTCTCTCTTTTCAAAGACTCCAAGCGTGAAGCAAGAGCATCATGACTTGCTTTGAGCCTATTGTACTCTCTCTCAACTTGCTTAGTTTTCAATCTAGCCCTTCTATTCTGAAACCAGATGGATACCTGTCTAGGCTGTAGCCCAAGCTCATTAGCAAGCTGCTGTTTTATTTGTGCCTCTGGTCTTGATTCTGCCTCAAACATGAATTCCAGGAATTTAATTTGCTCATCACTGAACCTTCTTCTGTTTGCATTACCTGATGTAGGTTGCATGCTCCTATCCATCTTTCTGTTCTGCAGATTTTGTTTGGAGTTTAACTGTGAATAAATAGTCTGCCAAGTGAATTGCGTATCTCATAACTTTTTGTATGGGGGGGAGAGAGAGAACAAATCCTTTGTACATTCTTTAAGGAGACACCTGTTCGTCTCATGTTTATACAGATTTCACCATCGCAGACTTTGTAAATTGTCCTAAACGCCCTTCTTTGTCATACATCTGCACTTTGTGCTGTGCGATTTTGAGTAATCCTTTCTAATGCATTGATCCTTCAAACAGTGGTATACGTAGCTACTATGTTTCATATATTCAGAATTTTAGAGCAACAAAAAGTTAAAGGTGATAACGAAAGCCTTTTCCAATGGAAAAAACATTTCACGGAAAGGTTGTCTTAGGTTGCCACGTTGATTCAAAGTGATTTCTTTTGATAATGGCAACTTGGGATCAAAATGCATCGAGACAAAATTTGAGAGCAAAAGCTATCCTTGAATGACTAATGATTTGAGGCCACACCTATATATTGTCAAAGAAATGGTCCCACTTAGATGATCTCCTTCCTTTGGATACTTGTGGGTTTTGGCTTTCTCCAATCAACGTGGCAACAAAATTGTGGATTTATCAGTAAGATATTGTGTTTAGGACACGTGAAGGTAAACATTGTAACTTGCTGGCTTAATGTTTGACAAATGGTGCTTCAAGGCGATTCTTAAAGATTCGATGTTTCTCACTTTGAGACTTTAGGTCTCTCTCGACGATATTTAGGTTCATTCTTACTTCTTTTATCTTTGTACCGAAATAGAAATCTGATAAGCCCATCCCATGAAGCGTAAATCTGGCGTTAAGGTGAAGGTTATGAGATTTAGGTCCCTTGTTTCGTATAGTTTTTATTCAAAATGCTAGTATTAGTTATTAAAATAACTAATTCACCGAATAGACTTTAAAAAAATTTCAGATTTAATTTGTAAGTCTATTTAAATTGTAGAAATGCAACCACATTATTGAACCATAATATTTCTGGAAAAAAAATATGATATGAATATTTTTTAGTGCTGGTGGGGTTTGAATCTCTCTCTCTCTCTCTTTTTTTTTTTTTTTTTTTTTTTTTTTTTTTTTTTTTGGAAAAAAAATATGATATGAATATTTTTCTAGTGCTGGTGGGGTTCTGAATCTCTCTCTCTCTCTCTTTTTTTTTTTTTTTTTTTTTTTTTTTTTTTTTGTGACCCCTGTGTGCAGTTTTTAACCTAAAGAATCAATAATATTTTTTTTTGAAGGAGAGAATTTTTTTTTTTTTTTTTTTTTTTTTTTTTTTTTTGTGACCCCTGTGTGCAGTTTTAACCTAAAGAATCAATAATATTTTTTTTTGGAAAGGAGAGAATCAAGATTTATTTGAATCCAATGGTCGATTTCTCTCTATTTATAGATTGACCAATTCATACCACAGTTTAAAACAAAATATTGAGATAAAAATAAAAGTAAAAATTGGTTTTATTTATCTTTGAGGGCGGATTCACGGCGAGGACAAGATAATTATTTTTCCACTCATTGTTAATTTTGTATTTTATTGAATTATTAATTGTCTCTTTTGTCCTTTATTTAGTTAGGTTTGGACCAGGAAATATCTTAGTTCGATATTGCTTAGTCACCTTAGTAATGACCTGCAGTAATTCAGTCCAATAATACAAGTGGACCGAAGACGAAATCCCAAATAATTTGGGCCGCAGTCAACAAAGAAGCCTCTTAATATTAAACTATGAAGCCTGAAATTTGGGCCCGGTTCTCTACGTTTTTTAGTCGGCTTACACTAAGCATTGCTATAAGATTAAAACTCACTAATTAATTACATGGCTTTGCACCTTTATATGCTTTTATTTAGTCAATATGTGAATTCCAATTCTGAAGTTGACGCTTGAAGAGTAAAGATAACGTTATAATTTTTTGGATTGAAGGGTAGAGATAAATGATTGAATTACAAATTAGAATCTCCTAAAGAGAAATTAGTGCTTAATTGATTTAAAGCAACTTTTAGTGAATTGGCTTTACAGCTCTATATGCCTGATGATTAGCTTTTTACAGGATTAAAGAAGTCAACGAACTATAGCACTTGGAAAATGGACCGCATGATTGAAATGAAGAAAAAAAGAGTGTTAACTGATCCATCCTACAAGCAAAGGAATGGTATGGATGACATTTTGTCCTTAAAATTATTCAAAAGATTGGATTTTTTTTTTTTTTTTTAATTCTGTATTTATTATTTTTATTAATGATGAAATAAGAGTGCAATGGAAGGGAAGAATTTAATAAGATAGCATTGATTTAGAGTTGCAGGTTTACTTAATTAATAGATGTTGTAATTAAGAATCTTCAACAGAGGCAGAAATGTATTGTAATTTAATGGTAGGAAAACGAAAATCAATGTGTCGGGACATGAAGTTTCAAACCTCAAAAAAGAAACACGTAGGACTTTGGTTCCATTTTCTACGTTGTGTAGCGGCCAAAGAATCTTCTTTGCTCAATCAAAGACTAGTTTGGTTGTTGGGTTGGCCGAAAAGTTTTTGCAGTAAAAGCCTACTTGCCTTTTCACTTTTCAACTACTCTTCCACCTTCTTCTTTCTTTTTCTAATCTAATTTTCAACTCTCAGCACCAGATATGGATCCTAATTCATTTTCCTTTTCCTTTTCCTTTTTCTAATCTAACCCCACTTCCAATTCATCCTTTGTCACATTAAAGCAGTGTGATTTGTTGCAGATAGTGGTAATTAATTTGTTTTTGCAGAAAAAGAGGAGACAATGCCGTTAATATTTGTGGCAGGAATCGGGAAAGAACAATATCTAGGTCAAGTTTGGAGCCTGCCTACTTCAGGGATTAGGTCAATCACCATGAGTTTAGGGCTTCCTTTTCTTCTCTAAAAAAGAAAGATAATTAGTTAACGATTTCATATTTTCATTAGAAGAGATTGGAGTCAAATTGGTGACGATGTTAACAGGTCTGCAATTGACATCGATTTTTCAAAATGAAAAAACAAATTAATTTTTAGTTTTTTGGAATTAACAAACCCATTAAACAAAACCAGAAGCAGCACCAAGAAGAACCAAATTATAAAGATATGAGCAAATTTGAAATCTGAATTAAAAGATTATTTTGAACTTGAATCCCCAAAAGCAACAAGCTAGCTAAGGTGCTACTATTTCCAAAGCTTGTTGCAAGAATTAATAAGAGTAGGTCAAACAGTTGAAAGAAACATAAAAATTGAATAAGAAAATCAAGATTCAAATTCATAATGACCTAAGCAAGAGCCCAACATGTGCTTATATTTATTGTGATGCAACTTTTAACATGTGAGAGGTCACATTCTATTGAAACAACATCTATTTTTCATTTATTTTGATTCACAGGTTTTTAAATTTCAATTCCCTCAAATAAATTTTCATATTGGAGAAAACAAGGAAATTAATTAATGTGGAAGGAGAGGACCATGTGTGATGGATGGAGCCAATAGCAGCTGAATTTGAAGCAGTAAACTGACCACTGATCTTTTCTGTCTATCTGTCTTTCTCTTTCTCTGTGTCTGTCTTTGTCTCAAACAACCCGCAAGCTTAGAAATAAGTGGTGAAAATTTTGGCCTCCACGAGGCTTTCCCTTTCCATGTTATTTTATCTTTCCTTTGCCAAAAATAAATAAATAAAAATATCTTTTTCCAATACATGTAGCTAGGCCGGTGAATTAGCTCAACTAATCCCACGACTCATTTTTGGCTGGCATAAGTGTTTATTCAATTATATATTAATCTCATTTTCATCACTCTTAATTGAAAAAAAATGCAGTTAAAGTTAACAATAGTGACATGGGTTAGTTACGATTAAGACAAATATCTCTGCACGCACTTGTAAATTTTATCAGCAACTGCTTATATAATTAGCAATGAACCTCGTTAATTACTGCACTGTCATATACAATAAAATTTATGCTGATGGTGTGATTAGGTAATGATGAGAAAATTAAAGCAGACATGGGATTTGGTTTCAACGTGTAAAGAGGAAAGAAGAAAGTGAGGAGGCTAAATACTGTATGTAAGTGTGTTTGTATCTTGCATGGAACTGAAGGAAGAGAGAGATGAAAGTGATATGGTAATTGAAAGAGGGAGAGAAAAATAAGGGGGGTGAATTGAATGTCATTTTTTATGGAACCCAAGGACCAGATGTAGGGTCAGGGGGGTCTGCTACTTTTATTGCTTTGTTTGTCTTTTTCACTCTTTATCTCTCCTCCTCCTAGCCTTTTTATCTCTTTGTTTTGCTTGCTCTTTTCTCATTCATTTGTCTCTCCCTCTCTTCCAAAATCAAAATCGGTTTTGGTTTTTAAGTTCTTCTGTCAATTGGGTTCTGAAGAAGCTGTATATCTTTTGAGGGGAATGTTGTCTGGCTCGAGGCCACTAACTAGATCTACAAGTTTATCTCAATTGATTTTCTTTTTCAAATTGTTGAGGTATCACTGATGATCATGTGTTAGTGACGTCGGACCAGGCTTCATTCCCCCCAATTGTTGCTTTCTTCCTTTCAAACTGTTCATCTTTACAACCTTGAAGGTTCTTGATCTTAAAAAGGTGAGTTTTCTTTTGTATATACTTATGTCTGGTTTTTCCTTTTTCTTTTTTTTTTTTTGTTTGAATTGATTTCGGAATGATTAATACACATGGGTTTTTTAGTCATATGAAAATTTAAGGTTGTTGGGCTAGAGCAGATTGGTGTAATGATGAAAGATTTTGACTGCTTTTTTTTTTTTTTTTAATCTTCCTCTCCTTTTCTGACTGAAAGAGGGAAAGGATCATCATTACAACTTATTTTTTATCCCTAAATTTCATGGATTGTGGTTTTTTGTTTCTCTGTCAGCCTATACAACTCTTTAAGCTTCATCATTGAACTGATCTTTTTCATGATGGCTTCAAGAATCTTCTCTGTCCGTTTCTGCTCCTTCTTGATCTACACTTTAATTGGCCTTTTCTTCTTCTTTTCTTTTTCCAACTCCTAACACCACTGTTTCTAGGGTTTCCTGCTTCAATATACAGTTTCCTAATTAGACTAATAGTAACTCAAAAGGCCAAAAATGGTTATAGATGTGTTTTAATATTAGAGCCATGACAACCTAAACTGATATGTTCTTGGCTTTAATCTTGTTTCTATAAGAACACTTTCCATTAGATTCTCTAACAGTAAATACTACTACTGTAGTATCATCTATATATCAAAGAAGAAGAGCAAACCAAGAAACTATAATGAAAAAAAAAAAAAGTTAAATAGAAACCCATACTGAACAAGCCAGGGCCATGCCAATGCCTGTTTAATTATACAGTTGCCTGTGTCTGTTTCTGCCTTCTCTCACTCATTCTGTCATCAATTTCTGAGTCTGAACCATATGGAACACTGAAAGCCTTTAATGGTCTGACTCTCTCTCTCTCTCTCTCTCTCATTATTTACTATTGTACAGTTTAGTCAACATCAGCATTGACGCCATGGATTCCTGACCTGTGATTAATGTGCACTATCATTTCTCTATTATTTGGCACAGTCATATCTTATGTTAGACCCAGTTTTTGTATTTTGTATTTTCAAGAACTTATTTAGATTCTATACTCAAATTCTGTCAGCTTAAGTGGTGGAAGTTGGAATGCAACCCTTCTCCTATTTCACTATCAAAACAAACACATTTACTTCACCTCCTCAACTCTAAAGCTTAATTAGTTCTCAGCGTCTAACTGTTTCCCACCTATACTCTTCTTGGTCATCTTCCAGCTTTTTTTTGTGTTGCCCTTATTCCTCTGCCCTAACAGTCTAGCTCATAAATTAACCAGAAGAAAGTAGAAAGTATAAACTGAGCATGGCCCCTCCTCCACCTCCTTCTCTTGCTTCATAAGGCAATCCCCTTTACACCTCCACCACCTCCATCTCTTGCTTCATAAGGCAATCCTTTTTACGCCTCCTTTCCCCAAGCACCCTCTCTCCCCCTCTCTAAAAGGAAAAAATGTAAAACCAAAAAGGAAAAGCAAAAAGAAAAAGAAAGAGAGATTACACTTTGTTTGCTACTTTACTTGAATTATTGACCTAACTTTTAACAAGTCAATGCATCAGCTTTTCGCATCGACCAAAAATGTCCCAAAAGTTAGAAATAGGATCAAATGTACCTTTTTTTTTTCAAAACAATATTATGAACTCCATAGTAGTCTAGCTGCTTGTAATAGAACAAGCTAGCTTATAGTAAAAACACTGCTTGTGATAGATAGATATATAGGAGATGAGTAGATCCTTGTCACTTTGGTGCTCCAAAAGAAATCAATACAGGAAAAAATTAGAAATAATGCTTCTATCTATACATGGAGAGATAGGGACAAAATAAGCTTTACTGGCCTTGGATGCCTACACATATTTATAATCCATCACATACACACTCTTAAGAAATAAAGAAAGGGTATATATGCTGGTTGATAACAATTTAATTTTTCCTTTTTGATAGAAAAAGCACATAGGAATGATTTTTTTATATTTCTAGTAAGGAAGTATCTGAATATCTTACCAACTCCAAGAAAATACAACTCAGGCAAAGTCAATTGAAATTGGACAAATCAAGAAAGTTAAACACAACAGTTGAATAGAGAAAATCAAAACACTAATTACAACTACCGAAATGCACTTACTGTACAATTAAAATTATGTATATATGCCTTGTAGTGAACTGCAAAATGGACAAAATAAAAATTTTAAACTGTTAATTAAGTTAAAGAATCATCATGAGCTCATGCATTGCTTTCTTTAGCTAGTGCATTACATCTCTGGACTCCACAATCTCCATGAGTAGCATATTCCTTTATTGCTCAGTTTGTTTGCTAGCTTTGTAATACTTTGCTTGTGGCTTATTCGCTAGCATATTAAGGTTAAGCTGCATAAAATCTCATTAGAAAAATTTAACTGTTTTCTAGATTGAAATGGCAAAAAAAAAAAAAAAAAAAAAAAAAAAAAAAAAAAAAAAAAAAAAATGGCATAAAATTCATTAGAAAATTTAAGACTGTTTTCTAGATTGAAATGCAAAACAAAAAAAAAAAAAAAAAAAAAAAAAAAAAAAAAAAAAAAAAAAAAAAAAAACTAAAAGTCAGCAAGTCTGATTAGAGTGGGGATATTTATACAGAAGAAGAAGAAGAAGAAGAAGAAGAAGAAGAAGAAGAAGATATTAGCATATACACAATAATTTTTTTTTCTTACAGTTTTGTTTTATGAACTGTTTCCTGCTCAGCAGTTGTTTTTCGTAAATAGTAGTCCTGCAAGAACAGGCATAAAAAACTTTGAAGTAGGGGAGTAAAGAACGAGTGAATTGTGAATAATTTTTCTAAATTAATTAATTTGGAGTCAGTGATCATCGGGCTCCAGCCAAGGCCCATCTCTTCAAAATATTGGACCACTCACACAACAAAGGCCCACCTCAAGGCTGTATATGTATAAGGTTGCGGCTGTATTTGGAATTTTTTGGGCTTGATTTGTGTGCTGTCTTTTGTGTCTTCAAAGCCCATTAACGTAAATAATCTGTTTCTATTTGTTTCTAATTTTTTTCTCTCCTCTCCCCCACTTTTTTTTTTTTATTCAATTTGTTCTGAATTCTTTTTAAAAATTTTTCTAAAAAAAAAATCATCTTGTGCTGGTATTATTGTTTCATTAATTAAAAACTACTGTATATATTTAATTCATCTCCTACGTTATAAAATGTTCTTCATTTGTATTAGAACCGTACGTATATAAAATATTAAGATTTGGTTTTAACAAATTCACTAAATAATTTAAATTTCATCACCCAAACTAAATTACCGTGATGTACTTCGAAATTTTCAAGTGATAAATAGTATTTCATTCGTCCCATTTTGTTTGCATGGTTTGACAAAACACACATATTAAGAATTTAGTCAATAAAAGCTATTTTATCCTTAACTTATTAAAAAAATTAATAAAAGTCTTTCATTTAATGAAGAATCATAAAGGTTATAATACGAAAAATAATTATTTATATGTCTAAATTTAGAAAGCTTGCAAACATTTTGAGACAGTCAAAAAAATAATAACAAGCAAACAAAATGTTACGGAGGAAGTAGATAATCTTGAATATATTTTGTTAGAAACAAATGGGTTGTGACTTTCATCAAACCACCGTGATTGCATACATTTTGCCCATGCTATGCAACCTTTAGAAGCAGCACGGTGCTATGGACGCCATCATTAACAACGAGGCCACCGCACCGCACCACCAACATTTGTCATTTAGAGTGTGTATATATATAGGAATGGATAATGTATAATAGCTCAAGAACATTTAATGAATCAGATAAATTATATGTATTTTTGCAAATTTTCTGACTTGTACATAAATATAAATGTCATCTTGCTCTTCAATTTTTTACTGAATCTCTATTCCGAGAACATTTGTCATTTAGAGTGTGTATATATATAGGAATGGATAATGTATAATAGCTCAAGAACATTTAATGAATCAGATAAATTATATGTATTTTTGCAAATTTTCTGACTTGTACATAAATATAAATGTCATCTTGCTCTTCAATTTTTTACTGAATCTCTATTCCGAGACGGTGACCGACACTCGATTCGATTCAATTTAACTCCGGCAGAATTATGTAAAGTCAATTTTTTACTGAATCTCTATTCCGAGACGGTGACCGACACTCGATTCAATTTAACTCCGACGGAATTATGTAAAGTGTAAACAAGTGACGATCACTTTCACATGCACTCCAACAGTATTCTTAGTCCCATCAGCATTGCACAGTTCAACCACTTATTATAATGTATTGACGAGTTCCACAAAAATAAAAAGCTGAACTTTGATTTTACAAGAAGGAATATAAATTCAAAAAATGAGCAATTTTTGCGTAAGATTGATGCCAGCCTAGGCTCTAAAACGCTTGATAATACTATAAATATAACTGTAGGAAAATGAGACCATTGCTTGTCCCTATCCACCAGCAAAGCCACATTGTTGATAAATAGAAGCAAATTATCAATTGTCATGGTTGTTCATGCATTTACAGCTGCTTTAACGCCATGTCTGAACCTGCCATAGAAAGGTCAAAGCTTTTTAAGAACCAGAGCTAGTATAAATTGCGCCCGTTAAACAGTATTAAGCATATGTCTGACACTTGCCATTAATCATAAATTTCTTCTTGTTTCAAAATATGTCATATAGAAAATAAACTTTGTTCACTAATTAACGAGTATAATTAGTATTTAGTGATGTCAGTACCTAGCTAGTAGTAGTGCTTTTAATGCGAATTGTCGGTTGATCCAAGTCAATATAACTAAGGCAATTTTTCACACACAGCTTACACAAATCATCAAAATGAAAGCGGAAAGCTTGTCAATCTTAATCTTAGCAATCTCTGCTTCTCTCTTCATTTCAGCAATTGGAGATCCATTGTACAGAGGAAGATGGAAGTTGTTGAAGAGAAGCATTGGGATTTCCTCAATGCACATGCAATTGGTACCCAACGATAAGATAATTACCTTCGATAGAACAGATTTTGGACCATCCAATCTTTCTCTACCAGAAGGGAAATGCATTAGCGAGTCACAAAACAATGATTGCTTTGCCCATTCTGTTGAGTTTGATCCCCTCAACCGAAATGTTCGACCACTCACTATACTCACCGACACATGGTGCTCTTCAGGATCATTGTCTCCGGACGGTACATTAATGCAGAGCGGTGGATATGGACTTGGGGAAAGGGTAGTTAGGACGTTTAAGCCGTGTGCTGACTGCGACTGGGTGGAGGATCCAAATGGTCTAATTTCACCTCGATGGTATGCTTCAAATCAAGTTTTACCAGATGGGAAAATTATTGTTGTTGGAGGGAGATATCAGTTTAATTATGAATTTATCCCTAAAAGCTCTATTAATGATCAAAAACTTTACCAGCTTCCATTTCTGAAAGAAACTAGATATTCTCCTTTGATTCCAAATAATTTGTACCCTTTCTTACATCTCTCTCCTGATGGAAATCTCTTCATTTTTGCCAATGACAGAGCAATTTTACTAGATTATGTCAATAACAAAGTAGTCAAAAACTACCCTGTAATGCCTGGAGGCATTTCGCGCAACTATCCAAGCACTGGCTCTTCAGTTCTGCTTCCTTTGGTACTCCATAACAATTTTAGCAGCAGCCCAAATGCAGAAGTTGTTATCTGCGGAGGTACATTGCCAGATTCAAATGAGCAGACCAATGCAGGGATTTATATTGCTGCTTCAAAATCCTGCGGTCGGATAGCGATAAACAAAGAGAATCCCGTTTGGGAAATGGAGGAAATGCCTGTTAGAAGAGTAATGGGTGACATGATAATGTTACCAACAGGCGATGTGCTTATCATTAACGGTGCTGCTAATGGAACCGCCGGCTGGAATGCTGCAAGAGAACCTGTTCTAAATCCTGTGCTTTACAGACCCAATATTCCTACAAATAGGTTTGAGCTAATGAGTCCATCTCCAATTCCACGTCTCTATCATTCTGCTGCTCATTTGCTGTCAGATGGTCGTGTTTTGGTCGGAGGCAGTAATCCTAATAGAAATTACAATTTCACTGCAATTTATCCAACAGAGTTAAGCCTGGAAGCATTTTATCCTCCATATCTCAGCCCAAATACTTCCAGGCCAGCAATTACTGAGATAAATCCAGAGGCAAATCTTAGATACAAGCAGAAATTTACTATGGGTTTTGAGTCAAAGACTGAAAAGATGGTTAATTTACAGAAAATTTATGTGACGATGGTGGCTCCATCCTTCACTACCCATTCTTTTGCTATGAACCAGAGGTTGTTGGTTCTGGCTTTGGACAATAATGGTGTACAGAAGGTGGGCACCGGAAAATATTCTGTTCAGGTGAATACTCCGGTAACCGGCGCACTAGCACCACCGGGATACTATCAGTTGTTTGTGGTCCATGAAGGTGTTCCAAGTAGAGGCATGTGGGTCCATATCAAGTAGGGGGGTAGTTGATTGCCTTGAATTTAGAATTTATGAGTATGGTGTTGATAATTTGATTTCATGCATGAGATTCCTGTAATGGTCTCTTACTTATGAACATGAATATTGAATTGTTAATGACAAGCTACAGTTGAAATGTGAAATGGATTTGACAGATTATTTCTGTTGCTTCTCCGAATATATTAATTTGGACATTGTAATATAATGATCTTTCCTTCTGGGATAAAAAAAATAAGATATTCTTTGAGCTCCAATGAAGGGGACAATTTAGATAGAAATAACTTAAAATTTTTCTAAAAATTTCAAATAAAACTATATTCTTCAAACTGTAGTATCAAAATGTTTTTTCAAAGAAGAAAAATTTGCCCTAAAAATTTCAAATTGAGGTCAGTTGGTAGACCTTTAACTGAGCAATTGTCTAAGCTATGATTGCATTTGGGTTTGGGCCCACGTTATTAAGCTCTGTTAAAAGTTGTAATCATCTGACGAGGCATTGCTTGTTTAGTGCTCAATTTTCACGACATTAATTATCGTCGCCGCCAATCGTTAAGTCAACTATTTATACCACATGCTTCTGAAAGTATGTAACGTTGCATAATTAGCACAGACGAAAAAAATTTTCTGTATTCATATTCAAAAAAAAAAACAAAGAAAAGTAATTTTCTTTGAAATTATAGGATATTTTTTGCGTCGCTCTCATTCTAGAAAAAAGAGAGATTTGGAATTGGACGGTGCATTCATAAAAGAATAACCTTTCTCAATTAAGAAATTAAATAGTAATCAAAAAGAATAAATAGATTATGCATGTATTCACCAATGAAGTCATCTAAAATTTACTTTAAAAATTTACACCACAAAATTACAAAAATAGAAATTTTTTTTAATTTAGACTCTTTGACTTTTGAAAACTCTTTTAGCTTTTTTAAGCTTTAATTTCTGGTTCCGTGATTGCATTTATTTGTTACTGGATTATGCTTTATCGTGCAAAAATGTAACTTTTAATGGATGTGTTACAAAAACATTATGTGAATTATAATTAACACTATCTCCTATTTCTTGGTCATAGCTGTTGGGCCTGCAAAATGTTAAATAAACTCAAGGATAGTCCACAAGCCCATATTCTTGACTTTCTCTTCTTCGTTGACCAATTTGTACTTTGACAATTTGGAAACTTGACTTTACCATATGCTTCACGATCGACGACACAGATGTTATCCGCACATGTTTTTTTTTTTTTTGTTTTTCTTTTTTCTTTTTTAGTATTTCCGCACCATGTTTTGTTTGGGAGCTTGCTTACCCTGTTGTAACAAAAAAAAAAAAAAAAAAAAAAAAAAATTTTTGGGAAAACTTGGAAATTTTACCCATTATGCTTTCACGATCGACGAACCACAATATATTTATCCGCAACATGTTTTTTTTTTTTTTGTTTTTCTTTTTTCTTTTCTAGTTATTTTCGCACCATGTTTGTTTGGGAGCTTGCTTACCCTTGTTGTTAACAAAAAAAAAAAAAAAAAAAAAAAAAAAAAAAAAAAAAAAAAAAAAAGGAATCCCTTTTTATTTTCTTCAACTATTTCCCTTTATGTTTCTAAATTTAAAAAGATTACTTCTCCATTGACGTTTGTTTTGATTTGTTAGTTTGTTTTGAAGGATATATAATGTCCTAGTACGCATAATTCCTTTTGTACAAGAATCTTTTCCCCCTATTCTTTGAACGAAAGCACAGTTATAATTAGAAGAAACAGAGTAATGGGACAACATATGATGATTGATCATATACACCCAAAAGAAGCATAAAGCTCTGGTCTTTATCAATCATGATGGACTTCACATGAATGTATTGAAATTCTGTAACATATGAATATGAAAGCTTGAAAAAATTGTCATGCCAAACGTGCATGGATATGTATATGTCCCTTCCGTCCATGACTTGAGAGATAATGACTAACCTTTGATTTTAATAATACAATTATTTATGGCATATCATTTCTTTCTTTTTCTTTTTTTTTTTAATTTTATTTTTAGGGTGTGTTCAGCAATATTTATTGTTTTAGTAACTGTTAGTTGTTCTAGTTATCACTAGTGTTCTATTAGAAGTGTAGCGAATTGTTTTATGTAGCTGTTTAACTGTTCAATTACCTAAATTTAAGAAATAATGAGCATGATTGTCAAAAAAAGTTAATTAATGTCTGTGAAACGCTAAATGTTAAATATTAAAGTATTTAACGTTTCATAAAAAATTTTATCAACCTCAAAAAACTATGTTATTAAATGGTACAATTAGAGCATGTTCTGTAAAATTCTGTCAAGTAAAATTAGTTGTTTTGGTAGTGTGTATGTGTTTGAGTAGTTAGTAGATGTTTTCATAAAACTCTAAAAAGCTAAATGCTATAAAGGTTAACTTTTTGAAACGCTACCTTAACCACTAAAACTTAGTTCAAATCCTATATTTCTAAATATTATAAAAGATAGCCTTTAGTGTTTTAATTAAAAGCTATTTACAAAAATATTATCAAACAGGGTCTTAGTCTTAATAGAGATAGAGTTTTGATTTGGTTAAAATGGTAAAAGTTAGTTCAAAAAGTGTTGTGGCAACTTAATATTAATACGGTAAGAACACGGTAATATGATAAGAAAGGCACTAATTACATCATTAATCGTACATGCTTGCATAATGTATGATTAAGGCAGCAGCCACCACATGACCAGAATTGGGTAGTTAAAATTGGTTGATGAAATGGACGGTAGGCTAGCTATAAGCATTCACTTGACCTTAAGGTACAAGATAGAAAGATGATGACAGTTAAACCAATGAGTATGAAAGAAATAGAATCCTGTGGAAAAAAAAGAAAAGGGTACGGAGGATGAATGTATGTATCGCATAACTCAGCCGCCCACGCCTATCATATTTATATTTTCCTATTACTAGTCGCCGAGGGGATATCAAGATCTTCCCCTTTCCTTTTCTTTCATTTTGAATACACAGAAACTTAATTTCTCAATTAAGCAAAACAATGACGCCGAAATAGCATATTTTGTCTCCATCCATGTCACCTCTCATTACTGTAACTAAATGCTCTGTGGTGGCTGGGGGATGTATCTGCTATGAATTATATGAACATGCATATTCTTGAAATGGAAAAGATGGTTCTTTTCAAAAACCAGTGAATCTTTCCAGGACCCTTTTCGCTACCTATTACATTATCTTCTCTACCAATTTCCTGGACCATTTTAACGTTGCTGTTCCATTCAATTAAGTCTTGTCTCACTATGATTTGTGATTAAAAAACCCTTTTGTCCAATTTTTTCTCAGTGAAAACGCATTAAAGTACAGAGACATCACTTGTTTTATGTAATATAATACTGAAATTGTTTCTGCATCGAGTTTATTACTTTAGTTTCTAGATGAGTGGAGCATTAAAGTTGGAGGTTGTAAGATCGTAAGAATATAATATATGAAAAGAATAAAAAAAGAAATCAAGTCAATTTTGCTTTAATTAATTTCATAGTTGCTTTGGTCTTTACACTTAAGGAAGCACTGGCCAATTATGGAAAGCTTAGGTGTAGAGACTTAAAATTTGAAATTAAGTTGAACTTTATAAACTTTTTTGATAAAAAAATATTACACCGTTATCCGTGGTAGTCTCTATTGTCTACTTTTTCTTTCGCCTTATTATTATTATTATTGTTATTTTCTTTATATATTTAGAGTTTTTTTTCTTTCTTACGACGGTTTAATCCTTTTTTGTGAGCGTTTGTTACTAAATAAAGATATGCAATTTGATTTTATTTGGTTGAAAAATTTAAATTTTTATATATAGATGTGAGTCCTTAATCAATGGAGCCTAATAATATGACATGTTTCTCCATGACGCATGGTAGTTATGGAAACTCATGTTCGTACGTTACATACCGCAAATTCATGGAACAACAATCAGATTTAAAGAAGTTATTATTATCCAAATCAATTAAAAAATTATTTGCAATTAGAAATCATCTCTAATTTAGTTTAATTATTCAAAAGAATAAAAAAAATTTATCTATTAAATGATAAGTGAATTCTATTAATTTTGATTGTAAAACACAATGTCTAATTTATAATATTTGATATTATTATTAAAAAAATTATACTTCTATATTATGATTTATTTTTCAATTCATGATGATTATGATTTCAGTCTCTATTTTATGAATAGAAAATTGAGTTGATAAGCATGATCTTAATTAAGCAAGTGGACGATTAATCATAATCCTTTTTTTTTTTTTTTTTTTTTGATTTCAGTCTCTATTTTATGAATAGAAAATTGAAGTTTGATAAGCTGATTTAATTAAGCAAGTGGACGATTAAATCATAATCCTTTTTTTTTTTTTTTGACAATTCAACTCCATTTTTTTTTTTTTTTTTTTTGACAATTCATCCATTTTCTCTTTGCAAAGTCTATATTTGCATGCGCATACACTAATTTAGCTTCCATTCATAAATTCGTGCACATCCATCCATGCCTTTCTTTTCAGAAAATCTTGATTAATCAATTCAAAGAATATGTTTTAATGTTCGAAAAATAATTAAAAACTCCAAATTACAAATATATGCTACTTCTGTTCTATAATATTTATGACATTTGGAATTTTACGTTCCTTAAGAAAATTATTAAATTTGTCTAAGTTACAATAAATTATTGAATAAATTGAATATATTATCCTTAATTCAATATTAATTCTCTAAGAAAACCATTAGATTGAAGTAATAATTATTGGTTATATACAAAGGGTAAATATGGATAAAAATATTTATTACTCTTTGAAACTACAAATGTGACAAGTATTTTAAAACAAGTTATATGTGATAAGTATTATAAAATAGAGGTAATAATTAATTTATATGTCATATTAATATTCAAAAGAAGCACGTTGTAAATCTTCTTTGGGCAAAAAAGAAAAAACACAAAAAGTCACAACTTCAGTTCTTGATTCAAACTTCAACTTTTGACTTTTTTAACTTTTTATTTTTTTGTTTTTCCATTTATAATCACGGGCGCCGAAAAACCGTTAAAATATAACTATATTCAGCTCAAATATTACAGAATTTATATAGAAGACGGCTCTCCCAGCCTTACAATTTTCATATCGTTTTATGTTTTTTAAGTTAGCCAAAACCTAATCCCCTTAACTTTATGCTCTAGCTTTGCCTACGCCCGTAGAGCTCCAACTGAAACACATGCCAACTGTAATTTTGATTTTTGACTCGTTTAATTCTATTTTCTAGCTTAATTTTTGGTAATAAAAAAATATTTAATTGTTTAATTAGGAAGAGACTAAATCGGTTGACTTCGTTAGGTATAGGCTACACCATCTTCAGTGTTGTCAAAGCTTGTAGGATGCTCGACAACTTGTAACGTTTTGCAAGGTTGAAACAAGAAGGAAAAGACACCATCTTTCGCATTCAGATTTAAATTGTTTTTTCTGGGTAATCCCACGTCGAATAAATACAATTAAATGAAAGGGCATATAATGTGAAGAGTGAACCAACTAAAATGGCTTAAGTCATTTTGTGTTAAAGGTAAGCCCAACCCATTATAAGCCCAATATTAAATATATAATTGAATTTAATTTGATTAATTGCTCCTAAGGTCCAGATTCTCAACATAGTATCAGAGCCTGGGACCCGAACCTGCATGAGGGAAGTTCCTGTGTTGGGTCGTACCCTGATGGACTCATGTGTTGGGCCATCGTATGCTTGTCAAGTGGGTAAGTCCCACTTGAGGGGGGAGTGTTGGAATATGTGGGTAATCCCACATCGAATAAATACAACTAAATGAAAGGGCATATAATGTGAAGGTTGAACCAACCAAAATGGCTTAAGTCATTTTGTGTTAAAGGTAAGCCCAACTCATTATAAGCCCAATATTAAATATATAATTAAATTTGATTTGATTAATTGCTCCTAGGGCCAAGCCCAATATTAAATATATAATTAAATTTGATTTGAATTAATTGCTCCTAGGGCCCCAAGATTCCTCAACAATTTTCCGACCAAATAAAGGTAAGCCCAACTCATTATAAGCCCAATATTAAATATATAATTAAATTTGATTTGATTAATTGCTCCTAGGGCCCAGATTCTCAACATTTTCCGACCAAATTAACAGTTTTGATTCATGTTAGTCTGAATGGTGTATGTGTGTCCATCTCAATCAGGAAATTCCGGCAACAGAGGAGAGGTGATACTCTTTGTTTGTCTTATTAATTAATTCATGGCACGCGTAATATCGAAACTATATGATTGCAATTTCTTTTAATTCTTAAAAACTACTGTATTTGTTCTATAACACTTGTCACATTTAGAATTTTACGTTCTTTAAGAAAACCAATAATTTTATCTAAGTTACAATAAATTAATGAGTAAATTGACTATATTATCTTTGATTTAATATTAATTGCCGAAAAAAATCATTAAATTGAAGTAATAATTATTTACATAATTTTTGAAAATCATTTTTAGCCAAATTAATAATGTAAGATAAAAAGTAATTTTATTACGTATAATCTAGGAGAATTAATTATATTTCAATCAGATCACCTTAAATGATAGAGGAATTACACTTTATTTTAGTTTTTGAAAATCAAAGAATTCAATTGTACATTATTTCAAATATCTAGGGGCTCTTTGTAATATTAATGATATTCATACTTTATTTTTGATAAAGTAAACTCTTAGATTTCATTTTAAAAATTTAATTACAATAATGGCAAAAAAATTCCGACTAAGGAAAAAAAACCAATGTAGAAGAAAGTGACAAGGTTCAATGAAAGCTCAAAACGACCGGTTCATTTCGTTCATGTATAAACCTGGTTCATGTATAAAGAAAGTGACAAGGAGCTCACTTTCCCACGTGCTAATTGTGCCAACTAAACTGTGAAAAGATTATGACAGGAACAGTTGTCAAATGAATGTCTCTTCTTAAGTGGCCCGATTCTCTCCCTCTCTCTCGCGCCCTGCCCAAAACTTACAGAAGTAAAGAAAAACAAAAACGAAAACGAAAACCTGAAAAACTACCCTTCATGGAAGAGATTATGTCCCCTACTTCTTCATCTTCACTTTTGTCTTTTTGTCAAGAACCTCCACATCCGCTTCCTATCCAACAACGCCTCCAGTACATCCTCCAGAACCACCCTGAATGGTGGCTCTATGCTATTTTCTGGCAAGCGTCTAAAGATGCCAGTGGCCGCCTTGTTTTATCATGGGGAGATGGCAGTTTTCGTGGCTCTAATAAAGACTTTGCAGCAACAAGACCTAATAAACACAACCAATTCAAATTCGGATTCCAACTTGAAAGAAAAAGATCATCAGTCAATAAAGATCAGTTACAATATCTTTTTAGTGAGAACGTGGACTTGGATAGATTAGGAGATGTGGATGTTACTGAGGATGATTGGTTCTACACAGTATCAGTAACGCGATCATTTTCAGTCGGAGATGGAATTCTTGGCCGCGCGTTTATTACTCCTTCAGGTTTCATTTGGTTGAGTGGTGATCGTGATCTACAGTTATATGAATGTGAAAGAGTTAAAGAGGCTTCTATGCATGGAATAAAGACTTTGGCTTGTATCTCGACTTCTTGTGGAGTTGTTGAGTTAGGGTCTTTCAATACGATTAATGAAGATTGGAGTTTGGTGCAACTCTGCAAATCCATTTTCGGAGCCGATGTTGCCTGTTTGATCTCCAAACAACCTACTCATCAGCTTCCAAATATTCCAGAAGGATCGAATTCTTCCTTTCTTGATATTGGAATTTCAGGTGCTCATCGTCAAAAGGACACCTCTTCCGATAAGCATAATCAAAATGAAGGCAACATGATGTTAATAAAGAAAGATAATGCTACGGGTCAATTAGGCCGGTCATCTTCTGACTCTGGACCTTGTGATTCCGATGGTAAGTTTGCTCCTGGAAGTACAGTTGATCGGTTCAAGAAAAGAGGAAGAAAGCCAATAAATGGCAAAGAATTGCCTCTAAACCATGTCGAAGCAGAAAGGCAGCGTAGAGAGAGGCTTAATCACCGGTTCTATGCGCTCCGATCTGTAGTTCCTAATGTGTCCAAGATGGACAAAGCATCTCTACTTGAAGATGCAGTTACTTATATTAAGGATTTAAAAGCCAAAGTTAACGAATTGGAGACCAAACTACAAGCAGTGCGCAAGAAATCCAAGAATGTTACTAATATTAATGCCAACACGAATAATTACGTTGTTATAGGACCAGAAGTAATGAGTCATAATAAAGTTATGACAATGGAGGTGGATGTGAAGATTGTAGGATCAGAAGCAATGATTCGAGTCCAGTCCCTGGACGTTAATTATCCAGCTGCAAGATTGATGGATGCGCTAAGAGAACTAGAGATTAAAGTTCATCACGCGAGTGTGTCAAGGATCAAGGAAATGGTGCTTCTAGACGTTGTGATCAGACTTCCTGATGGACTCACAAATGAAGAGATTACGAGAACTGCTATTCTTCAAAGAATGTAAAATTAATTAATTAATAATTAGCCTACAAATGTATCAAGTGTGGGAAAATCTTCTCCAACTGTATTATGCATATGCATATATATCTACCTCAAGACCAAGTTCTTCATGTAACTGAGGAACATAAAATAATGGTTATGTGCTTACATTAATCAACTGTTTGTTATTTTGTGCTCCTCTTTAATCAGCCTGTTGCCTTCCTTCTTAGTATGTAAGTTCACAAGAACATCAATTCATGTTAAAAGAAAGTTTTGGAAATTGCAGTGTACAATACATATGTACTGCATCTTAATTCCTTCTGAGAAGCAAATAATGGGCTGAACAAAATCCTCCATCCACTGGCATATTAAGGTAATTAAAAATTAATGCTGAGCGAGGAAGTAATAAGCAGACTGACTTTCTAACTTACAGAACTACTGCTTAATAATTTAACAATAAAATCAAAAAGAATATGATCTAATCTCAAATACATTCCTTCAAATTAAGTTATTATAACAAGTTTTATATTTCTTTTTTGAGTTACAAGTCCAAATACAACATTAATTCTTAAACCTTTGTGTTATCTCCCCAGAAATCAAAAGTGTTCATCTGCAGATGGCAAAATTAAGAGATTCATTGTTTTGGTTGTTTAACTTGAAAGGAATATACATGTATAGTGTCGGTTTGAAAATGATATCATTTTCAATTAATAGGCTGATTCTATCACCTGGTATCAGAAAAACCAAATAAAAAAGCGATGAGCTATGCGAAATTCTTGATTAACAAAGTATGTATTGCGCCTGCAACAAGCTGAGTTTGTTGCTGACCTTATTGCCAGTTTATTGACCAACTGCTTTGTTTTTCAGCAGAGAACGTGCTCATTTCAGCATAACAACAGAAATAAGGAATATCAGGTACAATGCTAATTATTTTCGTTATTCAACTTGTTGAATTTTTGAGAATATATATATATATTGTTTGTTTGTTTGATGATTTTTCGTAATTTTTTTTTTTTCAAAATTAAATTATTGATGGGTCTGGTCATTAAAGCAGAATTTCACGTGCAATGACTTGGATTTGGGAGACTAATCAAATTCTAGTCAACGCTAGTTTCCGTGATGCTTTTTGTTAAATCACACTCATGAAATTCTGTCTCCGTTTTTTTCATTTTGGATTTTGCAATTGCCTTCTTCGGTTTTTCCTTTCTGAAAATGTAAGGCTTTTTAGGCCTAATAAAAATTGGGCTTCGATTCAGATTACTTAGGCAGAAATTGGGCTTCGATTCAGATTACTTAGGCTTGTTTTTCACGTGCCCTAAATTGTAATAAAGTGGAAATGTTTATATCTTTTCTGTTTTTGTAATAACAACACAAATATAAAAATAAAAAATAAAAAAGAAATTAAGAAAAGAAAATTGACATTTCTATCCATATTGAATCTTAAGAATTCATAGATCGAATAATTCAATCTAAACAAACGTTGGATTCATAAATCGAATGATTCATCTGCCACATTTCATTAAATCTTTATCACAAAAAAAAAAAAAATAATAATAAGAAAAATGTGTATTTAATTAGCTAATTACAGCTAGAAAATGTTAGGTTGTTTGTTTCCACCAACCTCATAAACGCAATACGTGTAGACATAAACCAAGTTGATATTCACTTCACGTTATTCGATTACATGTACATGCAACCTCTGAATACTAATTTTCAGATGCAATTTGCACAGTCAAAGTTGGTTAACGCAACCCCAACCATTTTTAGAATCAGAATTCTCCTTCAATAATCCTTTTTCATTACACGACCAACAAAAAGTATATGCAGATGCAGGAAAATTTTCCAATTAAGAAAGATTATTCCTTTGTCTTTTTATTTTTCTTCGTTAAAAACTTGTAAATGGGCTCAAAGTTATTCCTCTGGTTTCATTGTCAATTTTGTCGCAATCTGCAATTTTCTTGTAATTATTCACATGCATATGCATCAAACTGATGGATTTGTAGTGATTTAATTATATAGATAAACCCAATTAATAGTTTTACGTACGTTTAAAATTATCAGGTACGGTTCTATGATAGCGATTAGCAAAAGACTAATTGGAGTTCCAATGAAAGCTGGCCAATTGTTCTCTATTAAATAGCTAAAGTGCTAAATTGATTAACATGACAACTAAATCAATATGCCTTATAAGATTACAAGAGAGAAGAAAATAAAATCGATAGTATGTGGCAAATGCTAGATATTTAATAAATCTAGCAATAATTTGCTTTTCATCTCTTATCAAATTCACAAATTTTTATAACAAAGAAGCATGTCATACCTCAGTAATTTATGGGGAGTAAATATTTTAATAACATTTGCTAAGTTGAGATTTCACACTGGAAGAAGAAGGAGATTAAACCTATCCACTTTGGTAGGATATATATGTATGTATGTATGTATATGGTGATTACTTAATAAATAAGCAAGAAAAAGTTGTAAATTAACCACTTGTTCTGCTCCAAATTTCCTCCAATTCCCTTGCAAAGGCCTTTTGTCTACCAACAACAATGGTGATATGATCTTTCTTCTCTATAACTTTAACACGAGCACGAGGAACTCTTTCTTGGACATTGTAGCTACATTCAACCGGAATAAGCTCGTCATTTCTGCCATGAAAGATATTGACGTCGCACTTCAGGCTGTCCCGGAGGATGTCAAGGTAATCGTCGAGCTTGCTGGCCGTGCCACAAATGATGTTGTGTAGAGTATGCCAAGCTGCGTTGTGAGTATGGCAAAAGAAACCTTCACACAAGAACGTTCTGAACCTGTCAAAATTTTTTGGGAAATTTTCGTTAATTAATGCCAAGAGGACGAAAGTAGATGCATGTCTATGTCATTCAAAATTCACAATCACTCTCGGTCACAGTTCGTCAGAGCAGCATAATAAGTGTCGGACATCTGTCTCCATTGCTTCTGAGTTTACTCTGATAGACATCTGGATAGCTTTCAACGTGATCGACTATACCTACTTCATTAATTTATCAACATCTAATTGAAATAATTACAATTTTCATATTTGTAAATACATATAAATGCTAAAATATGCAAGTTTCACCGCTTTAAATGACGCAGGTAGCCTACCCAACTACAAATTATAATTCTGATGCGCTGATATATATTTTGTGAAGTTTTAATTATTGACTATTATTAGTAGTTTTTGCCGGTTGTTTAATTAGTATTTAATCGTTTTATAGAAGTAATTTCTTCGATCTTCTTTGCAAATATTACAAATATAACAAAAAAAAAATTTTTAAATTATGGTTGGTTGGGTAGTTTGGAAAGTATGCAGAGTAGCAAGAAAGTATAGAACTATATTTTAGAATGATAAAGAAGACGTTGGATTTCAGGTTTGAAGAGTTTACCTATTTCTTGTAACGAGTTTGACAAGAAATTCCCATAACCTATGGTTCTTGCATATAACCAGACAAATCGTCCGTGATATGTGTTCATACCAACAAGCCATGGACGCGCCAAATGCAATCGGTGGCCACACGCGCCGTGGACCTAATTTTCTCATCACATACTGTGTCGCCTGTACCCCCTTTGGCACCGGAAAATATGGCTACAATTACAACAAAATGGATCAACACCTTGATGGTGAAAAATGCTTTATTTGTATGGCTGAAAATAATTGTCTACACCTAGTGTACGGGACCAAAATTGACGGGGGAACACGTGGGAGCAAAAAATAAAAAAATAAAAAAATAAATATTATTTCTTTCTAGGTAAAAAAAAAAAAAAAGACAAAAAAAAAAAGAAACTTACAGGTGCAAGGAGAGTAAGTGACTTGACGGATCCGGGGTGTTTTACTGCAAGTGCAAGGGCCAAAATGCAGCCTAAAGAATGAGCCACAATGTGGAAAGACTTAACTTTGTAAGGTTCAATAACAGATCTTTCAATCATGTCTACATGTTCTCTAAGGGTGTAAAGGGAGTCTGTTGGCTTAGGACTCCGACCGAACCCCAACAAATCCACAGCAAAAAATCGGTAACTCGATTTAGCAGCATCTGAAAAATTTGGAAATACAGTTTCTGTCCAAAATGCTGAAGATGAAATAAATCCATGGATGAAGACGACATCTTCTTTTGCCTCATCTGACACAAAGGTTAGGTTACTGAGTACTAATTAGCTGCTTAATATATCATTTTAATTAATTAATGGAATAATTAATGAATCGATTACCTTTAGGGCCTTGAGCTTTGAGAAAAAGAGTTTCTTTAGTAGAGGTGGACCATCCATTGCATAGTTTACAATCACAATCAGACCATCTCGGGATGGGATGAGAGTGGTTGCCTCCGATCTTTCCTTGAAGCATTTCAACAATGGTGGAGTTAACGGTGAACGTGGATCTAACCGTTCCATTCTTCATCTTGTCAACCTTGAATCGTTTGAGCTCATTAACGGTCAGTTTAGAAACTTCGGAAAGTAGAGAAGGGCGAGAGTAGAGAGTATCTGAGATATCATCTAGTTCTAACTTGGTAGAACTGAGACAAACAATCTTGGACTCGCCTTTTTCAGAGACCAAGATCTTACCGCTGCTAGTAATAGCTTCTTTAGCAGAAGTGCAATAACAGGGTTTCCATTCTGCTTCAATCAAGAAATCTGCGACTTTGTACGAGAAACATAGAATAAAATCAACAAGATCAAGAAAAGAGAAGACAATGAAGCTAACGGCCTCATGTATAGCTCTGCCTGTCAACTTTAAAACCATTCCGGTCTTGCTCATTACACCCATTTTGATTTGGTGATTCCGAATAGACAAAAGAAGAATATATATGTATTAGTTAACTAAAAGAATGAGAAGCTATAAAAACATAGATGATGCAGTTTCAGAACTGTAATCAGCTCTCTCCATCAACTGTTGACGATGGATCGTATGCAAATGTACGATACTAAAGAAGAAAAGGATTGTATTGATGATTACACTAGCAGAAACTCCTCCTTCACGCTCACCAAATGTTCTGAACGAGTTGATGAAAGCGTGTGGGTGAGATTGATCCCTTGAAAATTTATTAGAAAGAAGAAATGGGTACAGACTATAACAGATCGAAGATGAATGAATTAATTGTTTCATTTAACATCGTTTGTTGGCCAAGGAGAAAAGGTAGGTAGTGGTTGAACCTCCCAGGGGAAGAAACAATTCTCCTTATCAAATATTTTCCTCACATTAATTTAAGTTTCCCTAATAATAAATTCTGTTATTAATAACAATTATATCGATTAGAATTTTTTATAAAAGGAAGAAAAAAAGAAAAAGAGAAGACTCTTTCTTGCACTTCAGAAATAAGGAGCTGTTTCACGTATAAATTTTTTTCTCATCCACTGGCTACGTTAGATTACAGCTCATCCTTTCTTACTGAGAATATGGCCTAACTCATTAATGCAAGGATCAATTTTTCAAAATCAACAGGTTTTCAGAAGTCCTATATTTATTGTATCCTCTGTAGGTCACATGACCTGCTCTATCCAAGCTCAGGGACTCTCACTCTCACCTCCACCTGCACCTCCACCACCACAGTCCTTAAGAATTCTTGCATTTGCTTTAATTTGATGGAGACAATGCAAATGGGAAACTGTTATCCCTCTAACGCATATATAGATGTAAAGTCCTTTAAAAGACAACTCCTTAAAAGATAGAAATTACAAAGTCCTTTAATTTACCCTTCCTTTGAAAAGGAGTTTTTTTTTTTTTTTTTTTTCCCTTTTTGGAAGAAAGAAAATATGACAAAGCGAAAAGAAAATAGGCATTATTTTCTAATAAGGGTGAGGAAAATATTAAAGAAAAGAAAAGAAAATAAGAATTATTTTTTTCTCGGATCCACAAAATTGGAACATTTCAAATAAAGGAAAAAAAATGATGTTTGAGAAAATACTTAATATAAAAAATATATTTTGTTGTTTTTCATTTTCCATTATTTTATTTCTTCCCTTTTCCAAATAAAGTCTTAATGCTTTAGTATGTAATTTGACATTCTCTTGAAAGATTAAAGTCTCCTTATTTACCGTTTAGAGCTATATATATCTTTGCATTTAAATTTTGCACTGCTCACTTAAAAATAATAAATCTTTAATACCTAACGTCAGGTTCAAATCTCTCTAAAAGGGCATTCATATTATTTATTCGGAAAATGACTTACGTATTTATTTATTTTGCTAATTTTATGAATTTTAATTATCTATATATATATTCTATTGGAGGAACTAAAAGCAAACCTCTATGTAAGCATGTTTGATGCTTCGCTATTTCACTCGTAGAAATTGAAACCCAACATGTGATGATAGTGATTTATGGCCTCAAAATGAAAAGCTACTGTAATAAGATTTTAATGTTAGTCTATAACAAATTAAGCTATCAGAATCAGTGAAATCACCTCATGCATTATATTAATCAAAAACAATTTTTTTATTGCAACAGAGAGTTCTAACCGATGAATATGAATAAGATACTTATATTTAAAAAAAAAAAAAAACTTTACGAATATATGTAAACTTTTTTTACCACTAAACTCTTAATTTTTTTTCCCGATAAAAATACTCTCATTTGTTTTCACATGTGTCTTTATTGAAATATGAATGAACGTATACACTCAAGTATAATTAAGTTTTATCTTTATGATACACTGTAAATTTTGATAGACGATCATACATCAAAAGTAGACAAATTTTTATTTTTAGTCCAAATATAAACTATTTCTTAAAACCAAAGATACGGTACATCTTAAATGCAAAAAAAGAAAAAAAGATTAGAAATATACTTGGAATGATATGATTTTTTCAATTTGTTAAGATATATATATGTCACATTATAAATTAAATACATAGAAAAGTCCCATTTTAACAATCAATTTTGAAGTTATTATCATGTAACTATCTTTAAATATAAATTATAGTTAAATAAATAAACTGAAATTAACATCTGGGTCTGCTTTCAGAAGAATTGAGTACAATCCACCTAATCAACAAACCAGGTAAGAATCCACAGGCTCCCTAAAAGGAAATATATGTAATTAATTGACCAATTCCCAAATGACCTATTCAAAAAATGACTTATTATAACCGGTGTGCTTTGTCTATATATGCCATTAAAAATCCGCACAGACCACTTAAGACAATTAGCGGATTTTGATGGACTTGTGGGTGAAATGACAACTTTTCGGTGTTTAATGTTAACAACTTTCTTGATTTTGACCTTAAAGGCTATTTGTGGCCACAGTTTCACTTCTTTTGTGTTCGGCGATTCATTGGTGGATGCAGGGAACAACGACTACTTTTTTACCCTCTCAAAGGCCAATTCTCCTCCTTATGGTATTGATTTCAAGCCTTCTGGTGGCCGACCCACTGGACGATTCACCAATGGTCGAACCATACCTGACATTATCGGTAAATTTACTATTTCTCAATCACTCTCGTTCGAAAGAGATTAGTCTCTTCTTTAACCGTTAAACCGGAGATGGAAAGACACTCTTGATTAATAATAAATAAAAAAAAATACTATTCCTTAATGGATTTAGCAATCCATCTCATCTCCGACCAAGATAAACACAGTTTTGGCAAAACAATAGTTTCTATGTAATTTTTCTTAACTGTGAAAAAGACTTTTGAGACATTATGCATTGGTAATCAGGTCAGGAGCTTGGAGCTAAGACTTTTCCACCTCCTTATCTAGCACCAAACACTCAGATTAGTGCTATTATTGGAGGAATAAATTATGCTTCTGGCGCCTCAGGAATCTTGGATCAAACTGGATTTTTATTTGTAAGTACATTCGTTTTATAATTAGAGATCATACTTTTATTTTAATAATTTTTTACAATTTGAAATTTACTGAACCAGATTGGAAGAGTTCCTCTAGGACAACAGGTAAGCTATTTTGAGAAAAGCCGAAGTTATATGGTGAATGTGATGGGAGAGCATGGGACCAGGGAGTTCCTCAAGAAAGCAATCTTCTCATTAACTACAGGGTCCAATGATATACTCAACTATATCCAACCGTCCATACCATTTTTCGGAGTCAACAAGGTTTCTCCTTCTGTGTTCCAGGATTTTATGGTTTCCAATCTCACTGTACAGCTGAAGGTGGTGATAATTAATATTTAGATAACGAGTGCTTAACTAATTTACCAATTGAAATTTTAATTCTTTTTTTCCTGCATGAAGCGACTCCACAATTTAGGAGCTAGGAAGTTCATCGTGGTTGGGATTGGACCACTTGGTTGCATTCCATTTATTCGTGCACTGAGTTTACTACCAGGAAGAACATGCTCAGTAAATGTGAACGAATTAATCAAAGGCTACAACAAGAAATTGAGAGAGATGTTAAATGGATTAAACCAAGAAATGGGACCAGAATCTGTCTTCGTGTTCGCAAATTCTTATGATATTGTCCTAAGCCTCATCCATAATTATCGTCAATATGGTAAGCTGGCAATTAATGTATACTCATCTTATTCTTAAGTTATTCTCTACAGAACAGTTAAGTATACATTAATTATTTTCTGTGAATTCCATGTTATTAATGGTAGGATTTGAGGATGGATATGAACCGTGTTGCGGAGGATACTTTCCACCGTTTGTTTGCTTCAAGGAAAGAAATGAAAGCAGCTGGAGCTCTGTTCTGTGCAATGATCGGTCCAAGTATCTGTTTTGGGATGCATATCACCCTACAGAAGCAGCTAATATTATCATTGCCAAAAAATTGCTCGACGGAGATAAAAGTGTCAGCTTTCCTATTAATATAAGGGAGCTCTACCGTTATAATTCCTAGCTAAGCTAGATAGTTTAATTACGTAAACCAGATGTATTTTCTCCTTAAGCTAATAATTCAGTGATAATCTGATAGACTGTCCCTTTTATACAGTCTCTTTTCCTTATAAAATTTCTGCAATGTATCAAAGTTAATATTGTTTCAAAGAAATATTAATTGAAAATGAATTAAAATTGATGTAATTAAGCAATATAGAAAGCATATGTTATAAATTTCAGTGGCATTTATGGTATGGACAAGGTCAACTCTACAACCGTTTCTGACACAACTATCAACAACCCTTCGTGGGGACGAGTTAAGCTTGTATAAGCTTAAGCTTGTTGACTCTGTCTCTTACTTAGATTATGACTTGGTTCGTTGCTAGAGTCTAAATAGATCGAGTCTTCGTACCTGAAACCTAGCGTGTAAAAAATATTATTGCTTTAAGGATATGACTTGTTTATATTTGAAGTATAGAACTAGATACATCAAGCCAATCAAAAAATATTTTTTAAAAGATTATTATTTTATCTATATTTTTCTCGGGAAGTCATAAATATACTTGTTTAAGCAAAAAAAAAAAACTATTTTTAGTTGGTTTGCTATTCGGGTGAGTCCATACACTCGGTCCCTATTCATTAAATAGAAACATTCGTTCACCATGGCAGAATTTAATATATAGATCCAACTCGAATATACTCAATGAATATGTGCTCATTTTTGTATGTCCTAAAACTAATGAAACTAGGACATGTCTGTATGGTCTGTCTAGACAATGTGAAATTATTAAAGAGAAACGTGGAGAAATAAATGAGAGAATTAAACCCTGAGGTTCTTTTTTCCATGCATGCACTACTCTGCTAACTTATAAATGAGATAAATAACATTTTTATCCTAAAATGTTAATTTATAATCTGCTAACTTCTCTGGATTTTATAGTCATTTGGTCAATTTGATTTAAATTTTAAATAGAAAATCATCAACAACAACACAATATATTTCCAAAAGAATTGACATTCTAGAATTATTTTAATTATAGCCATGCATCCACCCATCCAATGTAGTAAAAGAATGTACATTTAAGTGCAATGTGGGTGGACCTGACTATCCTCTTCTGGTCCTAGTATGTGCTCCTTGTTGGGCTATTAGGTCTTACTTATATTTGATTCACATCGGGCTTATTGGACCACCTTCGGCCCACATTACTTTTAGTTGTTAGAGCCCATCTAACTTCCAAGAGTGCAATTCAAGTTGTACTACTGTTTTCTTTCTAGGGACCCTGAAATCCAAGCGTGGCATCTTTTTCGGCCTCAAATGCCATCCTCTGTGCTTGTGTTGCTCAAATTTATTTGAAATACATTTACAAATAAATATGCATATATTTATGGATCAGACTTCACCAGCCACACCTTTTTGTCCTTAACACATCAATTCTTTCTTCTGCTTCTGGAACCCCAACAAAACAACGTGAGGATTATCAACTAAAACATACTTAAGCGAAACTCTTAATATTGAAGCTCAATTTTCCATAATTTCATGGTGGCTCTAAGCTTCCAAACTGTCCAGCTTACGACTGTACCTCGAAAGAATCATTCTTTGCGGAAATGGGTACCTAGAAATTTGATTAGGTGTAGAATTGCAGAGGCGACAGGAGAGCCAGCTCCTATGGGTCAGAAAACGAAGTACAATGATAGCTTCTTTGAGAAGGCATTTATGACTCTCTTTGCAAGGAAGATGGAGAAATTTGCTGCTCCAGCCAAAAATGGGAATGCTAGTAAAGAGAAAGGGTGGTTTGGGTATGATTATGAGAGTTTCGTTGATGCTTCAAAGAGAGTAATGCAAGGAAGGAATCGCCTGCAGCAGCAGCAAGTGGTTCGTGAGGTCCTCTTGTCCATGCTACCTCCAGGCGCACCTGAGCAGGTGCTAGTTGCCTAATAGTCAATTCTCTTTTTCATTTTCCTTTTTGGAATGGTCAAAAAAATGTTAGTGTTTGTGATTAGGAGGCGAACAAAATGATTGTCATACAAATGTCATTTTTAATTTCATAATTCTGCTGATACAAAATTGAATTTAATGATAACTTTATGTTATCATGCACGCAATGAAGCCTACAGAATTCTCTGTTTCTTGATATAGACTGGACAGTTTGTTTGTGCTAATATGGTCGATAAGGAGAAGTTTTTAAGCTCATTTATGATGGTTCTGCAATTGGCACGAGGTAGCTTGTCTACCACGTAAACTTGAAAGAAAAGCAGGAATCTTTACCCATCTGCTGTTTACTGCAGTTCAAGAAATTGTTTCCACCAACAAGGTGGGCTGCAGAATTCAATGCTGCATTGACAGTGCCTTTCTTTCAATGGTTGGTTGGCCCTTCTAAGGTAGAATAACAATACTAATTTCTCTTATCTGCATGTCGCTTTTCAGGGTGTTTAGTTACAAAACTAGCAGTTCTAATACTAATATACCCCAAATGACGCTTACAAAATTGTTGAAATTTTTGTGTGTTGATCGAATTAGGTTGTGGAGGTGGAGGTGAATGGGGTGAAGCAAAGAAGTGGAGTTCATATAAAGAAGTGCAGGTAGAGCAATCTGCTGTAGAAGCAAAATATAGCCACAGTTCATGAGGAAAGGAATTAATTAGTGGTAGTTGTGTTTATTCTTTATGGTAAATTTTAGAGACTAAATGCAATTTTGGCAAATTCTTTTTGATCAAGGTACCTTGAGAATAGTGGGTGTGTAGGGATGTGTGTTAATATGTGCAAGATTCCTACTCAGGATTTCTTCACCAATGAATTTGGACTACCATTGACCATGAATCCCAGTAAGTCTCACCTTCTGTACTTTTCTGCAATTTGCCAAAACTACTGTGAACATAGTGGTGATTTCTGCCTTTAAATATCAGATTTTGAAGATATGAGCTGTGAAATGGTGTACGGACAAGCTCCACCTCCATTTGAAGAGGATCCAGTATCCAAACAATCTTGTTTTGCAGAAATCTGTAAGTTTTGAATATTGTGCTGTATTCTATGGCAAATAAGCAATGCTCTCCTTCTCTCTTACCTATAGCTGTCATCGGCAGGTTCCATGGCAAGTCCAAACCTCGATGTTTGTCATAAGCTGCAAGCTTGAAAGGATGGTTATTTGTTCAATTGCCTGTAACATGTAATTATTTATACATGTCATCATTGTTCTGCAAAAGTATATGTTGTTCTAAATGTAAAATTTAAGGCTCAAGTATAATATCTCTTTCAGTTTTGTAAATCTTGAGGATCTGTAATAATTTTGCAATATCAAACCGATAAACTGAATAACATTCTGCAATTTCTTTGAGGCTGATGTTATCTGTTTATAACCTTTATTTTCTCTAAGCATATCAGCACAAACTCAAATTAGGCTAATTAAGGTTCAACGTTTTCTACTCTGCAAAAACTTTTCTTAATCAGGTAGGTAACTGTTTGATCTATCAGTACTTAAAACTCTTTCATTTTTCAGTCATTTGACCACTTGGAAATGAGAGTTTAAGATGGTGTTTCATAACATAATTCAGCATTTAAAATTAAATTTCACAGCAGTTAAAAGTTATTTGATGAAAAATCATCTGTACATCACCTGAACATGTATAAGCTTAGCCAAGAGAGGCCCGACTTGGTGAAAGAAGACACTCAAACAAACAACATAGCATATCAGAAGATTATAAGTCAATCAGATGTGCTGAGATGGTCAAAGACATCATATACCCATCAGGTTGAAAGTCCAAAGTTAGGCTGCTTGTGGGTTCATAGAATGACAGAAATCCAAAAATCAAGGCGCTGGAAAGAAAAAAGCAAACAAAGTCTGACTTCTGCGTTCTAAATCACATGAGTTGAGGTATAACGGATTGAAGTCTTAACTAATAAAACTGTTGATGCAAATTGTGGATAACAGTAAACTCTTGTGAGTGATTGTTTTTAGCTCTATACGTATCCGTGACTTCCTTGCTAAAAGACAAAATATGTGTCTACAAAATCCGATACAGCACTCCATACTCTGCCATTAATTACGGTATCCAAAGTTGAAGAATTTGCCCAACCAATAACACATTACTCTTTTTTATCTAAGAAGATAAACAATTCTCACTTAACTTGCGCAGCTTTTAAGACTTCGGCATGTCTTACAGTGACTCTCTTTATCTCCTGTTGGTTTCAATTGCTTTTGTACTTTGAAATTTAATATGCAATACCCACGAAAATTATCAGTGTATGGTTTATCAAGTCTTATATTCTTTGGCTGTGTATTTTTCCTGTCGTTTCTTATAATTTTGAACAAAGCAGCTTCAATCAAGTAATGTGATTACGTCCCTACAGCAAAAAACGTCCAAATTTGCGGAGTTGATCTCGTGAGCTGCATGAAACGCTCTCCGTCTTTCTCACTTTTAACGACCAACAACGAACTCCCCATTTTCTTGCATCTATCTCCCTCTCTATAAATTCCACCTTTCTTCCCTCAACTCAGACCCACAAGCCCTTCAGTTTGAGTCCTCTAATTCATAACTACTTACAGTTAAAAGTGAAGAAGAATGGTTAGAGTCGATAAATTTTCGTTAATGACGAAACAGATTCTTCTCATAGCAATTCTTTCACTCACCCAGTTTTGTTCTGCATTCACTCCTCAAGATTATAGTGATGCTCTTGAAAAATCCATCCTTTTTTTTGAGGGTCAGCGGTCTGGCTCATTGCCGGCTAACCAGAGGTTAAAATGGAGGGGCGATTCTGGATTGTCCGATGGCTCCAGTTATCATGTATGTATAATTCTAATGAAGAAACTCTGATATGCTTGTTACAGAATGCGTATAACACTGACAAATTTGCGTATTGATTTGGATTTCAGGTGAACCTAGTTGGCGGGTACTATGACGCAGGAGACAATGTCAAATTTGGGCTTCCTATGGCCTTTACTACTACATTATTGTCATGGAGTGTCATTGAATTTGGCAGCTCTATGCATGACCAGATAGATAATGCCAAATCTGCAATCCGTTGGGGTACTGATTACCTTTTAAAAGCAGCCACCGCCACCCCAGACACCTTATATGTTCAAGTGAGCACGTAAACACTAATTCTTTTGGGACCCAGACATTAAAAGATAACACATGTTTTTATTAAATTTACGGTGCAAGAAAATTTACAAGTTAAACATGTTTAAAAGGCTAAAATAACCACAGCAATAATATTGAGCTCTTACACGACAGCAAGAGACAAAGCTGACGTAGGTATTGGATGATTCAGGTTGGAGATCCAAACATGGATCATAAGTGCTGGGAGAGGCCGGAAGATATGGACACACCACGCACTGTATACAAAGTAACAACTCAAAATCCTGGATCCGATGTAGCTGCTGAGACAGCCGCTGCATTAGCTGCTGCTTCAATTGTTTTCAAAGATTCTGATCCTTCTTATTCTTCCAAATTGCTTCAGACAGCAATGAAAGTATGCATCCACAGAATCCAGTAATTAGTTTCTTGTCTTCCTCAATTTCTACCATTTCCATTAATAAAATAAGATTATTGTGATCATGCAGGTATTCGATTTTGCAGACAAGTATAGAGGTTCTTACAGTGACTCTCTCAAGTCAGCAGTTTGCCCATTTTACTGTTCTTATTCAGGATATCAGGATGAGCTTCTCTGGGGTGCATCCTGGCTTCACAGAGCCTCACAGGATAGCTCGTACCTGGCTTACATCCAATCAAACGGTCACACAATGGGTGCTGATGAGGATGACTACTCCTTTAGCTGGGATGACAAGCGACCCGGGACAAAAATTCTTCTTTCCAAGGTTTTATTCCGTAACTAAACTCCTATTTCACCTTAATAAAATCTTATGAGATCAATTAAGCTTTAGACTCCTTTTGGGATTTCCAACAGGAATTCTTGGAGAAAAGTACAGAAGAATTTCAGTCATTTAAAGCACATTCAGACAATTACATATGCTCTATAATTCCAGGAACTTCTAGTTCCCAGGCCCAATATACTCCAGGTAACCAACTTTCTCCTACCCTTTTATTTACTGTAAAATCATTAACTAATCTTGCTAAAAATGACATAAAATTAACATTTTGCAGGAGGGCTTCTATATAAAGCAAGTGAAAGCAATCTCCAGTATGTAACTTCCACAGCTTTCCTTCTATTGACATATTCTAAATATCTTAGTTCAAATGGAGGAGCGGTCAAGTGTGGAGGTTCAGTAGTAACAGCAGAGTCACTCGAATCAGCGGCAAAAAAGCAGGTTGATTATATTTTAGGTGATAATCCAGCAAAGATGTCTTACATGGTGGGGTTCGGAAATAAGTATCCTCAACATGTTCACCACAGGGGTTCCTCTGTACCATCTATACATACACATCCAGAACGCATTTCCTGCAACGATGGCTTCCAATACTTCAAATCTACTTCACCCAATCCCAATGTCCTTGTCGGAGCAATAATTGGTGGTCCTGATAACCAAGACAATTTTGCAGATGACCGGAATAATTACCAGCAGTCTGAGCCTGCCACATACATTAATGCACCATTTGTTGGTGCGCTTGCTTTCTTATCAGCTAAAAACTAAAAATGTATTAATTAGTATAATTATGTCTCTTTGTCAAGGATTAATATCCTTCTAATAAAACATTGAGATATATATTACTCTGTCTCTTTTTTGCAAGCTACAAAAGAGTATTAAGTATATTTGTAAAAATGATTAACTCATCTTAATTCTATAAAAGTATCATATAAATGAAATAAAAAATATCAAAATGAATGCTAAATCTTGCTTTCTGATAATGGATAATAGAATGGCATCGATTGGGCTTTTAGGCTAGGCCTAGTCCAAGAGAACTAACTTTTTCTATTTGCCATCATTATCATGGGCCGACTAAGATGGGCCGGAGACTTGAGTATTCAATTCAATTTTGAGGGCAGAAAGCAAAATATCATTTTTAAATTATTTTATTTTGACAGCTTTGACGGACCAACCGGAGGAACGTGGGAGCAAAAAAGCAATAAATAATTAATATTCAACCTAGAAAATCAGCCAAGGAAGACTAGACTCAGACTTTTGCAAATGATGGCAAAATCAGTAAATAAAGCAAAACCTCTCATCCAATATTGTAATCTCAGCCCAAAATTGCCAGTTTATGTTACGTTATTTAGTGGGAAAAAAAAAATAAATTAAAAAAATTATCGAAATCGTCTCTTTGCACGACTCCATCTCTCTCTATCTCTCACTCGACCGACATCGTCATCCCTCCATTTGGTCTCCTGTTAACTTCATATATCTAACTATTTTTTAGTTAATTCCTTGGCTTCGGAAATACTATAACTAAACGAGGCATAAGCAATTAAGGAACCTTTTAGATCTGAGAACTCCCTCTCCTCTCCCCGTCTCTCAGATCCATGGCTCGTTTTTTTCTCTTTTCTTTACTTGTTTCTCTTCTATTTTCTATTTCTTTCGCCGAGATCAGATCCTCCGATATCCGATCCGATGACCGCCCGATTATCCCCTTCGACGAGTTCGGATTTACCCACAAGGGTCAACTCGAGCTCAATGTCTCTCATATTCAGCTTTCTAACCAGAATCCGGATCTCGATCTCTCCAGGATCGGATTCTTCCTCTGCACCCGCGACTCTTGGCTCCACGTTCTCCAGCAGCTCGAGGACGGGGAGATCACTTGTGCTCTCCAGTCGGACCTCATCAAGCACGTCTACACCTTCAATAAGCTCCAAAATGGTCAGACTAATTTCACCGTTATCTTCCTTGAAAACGACGCTGATCAGCATACTCTCGTTTTTGCCAATTGCTTGAGCTCGGTCAAGGTATCCATGGACGTCAAATCGGCTATGTACAATCTCGAAAGGAATGGCAACCGTGATTATCTTTCTGCTGGCAAGACGATTCTCCCTAGGGTTTATTTCTTATTCTCCCTCATTTATTTTATTCTCGCGGGATTATGGATTCACGTTCTGTATAAGAAAAGACTCACTGTTTTTAGGATCCATTTCTTCATGCTGTCGGTGGTTATTTTGAAGGCTTTGAATTTATTATGTGAGGCAGAGGATAAGTCTTATATCAAGAAGACTGGTAGCGCGCATGGATGGGATGTGTTGTTTTATATGTTCAGCTTTTTGAAGGGGGTCATATTATTTACTTTGATTGTGTTGATTGGGACCGGATGGTCGTTTTTGAAGCCCTACTTGCAGGACAAGGAGAAGAAGGTTTTGATGATCGTAATTCCTCTCCAGGTAGTGGCAAATATTGCTCAGGTGGTCATCGATGAAACAGGACCCTATGGGCAGGATTGGATCACCTGGAAGCAGGTGTTTTTGCTGGTCGACGTTGTGTGCTGCTGTGCCGTCTTGTTCCCCATTGTTTGGTCCATTAAGAACTTGCGCGAGGCCGCTAGAACGGACGGGAAGGCTGCTGTGAATTTGATGAAGTTGACTCTGTTTAGGCAGTATTATATCGTGGTAATCTGCTACATTTACTTTACCCGTGTGGTCGTTTACGCTTTGGAGACTATTACTTCGTATAAGTTTCTATGGACTAGCGTGGTTGCTGGAGAATTGGCTACATTGGCATTTTATGTGTTTACCGGGTTAAAGTTTAAGCCTGAGGCACATAATCCATATTTTGTGATTGATGATGAGGAAGAAGAGGCTGCAGCAGAGCAATTGAAGCTGGAAGATGAGTTCGAGTTGTAATTGCGTTAGATAGCTATAGAGGAAGATGCTGTGCCAAGAAATTGAGAACATTGAGATAGATACCTGATAATTGCTTCAATGATCGGGTCCTCATGATCATTTTGACTGTTAAGAGGGGTAAATGTGACTGTTTATTATGTGCTTCTTTTTATGTTCTTGTTGATCTACTATGTTTTTGAACTTTCAAGTTAAAATAGTATAGTCTGATAAATTTTCATCTGTCATTGATACTCGATATTGGGTACTGTATACGTTCTGAAACTAAATCTTTTCAACAACTACTATGGCAAATGGGTTGTGTTTGTACTGGTTCCTTGCTATGTCTGCTTCTAATTAGCTTCATCTGCATTGTAATTGTTGCTTTCTCATGCAGTAGCTATCAAGCAAATTTGGCAAATTAGTTCCATACAGTGAGTATTTGATAGCAGTCTGTGAGCATCCTAAATGATCCAATCTTTACATTCAATGTACTTGGTTGATGACAAACATTTTTTCTCGTAAGATTCTATGTGGTTTTTAGTTTCCCTGTTTCCAAACATGAAGTCACCTGCCAGATGACCTCTTCCTTGTTTTTAACCATGTTAAGTATTATCTTGTAGCTGATCAAGGTAGTGCTGCAATTAGATGTTTAACCAATCTGACATTTTTTCACATGTTTGAATATGATCTTCTCGATATATATATATTTTGTTTTAAGTATTATCTTTAGTCTCGATCAAGGGGTAAGTGGCTGCAATTAGATTTATACCAATCTGACATTTTTTTCACAATGTTGAATATGGATCTTCTCGATATATATTATAATATATATATAATATTTTATATATTTCCTGGAGTGTCAGTGAGGCAAGAATCAGACGCCTGGTTCTTTACCAAAATCCAAACTCGCATGATTTGTTTAAATCTATTTGCAATGGTTGGAATTTCAATCCCTAAAAAAAGCCAACATTCACTGTGTTAGTAGATGTAAAGGTCTTGAAATTAAAATTTTAAAAGAATGTTGACACTGGGGTATTAAATGGTGTAAATTATTTTCCGTTGGTAGCATAAATTAAGACAATTTAAACAAGCTCAAGATTGCTGTTTGGATTTGTCAGTTGGTAGTAAGTGTTATTGGAATGATTTTCATTTCAATTTGTTTTGTTTTTTTTAAAAATTATCCCTCTATTAACGCGAGATAGGTCTCCGCTTTTTAATCCGTCGTCTATATATTTTCCTGAGTGTCAGTGAGGAAGAAATCAGACGCTGGTTCTTTACCAAAATCAAACCGCTGAGTTAAATCTATTTGCAATGGTTGGAATTCAACCCAAAAAAGCCAACATTAACCTGTGTTAGTAGATGTAAGGTTTGAATTAAAATTAAAAGAAGTTGACACTGGGGAAAATGTGTAAATTATTTTCGTTGGTAGCATAAATTAAGACAATTTAACAAGCTCAAGATTGCTGTTGGATTTGTAGTTGGTAGTAAGTGTTATTGAATGATTTTATTTCAATTGTTTGTTTTAAAAATTATCCTCTATTAACGCGAGATAGGTCCGCTTTTTAATCCGTCGTCTACGATCAAGACGAGTTGAGTTTATTGAATTGAACGGCTAGTCGTCGAAATAAACTTATTTTGAAAGACAAGCCGACTCTGAAAAACGACAGGGAGTAAATGATTATGCGTAACAAACAGATATAACCCCGATTTCCTTTTTGCTAACTACGAGAAGGTGAATTTGAGCACCATAATGTACTTAATATCTACATGCTCTTGGTTTCGAGGATTTAAGCTCATTCTGAATTGTGAAGAAGAATGCAAGTGAGGTTCTACTTACATACCGATTGCTTTTTGATATCAAGAGGTTTGGAAAAAAACTCAGATATAAAGCAGAGAACCACAAAGGATGCACCTAAATTACAAACGATTTTGGGGCCAAAATATATTCGGTGAAGATAGTTCTGTTGACAGAGTGCACGCCAAGTGTTTGACGAAATGAGTAAATAATTATATTGTATTCCATCAGTAGCCAAGCACGGAATGAGGATCGAAGAAGATGAAGGATTAAATTAACTGCATCTACAAGCAGAAGTAGAGACAGAATCAGAAAGTTTTTTGAGGATCTTATATTGCAAATAACAAATGCAATAGGCTTCAGGGTCTTTTATTTGGGCCCTTTTTATACTAGTTATGAGAATGGGCTGGTCCACCAGTACGTGGTTGTGATGTTTGCGGTGCTGTGGGTATGAGAATGTTATTAGGAAAAAGAAAATTGCCCAATATGTGAAATGGCCGCATTGGAGGACGGAGATCGCCAATTTGGCTGTGGATGAGAGATATCGGTTTGAGCCGGCGATAAGTGTAGATTGCACATCCACATGCAACAAAACTATGGAAACAGAGACAGGTCTCAGTGGTTTCAGGCCCCAACAAATTGCTTCTAACTTCTGAGAACGCAGAGCAAGTTTCAGAACCACAACCACAAGCACTACAAGTTAAGGAAGGTCAGCAACTTCGTCTTCTTTTTTCCATTTCCAAATATTCTTCTCCTTCCAAAGCTACAAGTCTTTTAAATTTGACTTTGATGATAAAGTTTATATAAATGATGGTAACTAGTCCGTGTAAGTTTTGATTCACATGCCATTATATATTTAGATTTGGTGGCAAATACAATAGATGGCCGAATACATTATTGAAAGGTTATGATTTGTAGTCAAAGACAAACATCAAATGATTATGGAGGAAGAATAAATCTCTATCAATATAGAAGACAAAACTTACTAAATATAAAAATGTAAACAGAGGTTTATAATTCCATTCTCAAGCGACAATTCTAACACATGTTATCTAGGATGCTTAGTTTTTGCATGTGTAAGCACATGCCTCTTTTCCATAAAGCCTAATAGAACTCAGACCGGATGCCTCCTTTAACCCAAATTACACAAAACAATCTTCGAGTAAAAACAATTTAATACTGTCATGATCGGAAAAGTTTGATGAGACTAGACTAATTACTCCCCTAAAAGGAAATTAGAAGACTAGTGAATGACATTAGAATAATCATCAAGGCAAAGACTAACACAGTGTCCATCGAGTTTCTTATGTTAATATGGTTACATAACGTATTTATAGTGATAGAGAAATCGGTTTTTGCAACACTCGAAAAGAGAACATCATGGAAGACATCCATGTGGAACCTGTAGAATAAGTACATAATAACTGGGACCCCATCACATATTAATCTATGGATTGTGGTGTCCTTTCTCTGTTAACTTTTTTAGAGGACCAGCAAAGATGGGTCTCATCTAATGTATTTGTCCACGGAATCTCATCAATTACACCTACGAAAGCAATTTCTATTTGATATTTAAGTTTCCCATTTAGCATTTGAGGCACATTGTTTTAAATACAATAAAAAAAGAGCATTCCTTTTAGCTTTCTATCAAAATATGTTGCTTCTTAGCTACATCAGTAAAGATGCTTGAATCCCCAATTATACTTGTGGGTCTCCAGTATTAATAGATGGGCTCATTTGTTCTTAACTCCATCATTTTAGTTGATTTAGTACTTGATACAATATTTGGGCGAAGGGTTATATGATAAATTAACCCTCGAACTTGATAGAATTTCCTGGTTATAGGGCCATGCTAAAACTGATCAGGTAACCCAACTTCCGTATCCAGCTAGAGTGTAAATTCTCCAGCCAGAGTGGGGTCCCTATTCTAAGAGACTCAGACAATATACGAAGCTTAGTTGGTCCGGTGGACCCAACTCATTCATTAGGCTACACAGTTTTTGGTCCATCAGAGAAGTAAATTCTGCACTGCTCTATGTTGCTTCAAGATAGTAACTTTAACACAAGTTTTCCCTTAAATTGTGAGAAGAATACAATTACAAAGTTGTTTCTAATTTCCTACGATTAACGTTGTACTTTTAGCATTAGAGCTTCTTAAGTTATTTGGAGTAGAATTGCAGTTTCCTTCTGCATGATCATTTATGAGCTGCAAGGACTAAAACTTATCATTTGTTCGTGGCAAATAATAGATGCTTGATGGAAGAAACACAATTTTGCCTGTCATTGTAGTCTAGACACTAGAAGAGCACAGAAACACATGTTAGCACATTTATTTTTGTTACACAATTAACTTATACAATGTTGATCAATTTAGTCTGACATGACACACTACTTCAGACATGACGCACTACTTGTTTATCACTCTAGAAGAAGGGATTGTATATACAAAATAACCATTTTATATCACATGATATTTTAATTATCCTTTTTGATACAACATCGAGATAGATGTAGACGGATGAAAGAATGATTGGGAGGCAATGCCTCCTCTAGTATAGCTAGCTATAATTAAGCATGTGGCACATCTTTACCTTTTACACTCCACATCTTTAAAGCAAGTGCGTTGAAGGATAAATGGGTCTACACCCCGATTGCTTTCTTGACAGGGCAAAGCCTCATTAAAAAAGAAAAAATAAATAAAGGGAAAAGAAGAAAGAAAGCAAGCGAAGCAAAAAGCACAAAGAGAAGTGCTTCAAAGAAAAGTTTATAATAGAAAATTCGATAGAAAGAAGATATGGAGGACGTGAAAGTGATGATGATCAGTAGCAAAGAAAATCCCATCAATGAATCCTTTCCTCAAGAACCTATCACCACCACCACTTGCCCAACCTGGAAATTGTACCAGAATCCTTTTTATAATTCGCATCATAATAATCCGAATCACCAGCATTGCCAAACTAACACCAATAAGCAACTTCATCACCTTCACCTCCCTCTCTCTGCTCGTAAGATTGCAGCTTCTTTTTGGGATCTGACCTTTAAACATATCATGGAGACTGAGCTAGATTTTGCTCGAGCCCAGATCATCGAATTGAAAGCTGAGCTGGAATATGAAAGAAAGGCAAGAAAGAAAGGGGAGAGCATGAATAAAAGATTGGCTAAAGAACTGGCTGAGGAGAGAAGAGGAAGAGAAGCATTAGAGAGAGTATGTGAAGGGCTTGCCAAAGAAGTTTCATCGGATAAAGCAGAGATTGATCGAATGAAAAGAGAAATGGAGGAGGAAAGAAAGATGCTAAGGGTGGCTGAAGTGTTAAGAGAAGAGAGGGTTCAAATGAAGCTTGCAGAGGCGAAGTTTTTCTTTGAAGAAAAGCTGTTAGAATTGGAGGGAACTAAACAGGTAGAATCTGATGAGAATCCAATGTTCAAGATGGAAGAACATAAATCACCTGAAATGGTAATTGCTTCTAAAGCAACTGCTAATTTATCAGGCAAGTTTAGCAGGCTAGTTCTAGATGACAAGTTCTGTGATGAAAATAACAGTGCAGATCCAACGAGAGCAGTCTCTAGTGAAAAATCATCTTCATGTAATGATAATCTTAGCAGTGTTTCTTCAGTAACAATTCAGCGAAGAGCATCACCAGAATCTGAGAATCCTCATATAAAGCGAGGGATTAAAGGGTTCGTTGAATTCCCTCGAGTTGTACGAGCAATTGGATCAAAAAGTAGGCACTGGGGAACAAAACTGGAGTGTCAAAAAGCTCAGCTACGGATTCTGTTGAGACATAAAAGCCCCATCAGATCCAATAATCTCATTATCAGTTAAAACTACTGTCATTCTTTCTTTCTGTTGCTTGAGTAATTTTAATTTTGGTTTTTATTTGAAAATTGCATTTTGATGTTGGTTTCTTTGTTCAAAAACGAAACGATAAGCATTTTTGTTTTTTTGGTTCTTGTAAGTTTGTAAGGATACAGTAAACATGTTTTGGGTTTGCAATTTTAATTTCTGGGAGAAGACTCCTATAAAATGTACATGAGTTTGTGTTTTATTAATATTTGAAGGCTTCTTCTTTTTCTTTCGTTTGAGGCTTATGGAAACCAAGTGCCATGTTGCTTTAGATCTGAGCAAAGCCAGACAGCTATTCTATTATAATGATCTGCAAAAAGTTTCATCATTTGGATCATCAAGCCTTCTTCACATTCTGGGTTTCAATTTCAAATGATAGATTACTAGATAGAGAATAAGAAAAAAGAAGGCATCAGATTCTTATTGCAGCTAATCGCTCCCCATTACATGTTGAAGACCAACTTAAGACATAGACAGATAGATAGAAGGAAATTGGATGCTCCAATAGAAATTCCTCTGCTCCTGTCCTGTCCTGTCCTGTCTGCTACACTTACCCAAGCTTTTTAATTTCCACTGTCCGTCACGTTGAGCTCTTAGATATTATGACACATCAACTTGTACATTATAATATTCAAAAAGAATTGTGTACTCTCGACAATAAAATAGTCTACGACTTGACTTCTTTAGCAAAACAATAATAATAATTATATAAATAATACAAGTGCCAATGTGCATGTATTCAGTTTACAGGACAACCTTATCTTAGCCACTACGTACTAATATAATATTTACTAAAACATTGGATTTTCTATCCTAACAAATGATATTTTTTAACCCCAAGAGTGTAGGTTCAATTTTGGTAGGCTTAACATACACTAGCCCAGCCCATCAGAGCCCACTAGAATCCAAACAACGATTATTTTATATCAATAGCCAGACCCAACAACCCAAGGCCCCGACCTGCGAACTCGTTTCAGTCTTATTTACCTCGATGCTTCAGCGAAAGTGAATTTTATCTAAACAATTATTTCTTTCTCAATTATCTTAAAAAGGAATTCTTACTACCTTTTAAATTTTGTCAACTAGATGAACAAAATTCCGAAGTTACCATGAGAGATTAAAATTGTCAAGTAGTCAAAATTAGGTAAGTATTGATTAGAAAAGAACCCACCACATTCATATTAATAGAATCATCTAACAGAATATAAACTTACCCATTATGGGCAATGGATAATTCTAATCTTGGGGAAAAATGGGATTAGGGTGCACTTAAAATTGTGAAATAGTGGGTCCAAATTGAATGTTTGGGATGCTAAATTTAGTACTAGTAGAAAATGTTCAGTGGGGGCCTAAGCTCCATGATAATTTAGTTACTGCATCACATCAATTATCAATTCCTTATGGTCCCCCTCACGAAACCCAAATGGACCCCCCACAAATGGTTAACGACGTGTTGGACGGAAAGGAACATATCTTGACAGAGACCGTCAGTCAACGTAGTCAAACACAGTGAAAGCAAAATCAGATTGAGGCACTGTGGAAGTGACAGCCAATCAAATAAAAGCTTTTTGTAGAGAAAACAAAAGGTCAAAGTATGATGTCCAGTAATAAGCAGCCGTGATTCACCAACATGGCTCATGAACTGAAGACCGTTAAGCCGGACGGGAAGCGCAATTTTGTCCGTATTCTAAAAGGGGTACGAATGTTGGAAGCTAAGGAAGCAAAGCAAAACCGCATGGCTAAAAATGGCGGCACCGCTACACCTTAGCTTTATCAACAACAGTTGAATATTGAGATAAGAAAGGAATAGAGAGAAAGAGTTGAAATTCTTACAATAGATTTTTGTTTTCAAGTGCAAGATACAGTGTGGCGTGAGTTCTAAGGGTTGTTTCTTTCTTTGTTTTTTTGTTTGATGGGAAAGTTAAGTTGGAGGTATTGTTTTTTTATGTTATTATGGGAATGAGAAGTGGGGTTTCTTTTGTGTGTTCAAAGGAAGGAACTACAGCTAAAGAGTGCGATGTTGGGTTGGGTTTAAGGATGCAAGACAAGGAATCTTGTGGTGTGATATCATCGCCGTCATCATCATCATCATCGTCTACTTCTTGTTGCTGTAGTGGTGGTGGTTTTGATGGAGGTGGGCCAATGTTTTATGGTAGAAGCAACGGTGTTGCGTGTTTTGGCGATATATACGATGTGGTGGTCGGTGGTAGTTCTAGTGGTGGTAGCAATGCGGTGACGGGGTCAAAGACGTCTCTGCACTCTTTCAATTCTTCTCCTTTTGCCTTCAATTCCTCAGGTAAATTTTGTCTCTTTTTTTATGTACTGACTTGTATTTCAGTTCTTACTTCTTACTAGTCTTGGGAAAGGAAAAGGAGGGAGATCTAAAGTTGCAGTAATCCCTATGTCTGGTTATAGGAGAAATGAATCCGTCGTCTATGAATGTGGCTGTCCCTTTCACAGCAGCTCAGTGGCAAGAACTGGAGAGGCAGACTATGATTTACAAGTACATGATGGCCTCTGTTCCTATCCCTCCAGAGTTACTTATTCCCATCACTAAAACTCAATCAAACCCTCCTTCCTCACAATCCCACGGTAAATATCACTAATGCTCGTATCAATTTTCAATCTTTTACAGTACTGCACATTTAAACTGGCACTGGATTTGTTTATTTAGCTTTAAAAGGTTCATTAGAGTTGGGGATTTCGGGCTGCAACTCGGATCCAGAGCCATGGAGATGCAAAAGAACAGATGGGAAGAAATGGAGGTGCTCAAGGGATGTGGCACCTGACCAGAAGTACTGTGAAAGGCACTCTCACAAGAGCCGTCCCCGTTCAAGAAAGCCTGTGGAATTACACACCGACTCCATGGCTCAATTGCTTAATCAAAAATCTCACTTCCCTAATCAAACAAACTCCCATAATTTATCTATCTTCCGTAGTCCAACGGTCTCAGCTGCCGCCTCATATGATCAGTCCAGGTGAGCCACTAATCTACATTGAATTTTTTTGCCATTGACAAAATTATTAGTTTAATTATATATGATCATAACAAATTATTATTTATGGTTAATGTGGCCCTTAGTTATTTATTTATTTTGTGACTTTGGAACACTAAATATAGTGTCTTTGTCTCTTTTTGAAATATATATATATAATAATTAATTAAATGGTGAAGGAACTTGGAATGGTTCTTGAAAGGCGAGACAGTTCCTGTTGCTAGCAACTCCAACCAAGAATGGCGTTATCTGAAGGATGGCGAAAGGGTATATAATTATAGACAAGGACAGCTTGACTCAAACTCATATTTGAATATGAATTTAAGAGGTGGCCACCCATTGCAAGCCCATCGCCTAAATGAAAATTGCAGCTTGTTATTAAGCCCCAAATCGACAAGCTTGGAAGCAAATGTAAATCCCAGCAGCCAAGAGACAAGGCACTTCTTCGATGCTTGGTCATCAGCAGTGAGAGAAAGCAGTAATAATGGTGGAATTGGCAATGAATGTTGTGTTTCTTCGGGTGAGAAGCTACTGCCACTCTCATCTCTTACTTTGTCAATGGCTGGTGGCGTTCAAACGAATCAAGACAATGGAAATGAGCAAGCAGCCAGTTTTGGAATGATGGGACAGGAGAAGATGAGCCATGGTTCATGGATGTGTTCACCACCTGGTGGACCATTAGCGGAAGCCTTGTGCCTTGGCATTTCAATCGGTGCAAAAGCTGATTCAAATTTGGCATCTTCTCATGGCAGCAGCTATGGCATTAACAACAAAAACTAATTACTTAATTTAACGCTTTTTCATTAATTGTCTGCTTAGCTCCTTTCTGTTTTATTTGCTTAGTGAAACTAATATTGCTCAATTTGATTAAAATGACTTAGAGCTGAGCCAGGACATGGTTCTTAGTTGGGCAATCTATAGCACCGCTCCCACTTGGTGTTCTTCTTCACTATTTGTATTGTGGATTACGTTTATGGGAAACGGGGAATAGGTAAATTTAGAGGGAATGTAATCTTAAGCACAATGCCTGGCCTGTTTCCCGCTTCTAATGTTCAGGTTATTTTTGTTTGTTGTGCTATTAAAAGACAAGGATCCAAGGAAATTAGTGAAAATTTTAACAGGAAATTGATACCATGTCTTAAGCTCAATCTGGAAACTTCCTATGATTATTAATTAAAATAGAGAAACATCAAAATATATACCCTAAATGTTTATCAATTATGTTCGAGAAGATGGTATTAAAATTGTTTACAAAGACGTGAGCTTGATTTTAGTCGAAGACCAAGCAACTGGTAATTAGTCCGAATCATTGAAGAGAAAAACTTCGAAGCTACTTTAATTAATTGATAAAATGATACAATAAAACTAGACTATTTCAACCACCTTAGATCAGTAGTTGAACAGGGAGATATTTCCCCACCAATACTCTCAGTATAACAGGAGGAATAGTTGGATCGGTGCTCCATCCCAAAATGAGCAGCTTGCACACTCTTGAAGCTGGGGCTTCTTAAGTTCTGGCTAAAGCTACTACAATGTGGCTCCGGAGCTGGATATGATAACCGTTTCTTGGCTGATCCACTGCGTTCTCTCTCAGGCGTTGATGGCCTCTGCCTGGGTGCACTCTGGGACCTGACCCTAGCCTTTGCAGACTCAGTGGCTGCCATGTAGTTTGGCATTGCAGCACTGGCGCTACTTCCACTTGCACCCATTCCATAGCGATACCTGGAGCCAAGGCTTGGTGTATGTGCAGCTGAATAGCACTTGTCTTCTTTGACGCATCGAGGGCTTGCAGAGCGAACCTGAAGGGGTTTGGTTTTGCAGGGAGATGGGGTTATGGGTGAGTGGTGGAAAGAGATATTGTGGTGCGTTCTAAGGATAGAATGAGGCAGCTGGCAAGTTTGTCTTTGTTGGTAATTTTGAGATTGTGATCTTCTACCTGCAGCTGGAGTAGTAGAATAAATATATGGCCTAGAAGTGTCAATTTCTACAGTTTTTATAGCTTCTCTTCTATCAGTTGATGCTCTGCTATTGCTTTCCCATTGCTTTGTAGCCATCCACCGGTCGAGCCATTTGGTTCCTTCCTCCATTTCTTTTTCATCTCCTGCTGATGGGCTTCTTCGAGATCTCCATATCTTGATATCAGAGATCAATAACTAATTAGCTCATTAACAAGTTTTATATTGCTAGCCTACAAGGCAAGAGATGTAACCTGGCTAGAGAAAGCATAAGCAAGGGCTTTTTCCCGTTTCAAAGCAGCTTCCTTTTTGCTTTGCACTATGGCTTCAATCTCCTTACTTGTATATGGGCGGTCATCCCAATTATCTAGAATGGAGCTTATATCTCTGGACTGTAATATTCAAAACTTCATTATTAGTTAAAAAGAGTTAATCAATTTATCGGGACAGAATTGATTTGTCACTTACAATAGACCCTCTCTCGCTGATGTCTTGTAGACATGTAGAGTCCCAGAAGCCATTAGATTCATCAAACATGGACTTTCTGCTCCCTTCATGTGAAAGCCTTGCACGTTGGTCGCGTACCCGATCTTGTACTCGAACCAAAGCTTGCATGCACTTAAGTGTTACCTTTGCTTGCTTTCTAACATTATGCCCTCTCACCAGTGCTTGAAGCTTCACTAGCCCTTTAAGTGCACGTAGAGCTCTCCTTGCCTACACTCAAGAGATTAGCTGATTAGAAAATGAAAAATATCCTGGAAATATATGTTTAGTGATATGTACTAAGAGGTAAGCTTACTAGGTAGCCTCTGAAAGCTGTTTGAATGAGTATAGCAGCCCAGTGTTCTCTAACGAAATTTGAAGGCCTAGTGAGCCTAACAATCTCCACTGCTGCTTGTGCTGTTGCCGCTGCTGCTTCAGCCGCAGCAGCTGTGGCTTCTGCTACAGCAATTGCATGCCTTTGTTCCGCATCCGAAATAGGACTCACATTATTTGCTTCTACTGCTGTTGTTCTTGTTCCACATTGTTGAACTTGGACATGGTTGTAATTGAGCTTTCTAAAAAGCCATCTTCTTTTCTCTCTCTTCTGCAAAAACCCAGAAAGCCATGCACCAAGAAATTAACGAAACTATACGTCGATGCAAAATAAGAGTCGGTTTGGTTTAAATAATTACCTTTTCTTCCTCTTCTTGGTCGTGTTCTTCTCTTCTTCTGCTAGTCTTTTTCTCATTCTCCTTAGTTGGAGAGCTGAATGCTCTTTTCACTAATGTCAACCATGAGGTACCACTCTTCGTTCTCATAGAGGTCCAGGAGAACCAGTATTATTAGATTACATATGAACTGAGGGAATAAATAAAGAAAAGGAAAAGAGAGGGGAGTTGCATTTTTGATTTACAAATCACAATCATTTATATATAACAGATAAAAGAGCAGGAAAGCTAGCAATGAGAGAGACAGAGAGAGAGAGAGAGAGAGAGAGATTGAAAAAAGAGAGTGAATGCGAAGTTTATATGTGCAGAATCTAACATGTATAGTACGAGCTCTCTCCAGTATACGTGCTAAAGGCGTAGGTGTTTTCTAGTGGCATGAGATAAAAACTAATGGAGGTGTCAGAAACTGTCAATAACTTTGTGATAGAAAGAGGACATGAGGTAGAAAGATTTTTAATTATACAGAGCTACAAGAATCCAAAGTCCATTAAAAATACCTAATCTTTCTTGATTGAGCATGCCTTTAATTTCCCTTTTTAAATAACCACTGAGCACCCTCTATCGTCTTCACGTGTTATCATCAGCAGCAAGAAAAGAAACCATCCATTTTTTTATTTTATTTTCGACCTACCAAATACCAATTACTATCATCATCTTCTGCATTGGAAGACCTTAGACCTCGAAGACCACCACCATTTTTTTATTTTGTACTGATGAAAGCGGGGAATCCTTCCTGGTTTTGGGTTAGCGAAAAGAGGTTGGCTTCATTTCCCGGTAGACTGGTCAAAAACTGTTGTGACTCTGTCGTCTTCTCCACAGTCTACTTTCCAAAATTGTCTCTTGTCCGAATTTGCACCATATGGACAAAAGATGCATGTAAAATTTAGTTTAGTTGCAACTCATTCCCACGTTACATTTTCTGTTTGTAATAACGGCGAGGATTCTTTTGCATTCTTTTCTTCAGGCACCATTACTGTACTAATTAAGATTATCTTTCCTCAAAATCACAAGGAAAATCCTGAGTTAATATTATTTTTTGGTCTGGAACAAATTCGAATGGGAATTGCTGTTTACTCTCCTGAGTTATTGATTGATGAGTATTTTCCTGTTGGAATCAATTATCAGAATAGTGGTAATAAAGAAAAGGACAGCCGATGAAATAAATGTTCCTCAGTACGATGTGCTATTTGGGAATTGAAATGCAACAATCACTTGCCATCAAACTGACAACTGTACTTTCAAATTAAGCTCATTGATTATAGAATTTCATCAACATATGCATGAAACTCTTATCCTTAACGGTAACTAATTTTAATTATTAAATAAATATTTAATCAATTTAATTTCACAAATTGAAGTGTTTAATTTAATAATTTCATAAATTATATTGTTTAATAAATTAAAGTAAATATTAAAATACTATAAAAGTGAATTTATGCATTTAACTTACGTTTATTTTACATGCATGTAATTTTATAATAATGAAAAATAGCAATTTAAATATTATTTTCAGCTTAAAAATTCTGTTTTATTTTTTTCTCATTATGCCTGACCATTATGTGCTGTTGATTAAATAATTATTGAGGGAGGGCCCTTCAATGTGGTCTTTTCCTTCAGTCCTTACTCAGTGCTCGCTTGTCATCTAGCAGACCAATAATTTTTGGTGGCAGTGTTTGAATTTTATTTTCCTTTCGAGGTTTTCTAATCTTAATTTAAAAAAAAAAAAAAAAAGCCTTCTTATATGATTTGATTATATAAGAAAAATAAAATTATGAAATAAATAATATAAAAGCTCCTAGTTCCATTTTCTGTTATTTATTTCAGTATTTATATGATAAGATATTGCAAAGTGAATTCAAAATATCAATCTAATATTTTTATTAAATTCATAACAATATAAAATTCATAATTGATTTTCACCAAAAAATTTAAAAAAAAAAAAAAAAAGGAAAGGTTCTTAATAATTTACACTGGTGAGAATGAGCTAGTGTTGTGTTGGGGCCGGTTGATCTCAGCCCAACGTTAAACCAGCCCATGACCGGCACGAGACTAGTTGGGCTTTGGCGTGAGAAGCATGAAAAAATTAAATACAGACTCCAACAAGGCTCCACGTCACGTCGTCTTCAATTATTTATTTTTGAAATAAAATTGAGCGCCCAAAGAAAAGCTTCGTTTCGTGTTTCAAAACTGAGTGGCCTAAAACGAATATAAAAAAAAAAAGCTCTCTGTTCATGTCTTTATGATATGTAGTAAATAATTATAATAATAATAATGTGCATTAAATTACCAAAAGTAAAAAGTCGTCCACTGTTTCCACCCTTTTGGTTCTCTCTTTTGCTTTATTTTGCCTCTCTTCTTCAAATTTCAAAAATCAATCATCGGCACCGCCTACCGCCATGGGTTGTGTATCTTCCAATTTGCTAAACAACGAGGACGACTTCACTCAACTCGGCAGCTCAGCACTCGGTCACCACATTGTCTCCCTCACCTCCACCACTTATGGTCTCCTCAATCTTGATCCACCGCCGCAGTCCTCTGTCACCACTCCTCCAACTCCACCCGCTCGCTTCACCCTCGGCTCCATCTTCCCTAGCCCTCTATGCGAGCCTAAGTCTCTCTGGTCCGAACCCAGGCCTCTCCGCTCCGATTGCCCAGAAACCATCAATTCTTGGGAGCTCATGTCTGGCCTGGACGCCGATAGCTTCCGATTTTCTCCCATTATCAAGAAAGATGAGAGTCCTTTAACCGACAAAGAAAACTCAAATCCTAATTTCAGCTTCAGTGCTTTGAAGTCGTTGAAAGACAGCAGTTTTGCCTCAAAAGAAAATTCGCATTCGCTAGATAGATTTGAAAAGTTGTGTCCGCCAAATGGGGAAAACAGAGTTGTGATCTACACGACCACGTTGAGAGGCATAAGAAAAACATTCGAAGCGTGCAACGTTGTTCGCACAGCAATTGAAGGATTTGGGGTCGTAATTTGCGAGAGAGACGTGTCAATGGATCGTGGATTTAGAGAGGAGTTAAGGGAGTTGATGGGGGAGAAAGAAAGAGAAGCAACGTTGCTGCCAAGAGTATTCGTGAAGGGAAGGTACGTAGGTGGAGTGGAGGATGTGATGAGGATAATGGAGGAAGGGTGGATGGGAGAGCTGCTACAGGGTTTGCCAAAGAAGAGAGTAGGAGATGTGTGCGATGGGTGTGGAGATGTGAGGTTCCTGCCCTGTTTTTCTTGCAATGGAAGCTCCAAAATGGTGATGGTGGTGAAGGATGATTTCGGACAGAAGCAAGGGAGAACGATGGCGGTCAGATGTCCTGATTGCAATGAAAATGGTTTGGTGCTCTGCCCCATTTGCGCCTGAAGCTTTTTTTTTTTTTTTTTTTTTTTATTTGCGCCTGTATAGCTTTTTTTTTTTTTTTTTTTTTTCAATCTAGTTGGGGTTGATTAAAATCAAAAGCTAAGTTCTTCGTTGTATCTTATCAATAGTAAGTTATTCATTCATTTACTTGTCAATTTTAGTGAAAATTGATAATCCTCAGTCTCACAATCTACCGGAATTGCGTCCGAGGTTATTATTTTTTTTTTTTTTTTTTTTTTCAATCTAGTTGGGGTTATAAAATCAAAAGCTAAGTCTTTGTTGTATCATCATAAGTAAGTTATCTCAATTTACTTGTTTCAATTTTAGTGAAAATTGATAATCCTGAGTTCTCAATCAATCTACCGGAATGCGTCGAGGTTATTATGGGATCAATATAGTATAGTTGAACTTGAAAAGAAATAAACTTTGAAAAGCATCTGAGCATAATTTTCTTGCATGTTTATGTAAATCAGTTTATACTTATGCTTCCTGGCTTTGTGGAAGAGGCAGAGTAGAAATTTTGGATACTGTCCCATCCCAATTGAACTGAGTTTTGAGTGGCGTGAACTGAATATGAAATTGCAGATCTTTTTGGATATTTTCTTTGTAACTAAACATTTGAATCGATTTGGCCAAATATAGCTGAGAAATATTGTTTAGGAGATCGCTAATATTATAACGAGGGGGTTACTTAAAAACGACATAAATATTGGAAAATTTTCTTCTGCGTGTTCATGTGATTTCCCTCAAAAACGACAGGCATATTTCCTTCTGTCGTCGACACTTAAAAGGCAAATTTTGAGTAATCAGTCGTTTTAAAAGTTGGCTACTTAAAAACGACCGTACCCATTTATTTGGGCTGCCTACAAGAGAGGACCAGTTATCAACAATTTGTAGGATACCTGAAATGAGCTACAAGCCACTTTAACCTCCTATTTGAACTAATGTGTTGCTCAATTCATTCACCAATCTAAGTTTTTTTATTTGGAATTAAAAAAAAATATGAAATTCAATTCAATTCAATCAAAATAGATGTGATTTTAGAATGAATTTTAGTAAACAAAACAACTCAAATTTGATCTAATGTTCAAAAAAATCTGTATTTTTAAGTGATTTTGCAATTTTAGTCAATTCCTTAAATTTTAGAAGAATTGGCTAAAATTATAAAATTGCTAAAGTAGAGGCTTGTTTTTGAACATGACACCGCAAATTTGTGTACATTCTTTCCTCTTGTCAAGCAGTTTTAAAACTGAAACTCTTATCTCGATAGCAGCTTCTCTCGCTGCCATTGCTATTCTCTTTAGTTTCGTAGTCAACGATCTCATCCCCAAACTGTTCATGACTATTGATAGGACCCTTTGAAAAATATTAATCCGTTTATCTTCTCAGCTCACCATCATCATTAAAGAATTTGCTGTCTCTCTCCAAATCAAATGTTTCAAGCCCGTTAGCTAGAAGAGTCGAAGAACATAAGCTAGAGAAAGAAAAGAAACCATTTGTTACTATCTGGAGATCAAGTTGCTTGATGTGCTTCAAGGCTTTCACACATAAATGGCTGGGATATTCTCTTTAGGGTTCTGATTTTTGGTAAAAAGTAATTAACTTTGATTTACACATATCATATATAGGATGAGCTTTTCAAAGCCTTGTTGCGATCATCAGTACCTGTAAAATGAAAAATGTTAAGAAAACAGAGTACCCTTTTTGACCGTTAATTTAACAAACTATTGAGAATCAAATTCCATTTTTCCCGCTTTGTAAAGCTTCTGTTCTATGCTCAGGATCTATCCAATTTTAATGATTACAGTACGCAGGTGAGTTCATTTCAATCTTTTGGATGTTACTTTTCTCCTTGTAATCTGGTCCTACACACCTAACAATATTTATTTCTTCGTTGAACTGTCCTTGTACTACCTTTTTTTTTTCCCTTCTTTTTGATGAATTTAATTAACAGATGAATAATAAACCCTAATGAGGATTAATTAATTGGTGTTTAACAAAGTTCAATTCTGCGGCTCAGATGGAGAAAAATGCTGATCAGGGCCGAAATTATATTTTATATATTTATCTGTATTAATGCAAATAAAAGAACTCTAATGATGTTGATAGATTTCTTGATAGAAATGATTAGAAATGCTCAATGAAAAAGTTTTTCAACTCAGCATGTCATGTGGGTTGTTGTTCAGATAACCATGATTATAGCTACCTAATTATTTTTTACCTATAGACGACTTAGCAAAAATTAGTTATCATAAATCCGTAGGGTAAGATTTGTCAATCCATCCAAGGCTTAACCCTAAAAGTTCATCGGAGAAGGAGGGAGGGAGGGCTCAGTCTGAGTCGGTAACACCCTGCAAAATGGGGTGATGGGGCCACTACTTCTCCTTATGACATCTGATTATGAATGTTCATTCTGGTCCTCAACTCAAAGGATATCCTTTTGAATAATGAAGTAAAACTTTTATTAGTTTTTGATGATTCAACGACAAAATAATAAGTCTTAAACCTAAGTATCAGCAATGAGTACTACTGAATAAGATTTGGAAACAGAAATCTAATCATAAAATAGCATGACCAAATGTTAAACTACATACGAATATATTCTTCGAAGTGATATATCTTCATAGACGACAGAGGACCCTAACCACTTTCAAATTCCATTCTTTGATAGTTCAGTTCTAACAACATTTACATGAGAAAATATTATATATATCAGTAAATAACACTCACAACTAAAATATTATATATATACACTCAGACTCAGTTAAAGAGAAAAAAAAAAAAAAACTCTGATACATGTAAATTGCATGGCAAAAGAATGTATTTATGAATGTTTTTTCAGACACCGACCATTGATGTAAACTGACCACTTAATTAGCAGACATAAAATCAAATTTCAGATCATATTATTATACAGAAAGGGACAAAAAAAATTATATTCTATCCAGAAAAGCATAAATTTCGGATTTTGGTGGAGTTGGAACCCTAATTTCTAACATTCTATTTTATTTAAATTAATGAAGTGACTGAAAGCTTGTCATTCGCATAAATTTCAACCTTAAAGGAATAAATATATATTAGGTCTAAAGATGAGTAGGTAGTGGGCACATATATTATATAGGCCATTTGGTGACACTCCTTTTCCAACCACATTTTTATCACATCTAACAGAAATCCACCCTTTCATTCCATTTTTCAGTCCTTATCCCTTAATAACCCGTTAATCAAAATTCTTTACTAAAATAAATAAATAATGCCTATATACAGAAGGTGAGCTGTAATTAAGTGTTTGATTATATATCTTTTGTTTGCATAATTGTACTGTCAAGTTTTAACAGTCCAAACGACAATGAGTATGTTGGAGAAATTTCAGACGGGTTCAATGCATAACACCCAACTAACCCTTCTTGATAATTGATAGATTAATTAACTCTAACAAAACTGGTTTGATTAGACGAATAATATAATTATTTAACAAACTCTTAATTTTGAGAGGATAGAATTTAGGTTAATAAAAGATTGAAATACATTTTTTATTAATTAAAAAATATGTGATATTGTGTCAATCAACTATGATCTTATTTGTGAAGGAAAAATTTTGGATTCGAGTAATCTCAACCATAAGGAATTTTCATCAATTCGATAAATTAAAAAAAAATAATTTTAATTCATTGAATCTTTCAATAAATTTTTTTCAAAAAAGTAAATGATATGATGATAAATTTAAATAACTTGGAAGGGAAAGATGTTATAATAAATCACATTTTTGAAAAGAAAAATAAGGTAATTAATGCAAAGAATTACATACATAATATGCTAAATTATAAAAATTAATATGATAACCCAGAACAAAAATTATTTTTTGGGTCTATTAATTTGCGTTATTGTTTTTATTTTTTAGATGGTCAGCTAGCTCGTGAGCTTACTAGAATTACTGGTTCTATATTTGACCAGATGGAACGAATGCTTACTCTTTCATCTTTTATTTCGATCTACTTTTTTATGATGCTATTAATAATTAATCTATCTTTTCAGTCAAAAAAATAATGATGACAAGGAAGCTTCATGCAAACGTACCTTGCCCACGATCGTCATACATGCATCATGTATGCATGTGAATCTACATAAAATATGTTATCATATCGTGTTTCTCTATTTATTTACCTAAATTATACATAAAATATTTTTTAATTTAACTAAATTATCCATTATTCTTCTCAAAAAAAAAAAAATCCATTATTATACTTAATTACTTCAATTTCAGTAATGGTCTCTTCATTACTCTACCAACCATTTAAAAAAAAAAAAAGAGAGAGATATAGTAATAAAATAGATTTCAGGAAATTTTGGACAATAATTATTCTATTTAATAGAAATATTGGGAAAATTGGAAAATATAATGAATTCTATTAATCTTCTCAAACCAATAACTCATAATTTGGATGAAACAAAATTTAAAAATGACAGAAAAATAAAGGAGAGAGTAATAATTTTGCATTATTCAGGTTTAGCTCTCGATTATATTAAATTTTCATAACATGTCATATTCTCATTTCAAAAAAAAAAAAAATGAATAGTACTAATACAATGATTGTAAAAATAGTCAATGTATGATTTGATTATATTTATACATATACTTACACAGCAGCAGCAATGCATGACATATATATAGTAATGTGCACAATATTATTATATAAATAAGGTCAATTGTTGAACAATCTTCCAACATGGTTTATATGACTATAAAAAGCAGAAAAGAGAAAACTAAAATATTCTCAAAGGAGGCAAAAGAATCGAACCAAAATATAATATTTGGCAATAATTGCTTACATCATGTACTTGAATTATGATTTTCAACACTCTCTTTACTCTTTAAGCTTAATTTGAGCTCATCAAAATCACTAAGTGATGGTAATTGATTAGGTCAAGAATGATTTTACTGGTTACGGTAACCGATAAGTAATGGTAATTTTAAGACAACTGCTAACGCTTCAAGTTATTTTTTCCTTTCATGTCAAATTAATCCATCATAACTCATCGATACGCATTCTTTTAAGCGTAGAATATTGACTGGAGATATTTATTTGTGAAATTTGAAAACTTTTAAATAATTTCACTTTTATTATCAACTTTAAGTATTAAATCGGATTAAGATACAAGTTATTCATTAATTCATTTCAAGTTTTAATGACTTATGAATGATGTCCATTTTTCATTTATGAGCCTTTCGTTTTTTCTGCAATCTATTTTCATATTTCTACAAATTAAATGTTTCAAATTTCAATTTCAAACTTTATAGAATTATGCAAATATATTGAAAAGTGAAGATCTTCTATATATATCTATTCTTAGTGACCTTACAATCCTGTAGATATATATCTTATGAAATTCTAGGACTTGACATCAAACAAAGATAAGCTCCTTAAACGCCGATAAATTCATCACCACCAGTTTCACGAGCAGCCAGAGATTCAGAACAAATATAATTATGAATTCTGCCATTTCAAAATAGAAATAATCTCATTAGATGCCAACAATTCATGATTCTTCTTGTGCGGGGAAGCATCTCCTAGTAGGGTATATATAGTCATCTCAGCTCAAAAAGACAAATCAAATCACCTTTAGTTCTCCCTTTGCCATATCTTTATGGGTACATCGTAGGTTAGGTGAATACCCAGAAAGGTTGAGTCTTGTTCGATATATATATGTATATTTCTCCCACACACAGAATTTAGGATTGACGTATTCCCATCCCACTTAGTGGGTATTATCATTTGCGACCCCAATCCCGCGTTAAAGTCAACACAGAGCCATAATTAGCTTGTCGAGCTTTTTCAACATGGTTAACGAATTCGTGTAAGACCTTAGCTATTTGGATATAATTACAGGTAGAAAGTGCAAATCACAGCACCGAAACTCTTGTTTGTATTTTAATTCTGGGATAAAAATCTATGCATGGACGACATGGTTAACGTTATTAAGGAAAATAACATTATAATGTTTGACAATGCCACCCTATCTCAAATATCACTTTGATTTATTATATATTGTAATACATATACTTTATATTAGCTATACTGATAAAGACTGTATATGTATATTCATACATACGTATTAGAGTAATTATATATCCACCCTATCTCAAATATCACTTTGATTTATTATATATTGTCAATACATATACTTTTATTATTAGCTATACTGATAAAGACTTGTATCATGTATATTCCATACATACGTATTAGGAGTAATTATATATAGTATATATATATATATATAATATATATATATATATATATATATTGTGTGTATATTTTAGATGGTGGTGCTGGTTATACTGACAAGTGCATAATTGGTCCGACGATGATTTAGTGAAGCTCCAGAGATCATTATATATATTGTTGTGGTATATTTAGATGGTGGTGCTGGTTATACTGACAAGTGGCATAATGGGTCCGACGATGATTTAGTGAAGCTCCAGAGATCATTCTCGCTACTGTAGACCTGAGAATTGGGTTGATTTGATCTACTGGAGTGCACATGCATTTGTGATAATTGCACATCATCATCGTCATCGTCATCCTCATCATGAGACAGACCGAAATTTCCATTTGGGTCAGTAAAGCAGGAAAGTTGTTTGGATGTATCTACCTGACCATTCAACTGTGATGCAACCAGACGATCAAAGGCTACCCAGTCGTTAAGCCCTGATTTGCTGTTGTTGTCAAGTGATTCAATGCATTGATTCTGGTTGTTGGTGGAGGAAGGTTCGTTATTTTCTGCAAGAATATCATCGTACGACTGATAACACGCTCCGAAATTTCTCTCTTGATGATCAAACGATGAAGGGCTGCTGATTGGAAGAGAAGGAAGAGTTGGGCTATCAAGCCTTGGAAGATGCATAAATCTTTCATGGAGGCCTTCACTAGTGATACCAACGGCGTTGTTATTAGCTGAAAGAAATCTGAGAGCGTTATTGTTGGAGAGATTGAGATGGCTAAAGGATTCATTCTCCATCTTGCACGTTCTTCCCATGTAAACAAGTATTTGATCAAGAACTCCATCGTTTCCGGAAGTAAGAATCTGATTCTTACAATCCATGGAGCTTGACGAACCTTTAGGACTCTCTAGGGTCTTTTGATAGTTCTTCTTTCTAAATACACGGCAGACCACCCACCCCTCCTCAGGGATTGCTTCTCCTATTGGATTATTCGAACCCTGATAAATTTCATTATGAACATAATTAATTATAAATTAACAATAATATATGTATGGTCGAATTAATATAAAAAAGGAGAGTGAATAATTACAGTGGTGTCGTGAGAAGTTTCATCAAGCCTATACTCATGCATGATCCAATCAGATTTCTGTCCATGTGGAGCTCTTCCCTTATAGAAAACAAGAGTTTTCCTTAAACCAATTCTTCTAAAGCCGCTGTATATGATCTTATCCCTGCCAGTGGCTTTCCAGAATCCGGCAGCTGTTGCTCGGTTTGTTCTAGTCCCAGTTGGGTATTTCTTGTCCTTGTGACTGAAGAAGTACCAGTCATTCTGTGGGGTGGATCCTATTTTGCATTTCTCTGAATATTTTCACAAATAAATCAAGATACAGTACCAATTATATATTATATGAGAAATTAAAGAGAGAAAAAAGAAAAAGAAGAATGAAATTAATGAAGCACCTTGAATATCCCAAGGCTCAAGTTTGTTAAGATCAACTTCACGAATGACATCAAGATCTATCTTTTCATAAGCGACTTTCTTCCTGAGATAGTAATGAAGAAGTTCCTCTTCGGTTGGGTGAAATCTAAAACCAGGAGGGACCTGAGACTGACCATTTATTGAAAGATTCATATCCTCGGGCATTATAAAGAAAGGGAAAAGAAGAAAAAAGAAGTGGTGATGGACGGGAGATGAGAGAGAGCTAATAGAGGTTAAAGAAATGAAGCAAAAGGTTAAGGTGGTGAGCGTAAAGGGTAATGCAGTCATGATAATTTATAATGGTTAGAGGCTATAAGGACATGGGGAAGGGTCCAAATATGCATGAAAAGTTATAGAATCATGGCCATTAGTGTACTTAGTGTGGGGTCTAAGGCTTCCAGAAGAGCCAACCACCAAAAACTAAGAGAGAAAGAGATGGGACCCAGAATAAATAATAAATAATAAAAAATAGTAAATAATGTTTTAGTAAGAGGGGCAGGCGGCAGCTGGGCGGAGGGTACGCCCCCATCTAAACTACGACCCATGACCTTAATATCTAAATGAAAAGCACCTCTGAAACCACCACAATATCCTAAAAGAATCTCTGAACATCACTCGTTTTACTTATGCAACCACCTCAACGACAAGAGGGCAACACAGGGATGATGGGGTCGGAGCCACTGAGCTTTCATGGCCCTTCGAGGAACAAACCCATGATGGACTCTTTCCAGACTCTCTCCTTCTCCCTCTCTTTTTTTTATTATTTTTTATTTTTATCATTCTACTCACCAACTGTGTGGGTCACCACATCATCGCAAGTCGCTATTTCAAATCAAACCTCAAGCAATTTTTCTTTCTCGTTTTTCTTTTTTAATATCTAAAATACAAACAAATTAAAAACTGTACAGACATTTCGACTCTCTGCTTGTTCTGTGCTATATATTTATATCACCAAATCTTTGTATAGTGTACATGAAACTGGATTTTGCACGTGCACTAGCGTCTGAGTTTGCTATAGATAGAGTTCAATTCTGGAGCCCAACATGAGGTACCCACAGAACGCAATAATTGGATACTCTAGTTCTTGTTATTGGCACTCAAATAAATCATTTATTATTTTTTTTTTCAAATTAATGGCTCACGAAATGCATAATTATAATGTGTATATATCCAAATTTGCAGTCTCGATGTTAATTATATACACTCCAAAAGTAGAGGGAACGTAATTGAAAATTCAATATTTTAATTTTAGCATATTAAACCTTTTCTAAGATATGCTTGAATTTTTCAATCTTTAACTTTTTTTTTTTCTTCTCCTCTTTTGAATGATTTATACATGGTAACCGCTAAATCTTTCATTTGATAATAAAAGAAAACGCAAATCTTAAAAGGTTAATAAGGCAACCACTAAGAATTCATAAGAAAGAAGCAAAAATAGCTTTTTTCTTTTCTTAATCGGATGATATATTTCCTCAGTCTCAAAATATAAATTATTTTAGGTGATTATTTTATTTCAAAATATAAATTCTTCTGAGTATTTTAAAGTGTAATTAACTTTATCTTTTTTCAGTTTTATCCTTTTTTTACATTAGATACGATAATTATCTTCACAAATAATTATTGATTTTGTTTAAATTTAGTCAAATTAGTTACTTTTTTAATCCCGTATAAAAATTTTAAACGACTTATATTTTGAGTCGGAGGAAATACACATATAGAGTTACTATAAATTGTACCAGCATAACCATTGAAATAAACTGTAGTGATCTATCCCATTTATTAGCATGTGTATGGCCATAGGGAATTAAAGCTCCACACCTTATATATGATGTTCTTGCTCATTGAAGAGCAGAAATGTTATGATGAGAGGGAGGAAGAAGGAAGTAGCTGCAAGTGTCTAGCTAGCTCATAATCCTGTGGCATTTATAGAAAATTTACTGTATTTATAATAATGGAAGGTAGTAAGTATAATTAATGTGTTTTGGCTTGTTGGAACATTGGTTAATTAAAATTAAGTGCCGGGCTGTGGCTGCTTTTGTGATTAATTATTTTTAATTTTTTTTCACACATTCCTTACACGTGCTTTTCTTTTTATTTTTAATTAAAAAAATCATTACCCTAGACTATTTAAGAATATAAATAAAATTTTGTAATAATATATACAAGATATGTTTCACAGTTTGAGTGTATTTTTTTTTTTTTTTTTTTTAATCATTACCCTAGACTATTTAAGAATATTAAATAAAATTTTTGTAATAATTATATACAAGATTATGTTTTCAACAGTTTGAGTGGTATTTTTTTTTTTTTTTTTTAGGTTAATTGAATTTTTTTTTTTTTTTTTTTTTTTAGGTTAATTGAATTTTGTCAAATCAATTATCTTTTCAAGAATCTTTGGTTCTTAAAGGCATATTTCCTCTTATCGGTCTAACATATTCAAAAATATTAAATATTCCTTCAATGCATTTACATTAATCTTTAAAGAAGCATATTTCTATTTGTGTCTTTTCTTACTTTCCCCAAACTACGGACAATTGTGTTACTCTTTACACGACTACTTTGCCTAACCTTAGTCTCGAAGAAAATCCAATTACAGTAGATAACTTAAATAAATTATATTTTCAGACATTTGACAAATATTCCTTTTAAATTAAATTCGATGTTGTTTAAAAACTCGCATACACGCATCTAATTTCGTGTTTACACTTAACTCCTACCATAATTAACTGCAATACGTAAATTCTTTAAGATACTACCGTAACCTTAAAATTATAAATTTCAATAACATTTTAAAGATTTTTAATTATTTAAAATATTTAATCGATTAAATTTTAAAAATTGAATTTCTTTATAAATTAAAACACTTAATAAGTTAAAATAAAAATCGAATGTATGCATAAATACAGTGAGAGTATTAGAGCCGCCACCATATATATATATATATATATGCATGAAGCATGACGAAGCCTGATATCATCCTGACAAGAGAGAAATTGTTAGCAAATTGATGCACAAGCTTAGAGACCAGTAGTCTAATGCTGCAACAACATTATCCAAAATCGAATTGTCTTTATCAGACTCTACCAATTTATGCAATCATCATACGCATGCACATTTCATACCAAATAATCAAAACTGAAATGACCTCATCAAAAGTTGTGGCATTCCAAGAGAATTAACAATGATAAGTGAAAGAGTATTCGACTTGATATTTCTATTTTTTATTTTTTATAATAATAAAAAGATCAATCAGATCATATTTGAAATTTGAAAATTTGAATAGGAGTAAATTTTAATATCTTTAAATATGAGTTGGTGTGTATAAAGTTAGAAGAAAATATTATAATAAGAAGAATGTGAGTAGAACGAAACCAAGCACTTGTTTTTTTTTTTTTTGGTGTGGAGGGGCATGAGTACGTGCAGAGACTATTGTTTTCACCGACATGGGTTTGGCCAGTGAGCTAACAGCTTAGTGGTGAATATCATTTTGCAGGATCTGTCTTTTGGAAATTAAACTCTTTCCCTCTCTCTCTCTCTCACACACACACATAACGGTAGCACTAAAAGGAATTCCGTTATGGTGTCTCAATTTTAATCATGATCGTTATTTCTCTAAATTCCATGGCTAATCATGGTTTGTGCCCAACAATTGACGGAGCAACAACTTCTTACTGACCAGCACTGGGACATTATATCCTCTGCTTTGGTTGGTTGTAGTTCAATTTTTATATTATCTACTTACTTACCACTCTTATTTATTTTTTTTTTAAAAAAAATCTCTCTAATTAGCTCCTAATTACTAATTAATTAATTAATCAATTCCTCTTTCTTCTTCTTCTTTGGCTAAAATGACGTGGGTTGTGACGACAGCCCATTGATTTAGAATGTTTTGATGGTTCTTTTTTGTCTAGTGACGCAATATGTATATTTGCATGACTGTCACTATGGAATTATCAGAGAGGACTGATTAATGGAGGGTAATTAGTAGTAACTAGTCTTCTATTCTTTCTTTTTATTTCAACTTTGAGTTAATTATTTGTCTAGTCACTGTGTATATTAGCTGAGGTAAAAATTACATAATTTGAAATCATACCATTTTTTCCATATTAGCATTTTAACCTATTTCGTCTAAAATTTATTGTAGAAATTTGACCTATTTTGAAAAAAAAAAAAAAGAAATTAGCATTTTTATTGATAAAATTTATTTCGTAAGTTTTGTGAAATTTGATCTATTCTAATTTATAGAAATTGATTTTATTGTATTAAATTCTATAAAATGAATTATATATATTCTTTGAAAAATTCAATTATTTCAAATGGAATATAATTAAATCTCTTGAAATCAAGCCTGTAATAATCACATAGGCTCCTTTGCATCCATTTTTACTTTTCTTTTTTTAAGAAGAAGAGTTTATTGTAAGTCTAAGGAACAGTTTAATTAAATTACGTTACTGCTGCTTTGCTATAGGCTTACGTTGATCTCGTGCAAATTATATAAGCACCGTGCAATAATTATGAGTTTTTTTTTTTTGAGAAATATAAATTATAATATATATAATCTCGTTGCAAATTATAAAGCACCGTTGCAATTAATTTATGAGTTTTTTTTTTTTTGAGAAATATAAAAATATAATATATATCATATATATATATATTAATGTAAATTTTATATATTAATGTAATTTTTTCTGGTATAATTAATATAATTTAAGTTAATAAAATGGGTTCCATAACACTATAATTTTTCAGTTTATTTATGCAGTTTTCAGCTTTCGCAACACAATATTTTTCTATGCATTTAATTATATATGGGTAGGTCTACATGAACTTCTTTTATATAATATACATCTCATTGGATAAATCTTTTTAAATCATATGAGAAAAAACTAATATATAGTGAATTTAATATCATATCAATATTTATTATATACACGTAACATATATAGTTAAAACCAACATAAACTCAACATAACCGATCGATATAATCTGGTTGGTATGCTCACTTAAGTGAGGAGTGAGAGAGAGGTATTAAAATCGAAACTTCTCAATTATAAAAATTGAAAGATAATAAAAAAAGTACATTAAATGTATATTACACAATTGATTATGAATTATAATGTAAAAGCAATCATTAATTAATGCATCACTTGATCCGTCATTGATCGTATTACAAGGGCTGATTTTTTTATTTATTTATTTATACATATAGAGAGGAACTGAAAATTTTTGAAAAGAAAGATTTGAAGATTTTAATTATGAAGTAGTTTTTCGATTGATCCATATCTCTCTTTTGACATTTGAAAAGGGGAAGCAATTAATAAAGGCAAAAATGGATTTTTTTTTTTTTTTTTTTTTTTTTTTTTTTTTTTTTTTTTTTTTTTTTCCATAAAGCTCTGCTAATAATCCCACAGGGTTGCAGGCAAAGGGTGCAATTAAGTCCCATTGCCCAGCAAAAAGAGTTGATTAATTTTAGCAACCACCACCAATTTGATGAAGCTTCTATGATTAAAGAGGAAGCAGTCCTCGTTTCTTCCTTAGATCGCAATCAACCAAGCTTTATAAAAGTCCCATTTTTTTTTTTTTTTTTTTTTTTTTTTTTTTTGCCATAGCTCTAGCTAATAATACCCACAGGAGTTGCAGGCAAAGGGGTGCAATTAAGGTCCCATTTGGCCAGCAAAAAGAGTGATTTAATTTAGCAACCACCACCAGATTTGATGAAGCTTCTATGATTAAAGAGAGAAGCAGTCTCTTCTTCTCTTTAGAATCTCAATCAACAAGCTTTATAAAAGTTCCCATTATCATATGCCAATTATTACTGAATGATTTATAATATATTAAGAGAAAGCACAGTAAAATAACCTTTCACCTTTGTCTTAGCTCCCAAATGAATGGTTAGAAGTCATAAACATCTTTTATTAATGTTAATTAATTTCAGAATTTGATAAACAATTTTCTAATCTACCCTTTTTTTTCTCTTGCATTGTCTATGTCACACTTTGTATCTTTTGGAAAATATTGAACAATTAGACATGAAAAGTAGTTTTTTTCCTGTTTGAGAGAGAGATATTTGATTACAAGATCTCGAGAATTCTCCCTTCTCCAAATTAAAAAGCTAATTACCTTTTATTATCAACTTGCAAATAATTGTCACTTGATTTGATTACAATTTGCTTCTTTCTTTCCTTTCTTTTCCTTCTTTTTGCTGCTACAAAATGTTTCAAATATCCCAAATTATTTGATAAAAATCAAGTATTAAATCAATCATGATTACTATAAATTTCAAGTCATACATGTAAAGCAATTAATTCAAATTTTGTCGAATAATTAATTAATGACAGTCAATTAGCTATAATTTTTCTGATTGAATAGCACCAAATTTTATTTATAGACCGCGGCGAGAACGCTATTGAAAAATTATCAATATCCTATATTTATTATTTTTCTCATGAAGTAGCCACGTCATGTGGCAAATTAAGTATTTTAATTACCAACCAACTCAACTAATTAAACCAATTTCGTGAAGGGTATACATTACTACCCAATTATACCTTAATTGTTTTGTTTTACTTTAATCACGACTTAATCTAGGTATAGAAATGGGGTTGGCTAGTCTAATCTGGCTTATCTAGGTTTTGCATTTATAGAGTTGGCACCCGATCCTTACGGACCTAAAATCTTATGCTTTATTTGATTCATCTTCACAATATATATTATCGAACAATTATAATTAATTGATTAGCTAGATTATGTTTCAAAATAAGTAAAATTGAATCATTATAGCAACCAACTAATCGGGATCATTATATGAACCGTCGGTTTCAATTATGCTCTATTCATAATGGGGCAAGCCGCAAGCATTATGAACAGACAGAGAGGGACATACCTGAACAATTCCATGCCAACAATTGTGTGCACGGTTTGTCTTTCCTTCAGTGTCTTAATTAATTATCATAATTAAATAACGTAAAAGTCAAACATTTAAGATTTTTTTTTATATACCATTAGGTTAAATTTAATCTTGATGGCCGCCGGGTCAAGTGTTCCAATCAAGAAGTTTTTCTATTCACAAGGTTGAACGCTCTTTGAGGAAAATCAGTAAGAATTGTCTTTTCACCAACCACCATTGGGGAAAATTCTCTCGTGTTATTTGCATGTGTTGATAATTTTCTTTACGAAGATGCAGAGGTTATCGGTGGTTATTGCGGTTGATGCATGTATAGACTGACAGTGCAGCTGAAATCATTGAAATGTTAGATTACGGCTGTCCCACCATTTTGACAATCCACCTGATCGATGTAGAAAATCACCGTTATGTTCTTTCACTCCCAGTACTACTGCTAGGAATATTGTAACGCTAATGGTGTGTGTGTGTGTATATATATTAAGCAGCCAGTTACCGTTAGTTCTTCTGACACAGATTTTAGTTTGAGTGTTGTTGAATGGAACACACATATGGAGAGAAATTATATAAAGCAGACAGATATTGTTGTTCTTTGTGATGAAGCAATGAAAATCACCTATGTCAAATTCGATCATACATCTCATGATCGAACGTAAACCCGTTTCAATACTTAAAAAAAAAAAAAGTCAATGTTTCAAAACTTGCTGTATTTGCACATCTTTAGCAAGCTGCATATGCAGTGTTCAAAACTTAACAAAAGATAATATGAAATAAAAGTTAAAATTTTCTAAACCATAATTTTTCAAAATAAATATAATATTAAAAAACTAAAGTTTAATTTTTAAAAAAATCTTATATAGTCATATAATTAAAATAATATATTTTTATATTTAGCAGTAAAATATTATTTCAATCAAAATCAAACTATTAACGTGGAAGATTAAAAATTTCATAAAGGAGGATCCATCCATGATCAATAAGCTGAAGTGTAAACTTGCCTAATTTTTAGGAATTATAAGTAATTTTAATCCAAATAAATCTTAAAAATAGGATTTGAATCGAATTTAATAAAATGTCATGAGACTCATTTCCACAAAACCAAAAATAAAAGAAAAAAGCCCATGAAGGATTTATGGTCCAAAAAGAAACCCAGATGCGAGCCCGTATCCGTTCCAGATGCGACCTATATCTCGCGGCAAAGGGCGTTTATTGAGCCTGTGATATTGTATTATTAGCCAAGCCGCGAAAGGGCGGAGTCAAAACTCAAAAAGTACATCCGGACGCCAAATAAAACCAAAGCGCTTCCAAAATTTCCCTATTCATTTTCGATTCCGCTAGAGCTCGTACGCAAGAGCCATTTTCGTCCTGTGCAGACAGAGGGAAGAAACAAGTCCTCCACTCTCACATGCGAAGCTCTTTTAGCTCCTGACTTCTCCCTTGCCTTTCGCGAATCTCCTCTCTTTAGTCCATTGAGCAAGCGATTAAACTCTATTGGTATAAAGTGGGCAAAAGGCCTAGCCAAGAGCAAGCTCTCGAGAAAGGGAGTAACATCTTTGTCGGAATTCAAGTTTGAAAACCACCGGGTAATTATTCTTGTCCCGTGCTCTAATATTTCTACTCAGTGAGAATTATGGAAAATTGTCAAGCTTCTCCAATGATTCAACACAGAACAATGTGAATTAGCTTTCGCTTTAATGAATTTTGTGATCAATTAGGGTTTAGGTATTTCGTTTCCTTGTGAATCGTAGGGAATTTTTTTATATTTATTTTTGGCTTATCGGAAAACCGGCTTGAAGATATGAAGGGACGGTCTCACCGTCTCCAGAGTCATGACTTGCACGAGGACTGGGTCGATGGCTCCTGGACGGTGGATTGCGTGTGCGGTGTGACTTTCGATGATGGGGAAGAGATGGTCAATTGTGATGAGTGTGGTGTGTGGGTGCACACTCGCTGCTCTAGGTACGTGAAGGGGGATGAGTTATTTGCGTGTGATAAGTGCAAGAGCAAGAACAATAGAGAGGATAGTGAGGAAACTGAGGTTGCTCAGTTGCTGGTTGAATTGCCCACCAAAACTATCCGACTAGAGGGTAGTTATGTGCCAAATGGGCCACCACGCCGGCCTTTTAGGCTCTGGACTGATATACCAATGGAGGAGAGAGTGCATGTGCAGGGAATTCCTGGTGGTGATCCTTCATTATTTTCTGGGTTGTCATCTGTTTTTACTCCAGAGTTGTGGAAGTGCACCGGATATGTGCCTAAGAAATTTAATTTTCAGTATAGGGAGTTTCCATGCTGGGATGAAAAAGAGAGTGGTGAAAGTGGAAATGAGCAAGAGAATACTGTTGATAAAGGTGCAGGTGTTTTGTTTTCATTGGCAAAGGAGAGTGTCTTGGAAACCCCTGCAGCGGCTTTGGTTGGTACGAGGGGAAGAGGCGTGGAAGGCAGTTTTGATAGGAAACAATACTCGAAAGAAAGGAAGAATTGGGTGAATGAGGATGGTGAGGTTAGGCATTTGCAGATTGGGGTTAAAAAGCAGAGAAGCTTACTTCAGCCGCTTGTGATACATTCCAGTAAGAGAAAGAAAGAAGATCTGGGAATGCCCAAAGAGCGAAGTGGAAAGAAGAAGGCCAGAGCTGTATGTAAGGAAATGGATACAAAGAAGAGGGGTTTGCATGTTTCTAGAACAGGTGGTTTGATGCACTCTGCTATGCTTTTGTTCACACAGTTTTATTACTTTTAATTTATGCTAATAAGTTTCTTAATTTCCCTACCCTAAATTTTCTTTAAGTTATGCATGATTTATACTAATATCAGGAATGTTAAGGGTGGTCACATGTTGTAGTGCTAGACATGCACTTGTTGACTCCAATTCTTTTTTTTTTTTTTTTCAAATTCATATTCCTAGCATTTACATCCACCAGTGATGCAAAACCATTGGAATTTTATGAAGACAGAGGTCCGAAGTCTATCAAGAATGATAGCCAGAGTAATAAGAACCAGAATCCAAGAGACTCCATAATTCAGGAGCATGAATCAGAACGTTATGTTTCTGTGGACAATGCTAATGAGAAGTCCAAAAATAGTGTGGTGGTGGTTGAGCGCTCTTCAGAAATTTTGTCTGCTGGCATTGATAGACATAATTTTTCAACTGGAGCTGATCAAAATGAAGGGAAAGCTAGCCATAAAGGCCCAGAAGCAGTTGATGGTTCTTCCAAATTTGATAATCTAGCTGCCTCAGTACCCAAACAAAACGATATTGGGGGAACCCCTGCAGGACAAGAGGTATTTATTTCTATGCTTGCATTTTTCAGTTGTAGCTTGTGGAAAGTTTATATGTTTTGGTTGTCGCTACAGATAATGTCTTGTTCTGTCCCAATTGAATTGCACTTGAGATGCCCTTTAAGCTGTGAGATGTTACTGATACATGGCCTCCTAGGGCCACGTATTTACAGAAATAATCGAATGCCTTCATGCACATGGAGTGTGGAAATGGCGTGATGCACTGTTAGAAACAAAACCCTGTTTAAGACATCTATTTTGAGGCTAAAATTATCATACAAACAAACAATTTGAAGGAGAAAAAGAATATCTATTCAAGTTTTTTGGCAATTGTCTGTCTCAATTGTGTTCTAAAGGGAAAGCTCGATTACATTCTCATGAGAGCTTTTACTGGTCTCCTTTAAGTTTCTGATTCCGAAAACGAGTAGATATTCCTTGTTGTAGACACATGCTGGCAGCATTTTATTAATTAGGGACAACTCAGAAACATAGATAACAAAGGTTGAATTTAGTTAAAAACAAAATTTAAAAGGGACTTCCTATTTGGATATCTGGATATGGAAGTTTTGCATTGCTGATGTACAACACCAGTTTCAACAGTATTTTAAGATCATCACTTTGGAAACTGATATTGTATTACAAAGTCACAAAAATGAATTTTGGTTTTGTTTAATAGCTTTCCTTATATTCAAATTGCCATTCACCAAAGAATAAGTTAAATAAATGAGGACCCAGCTGATCACTTGTGAAGAGGGTTGCAATTAGATAGATATCCTTTTGTAGAAATGGCCACATGAGATTAGAGATGTATTGTAGACTTTTACATGCGCACATTTTTATATACTTGTATATAGAAGTCCTATGACCATTGTTACAGGATAGTGCTTTAGGAAAATTTTGACTGCAAAACTAACCCAAATAGCTAAATGAGACTGCAAAACTAAAAATGTTTTGTAACGAGTGAATGCATTTTGTTAATGTTTCTAGTGAAGTGGAAACCTTTAATGTTGAAAGAGAAATGCTGCTGGTGAATTGTAGGAGAACCTTCTTTTGCCTGGTGGCCTATAGTGCTGCTTGTTTCATTAACCTTTGATGCTTATTATTTGAACTGAGGTTTGATCCTTAAAGTTAATATAGTGCAGAGATGTGTTGGTGGTGTGAAACTATAGCCAGTTTCTTTTTGGGTTCAATACATATCCATTTCTTGAATGGATATGTTCTTCACCTATTATGTTGGAATGACTTGACCTCGCTTACTGTAGGGAAATAACATGCCAAATGATAATCTTGATAACAATATAGAAAATTCTGCTGGAAGTGAAGTCAAGCCTCCAACTGGTAAGCGGGCATGCTCTGTTCCAGAAGGCAAGGATAATCAGAGTAATGGTGATCATGACATGTTTCTCAGTTCCTTTAAGCCCAATGTTAAAGTACATGTAGATGATGACGATCCTAGGAGGGTCTTGAATGGCCAATCTTCTGTTGGGGATGTGAAAGATATTCGGCTTTCTTGTGATAACATTACTGAAAATTCTGAAAGGAATAGTACATTTTTTAATGGCTCATCATCAGGCGACCATACAGCTCAAGAACTTGACAGAGCATCAGAAGCAGTCAGTGATTGTCATGCAGATAAACAGAATGAACTAGTTACTGATCCTTTTCCAATTAAACAAGAATTGGAAGGGTCTGAGGGTTCATTTCCATTGCAAAAATGCCCTTCAGAACCAAAACTTGATTCAGCATATGCTACAGAACCATCAAAGTCAAGTGGAACCACATTTAATGCTTCACTGTTGCCCAGCCAGAATAAACTTGTTCTATGTGTTGGAAAATCATCTTCCACTTCATCCACTACCATCATCTCCAAACCTTCTGCTTGTGACAATTTTAGATCTGCAGATACTCTGGATTCTAATGCTAATACTAAGAAACAAGCTACATCTGAGTGTAATTCTAACATTAAGAAAGATCAACCCACAAGTGATATTGTCAAGGTCAAGGATGAAGATGGTCAGGAAATGTCGAGAAGAACAGTAAAAGAGTGTCCAAAATCCAGTTTAAATTCTACTTCAAAAGTGTCAAACTCAAACAAGATTTCACATACATCTGTTATTAAGAGAACCATTTTTTATTCAAAAGATTCTGCACATTACTCATGTTGTAAAACTTCTTCGGCACTGAATTTGTGTGAGACTACTGGATTGCTGCAAAATGAATGTGCTTCACAGGTACAGAATAAGGCATCACCTTCAGGTTTGCCTCTAAGAGGTGAAAAGTTTAATCAGTCTAATAGCCAGTCATCATCCAAAGCAAATCAAACGTCATCTATGAATCCTCCACCATCTACCAATTCTTCTGCGACTTTGAGTGATGAAGAGGTGCAAACAGAATTTCTATTTCTTCTTATTAGGATTAATTTTGTTTCCAGCTGGTTTACTTGTGAGACTTTTGTTTCTTTATTTGTTTTTAATTTTTCTTGTTGTTTGGCAGCTTGCTTTGCTTTTGCATCAAGAACTCAATAGTTCTCCTAGAGTTCCTCGTGTTCCACGTGTTCGTCATGCAGGCAGCTTGCCGCAGTTGGCTTCTCCAACTGCAACAAGCATGTTAATAAAACGTACATCTAGTTCTGGAGGAAGGGATCACAGTTTGGTAAGATACACATTGTTATAAATTTATATAATTCCACAAATAAAGTTATATAAGGCATTGTCCCATTGAGTATTGTCTTTCTGAAAGTAGGTTATCATCACATTCATTCTTTAAAAAGTGTAGTTATTGATAAAAATTGCAGGTCTCTAGAAGGAAAAATAAGGATGCATCTAAAGATGGGTTTTCCCGTTCTCATGAGCCTGATGATGAGGCAAAAAAGACTGATAGAATGCCATCTTCACCTGATCAGAGAAGACAAGATACAGGATACACAGTTGATGATTCGGCTAAAAGAGAGGATAAAGGATCTCCAATAGCAATGCATCCTGTCAAGAAAAATGTCACTCCTGCCTCCACCTCAACTGCAAATAGTGGCCCATCTTCCTCTACTGAGGTTAATGACCATCATTTATCTTCCATACGGAATTCTCCAAGAAACATGTCTGATGAGGAGACAGGCACTGTTCGGGGTCCTGTTCATCGCACTTTACCAGGTAGCCAACTTACGAGAAATAGAATCACATGTACCCTCTTTTTCTCCTACATATACTCTTATTCAATGCTTAGTCTAATGTTTTTTATATATGTTCATATTTGTTCATCTATAGGCTTAATCAATGAGATTATGAGCAAAGGCAAGCGCATGACTTATGAAGAACTCTGTAATGCTGTCTTGCCGGTACACTTTTATTGAGTTATGTGCCAACTATTTGGTGAATGATTGCTTCCTTGTTATTTACAATTATAAAAAAAAAACCTGCTTCAGTATTATTGTTTTACTTGCAGCACTGGCATAACTTGAGGAAACATAATGGAGAACGATATGCGTATTCAAGTCATTCTCAGGCTGTTCTTGACTGCCTTAGGAACCGACATGAATGGGCTCGGTTGGTGGATCGAGGTCCCAAGGTATGGGTATAAACTGTTGAACAATTTGTTTTACACTGCACATTATATATTTTCACTCTCCTTTCAATCCATTAATTGAAGAATGCTATCTAATATCTATCCTTAAAGTAAGGAAGTATTTGACCAAATTAGATGATATTCACTAAAACTTTTTTTTTTTTTTTTCATGTGTTGTAATGGGAATATTAGTACTGCATTTGTGTATGTGTCGGGTGGTTCTTGCTATTGCAATTGATATTAAACTTATCTATTGTACATGGGTCTGCAGCCTAAGTTGTGTTTTCATGGAGGCTTCTGATTTGACATCAGTTACCGTTACTTCTGCGCATTTTAGATATGCTAGACATGATGATGATGATTTTGGCCATTTTACAAACATGCAGATGAAATTTGTCTCTGTTTACTGTACTTCACTAATCACTTAGACATAGAATAGAATATTATTATTCTTGTCTTTCCCCAATATCTTGTGATCTTGGAGATGGTGCACTTTGCAAGACATCATTTAGATTTGAATTTTGATCATTCTGTTGCAGACAAATTCAAGCAGAAAAAGGCGTAAGCTTGATACTGAGGAATCAGAAGATACTGACTATGGGAAGGGAAGAACTGCAAAGGAAGGTGAAGGTAAAAGTCTTGAGTCACAGAGAGAAGAGTTTCCCAAGGGTAAGCGGAAAGCAAGGAAACGGAGGCGTCTGGCTTTGCAAGGAAGAAGAATAAAGGAGATTAGGAAGAGGCGGAAGGCAGATTTGCTCACTGATGATGATAGCGGGCCATTTTCTAATTCAAGCGAAGATAGTTTGTTCAGTGAAGATGAGATTCAAGATGGTGGAGCTGGTCAAGTTGGAAGTGAGGCCTCAGCTACCTCAGATGAGGCAGGGACAATGTAATTCTTGATGTGTGCTGTGCAATGGGTTTTGGACTGTGTTCTCGAGTTCATAAGTCTCTGGTGATGTGTGCTGTGCAATGGGTTCCCTTTGGGGCGGCTACCGCTACTGGTAGTTTCATGAATTTGGGGAATTTTACCAAGTTGTTAGGGTGTGGTAAGCACTGATGTCAATGGAAGTCTTGCTAGTGTACATATTTAATTTTTGTAACTTCATATAGGCCTTTATTTTTTGTCCAGTCTTAGAGTGAAAGGAGAGAGAGAGGGGGGCGGGGGGGCAATGGGTTCCCTTTGGGGCGGCTACCGTACTGGTATTTCATGAAGTTTGGGGAATTTACCAAGTTGTTAGGGTGTGGTAAGCACTGAGGTCAATGAAGTCTTTGCTATTACATAATTTAATTTTGTAACTTCATATAGGCCTTTATTTTTTGTCCAGTCTTAGAGTGAGAAGAAAGAGAGAGAGGGGCGGGGGAGGGGGGGGGTGGTTGTGTGATCCAAAGTAATGCAAAATTTTGTAAAAGGCCAGCACAAGGGTCTATGGTGGAAGTATCTTGTTTGTGTGGAAGAATCCACATGGGTTTCTTCATGTGCTATTCCAATTAATGCGACTTTTGCTTAATTTGGGGTGTCCGAATATCATGTAACTTGAAAGTTTGTTCCGTATTTAAGAGAGGTATGTGCTTTGGATTTTGTTTGATGCAAAAACCTATATTAACCAACTGCTCTGCAGTTGAAGAAAGCAAGGCGCGGACTAATATATTGAATTGGATTGAGGGGGTGGGTTGTGTGATCCAAGTAATGCAAAATTTTGTAAAAGCAGCAGCAAGGGGTTTATGGTGGAAGTATCTTGTTTGTGGTGGAAGAATCCACTGGGTTTCTTCATGTGCTATCCAATTAATGCGAGCTTTTGCTTAATTTGTGGGTTCCGAATATCTGTAACTTGAAAGTTTATTGTTTCCGTATTTAAGAGAGGTATGTGTGCTTTGGATTTTGTTTGATGCAAAACCTATATTAACCTGCTCTGCAGTTGAAGAAAGGCAAGGCTGCGACTAATATATTGAATTGGATTGAGGCAACACCACCACGTGGAGCGCGCTTCCCTTGGTTTTAGATTCAGAAAATATAATATAATAATAATAATAATAATAATAATAATGTTGATCGTTAACTTTTTGTTGGATTGTTTGTCAATTGGATTCGTCCTTTTAGTTCTAGGAATCGATTTTAATTTGTTAAGTCAAAATGAAACCATAGCAAAAGACTTGTTTGAATTAAATTATTTACTGGTAACATTTATCTAGAATTTTCGATGACCAAATTACAAAATGTAATTGGAAGTGTATAATTAATATATATACATATATATATATATATATATGTATTTACGTAAAACAAAAATCAAGATTACCGAGTAAATGTCCTTGACTTGAAAGTTGGACCAACCAACACGTGAACGATTAAGTATAAGTTTAGCATTTATGACATCACTCCCCCACAATGTAAAACCAAAAATAAAAATAAAAGTTATGCATAAATATTACATGGGCTGTAAAGAAATCAGAGGAGAGGAAAGAAAGAGGGAAAGGAGAAAACACAAGGATAAAGAAGATAATAGCACTAATGGCATAGTGGTTATGGTTTGGGGTTTATTTTCTGCAGCTGTAGGCAATAAAATTAAAACGGTCCGTGGCGACTCCAAGTTAAAAAGAGACAACGAGGTCGTTGAAGAGACGGTAAAGAGCTCTCTCTCTCTCTCTCTCTCTCGTTGTCTCTCGCCAATCAGACCCTTAAATCTAGGGTTCTCTCGAATGTACCCTGCCTCTCTCCTCTTTTTAACCCGCTCTCCTCTCTCCTTTGAAGCTTCAAATACATTTCAAATATTTATCTGTCGAGGTCTTTCTTCCTCGATCTCAAATTCTTAGTCGTTTCAGGTCTTTCGATTCTATTTTGCTTTTTCGCAATTTAATGATTGATTGATTGGCTTGGAATGCTTATAGAGTTCTAGCTGTGCCATGACGATCGCTGATTCCGGTTGTTTGATGGAAAATGGAGGGAGTTGCCTGCCGTGCACGCCCGAGGAGGAGAAACAGATTGTCAAGGAGTTGATCGATGAAGCCGAGCTTGATTTGAAGGAAGGCAACTTGTACTACGTTGTTTCCGCCAGGTACTTCTGTCTGATCTCTGTTTATCCGTGGTTTGCGATATATGTATATATATTTATCGTGGTTTGATTCTTATTCTCGTAGATGTGGAGATGCATGAGAGTAATATATGAATTTGATTTCTTCGATTACTTTCTCATTTTGAATCTGCATGAAAAATCTCTTGCAGTTTTCCCTCCTTACACTAATAAGCTATATAAAATACTTGTATTAAATTCTGTGCTAAGCAAATCATAACTCCAGTTATTTTGAATTCAATGGCAATTAGGCAACCGTTATCTTGTTGATTGCACATCGCTTTCTAACTTCGTATGCCGGTGTTTTCACTGACGAGGTTTTTGTTGATTTTTTTTTTTTTTTTTTAACATAATTTCATCCATCATAGTTTTGCTGGAGCAACTGGGCTATTACTGCTTTTTGCTTTGCTAACTTGTATAATTTGGGGATGTTGTCCACGTATAATGTATCAAATTTGATCATCCTTGTAAGAATGTCATGATTTTTTGCCGAAATGGATTGGCAATGCTTTTCTAGGAACTTATGCTAAGAACAAGTTGATTATTCTTCAAATTTGTTTCATTTTAAAATTTTTTTTACTAGTGATAGCTGATAAGTTCAGCTACAATTGAGGAGCAAGGCAGAATAAAACGTGATGCATGCATTCTATTATAACCCAATGGGAACTTGCTGCTGTAATTTGTACTCTTTAAATCCTTTTCTAATGAACTGCTTACAAGTTTCTGTTAATTCAGGTGGTACGCAAGTTGGGAGAAGTATGTTGGGCAGGGTAGTGATGATCTCTTGGTTGATGGGCAGTCTCCTGATTCTCAAGATTTTCATGTTGCTCCTTCAGGAATGGCTGATAGACCTGGTCCTATAAACAACTCCGAAATAGTTGAAAATGGAAGTGGTGGTGAGAGTGATGATCTAGAGCTTGCTAGAACATTGCTGGAAGGTAGGGACTATGTTTTGGTTCCCCAAAAAGTTTGGGAAAAGCTTGTACAATGGTAAGTCCTCTTCTCATTTTATTCCCTTATTTCAACAATTGTCCTCCTTACCAAAATAATTTCTTCATTTAGAGACAATATAACTTAAGCATGGGATCTACATACATTCGGCTCATTCATGAACAACCTGAAAGTGGTAATCAATGAACTATATGATTTTTGGTTTATGCTTTATTTGGGTTTCTTGTTCTCAGAGTCCCAATAGATACAAACTAAAGTTGGGCAACTGAAAAATATAGAAATTTGAAGTGAAATTTCTGCAACTTTAAGTTTTGCATGTATGAAGTCTTCTAATTGCTACATTTTGCTGCACTAAATTGATGTTAATTAGCCACACCATTTTATATTTGAACTGAATCATTTCGGCCTCTTTCACTTTAAGAATTCATGAATTTGGGCCTAATACGAACATGTGGTATGTTCTAAGCAATTCTTTCACTAATTGCCCTGTTATGGTTCTGTTTATCATTTTCTGCCTTTTTAGGTACAAGGGAGGACCAGCATTGCCAAGAAAGATGATTTCACAGGGTGCTTTTAACAAAAAACAGTTCAACGTGGAGGTTTTTCCACTCAGTCTTAAAGTAATTGATTCCAGGGATGACTGTGAATTCACTATCAGGTTAAGCAAAAAGGTACCTGCAATGCAATTAGTGTGTGTTAATGCTTTGATGGCTGCAATTTTGGCATAGGACAGATTAGACTATGCAACATAGACTCGTAAGTAGATTGTACGGGTTGGGGGTCTTGGACAATTGGTAATTCAATATTTCTGCTAGATATATGAATTTTTTTTAAAACTTGTGTAGGCTGAGGAATTCCCTTCATCTGCATGACTAGACCTGCGTAAAGCATGGGGCTTTTCACTATTTGAAGAATTTTATTTGTGGGCTGCTTTTGTATTCAACAGAATATTTTCTTTTCAAGTTGTTATTATAGGTGACGGTTTTAGTTTGCTGTTTCTGTTTCAGGCTTCTCTCCATGAGCTTTATGAGAGGGTTTGTACACTTAGAGGAATAGAGCGAGATAAGGTTTGTTTATGTTATTTATTTTGAAAAATTACATCTATGTACTGAACGTCTGTCCATAATTATGTCAAGGGAAAATTTTAGTAAAATTGAAATCCAGCCCCAACTACTGCTTCATTTCTAACAAAAAAAGTAAGAGATATTTTGTCATTTGGGAATTTTGAAAAACTTTTGGGGTTTGTAATTAAGGGCCAACCTCGGTCTTGGTGACTAAAATGTAATTTTACCCTATTGTTATTTTGCACATGGATATTTTTTATTTTTTATAGTTTTTTGTGCTTTAATTTGTAATTATTTTGTTGTTTTTTTTCTTTTGGTTCTAATGCATGTTACAGACCATCATATGGGACTACTTTAATAAGCACAAGAACTCACGGTTGGTTGATTCAAATCGTACCCTGGAAGAATCAAATTTGCAAATGGACCAAGAGGTTTTTTTATGTACATTTTGGAAAGCTAATTTCAGTTTTTACTTTTAATGGCTAGATGAATTATTTTATGTGCCTTTGTTTTTATATGAAAAAAATAGAGCATTTTTTTAAAATTCCATTTCACCAATGTTAACTTAAGTAATAGAGCCATCTGATGATCCAAAATTAGGGCCTTTTGTGTGTATTTATATTTGTATGTATGAATGAATGGTTGAATGAACTAAAGTATGAAATGTTGACTCTCGTGGTAAATGGTTCAGTGAGAATGTGTAGAATGTTGATTATTTCCCTTTCATCTAAGCATTTTCTTTAACTATTGAATTTATGCTCCTAAAAATCATATGGGACTTTTAGTTTGAACTTCAGTTTGCCTATAAGTAGCACCTCAAGAACAAAATAGTGCAGGATTATTACAAAAATAATATGAACTAGTAGAGGAAAGTATTTTGAAACTGTGGGGAGGCAGTTGCAAAATAATACTTCTCATATTGATTTAGAATGTCTGTGTGAAATGAGTATACTCTTGGAACCCCTGAGCTCAAAGCAGGTGTTATGCAAATCATGAAGATCCATTTATAGTCAGATATTTTTGCTGCAGCTCATACTGATATTTTGTTTGTTTTCATGATTTTAAATGTTTATAGTTGTATAATCTATAAAATGTTTGTTAATTTAAAAATAAGTTTCCCATCCTACACATACATGTACTTCTGCAGTTGGCATGTAACGTTGTGTCTTTTCCTATTTACAACCCACTGCATTTCTCCCTTTCCTTTGATTTGAAGATCCTAGGTTGTATATCTGGTAATTGGATTTTATCAATCAGTGTAGTTGATGCATCTTTTTCTGCCAGATTCTTCTGGAGCTGCAAGTTGGTGTCCCTTATCCTTCACAATCTGGAAAAGATTCGACGGGAAATGAGTTGGCTTTGGTAACCATGGAACCTTCAAGGACCTCACTGTCGATTGCAGGGGGGCCTTCATTGTCAAATGGTCATTCAAGTACTTATAGCTTGAATTTAAGGCCAGGAAGTGCTTTAAACGCAGGATTCACAGATATTGATCTTGGATTTGGTGCTCAGACTGCTGTTAGGAGGGGTGAGAGGGGAGGGTTGGCAGGATTACAGAATATGGGAAATACTTGCTTTATGAACAGTGCTCTTCAGTGCTTGGTTCACACTCCCCCACTTGCTGAGTATTTCTTGCAAGATTACTCTGAGGAGATCAACACTGAAAATCCTTTAGGAATGCATGTATGTGGCTACTCTTATTTATCTTTAGTCACTGGGTTTTCTGTATGAAGTTCTGAATGATCTTAAAACATTATTTATAATTACTCGACATTGAATTGCTAACTTGTGTTGTAGCTGTGTAGGGTGAACTTGCACTTGCATTTGGTGATTTGTTGAGGAAACTGTGGTCCTCAGGGAGATCTACAATTGCACCACGTGCATTTAAGGGGAAACTTGCTCTTTTTGCTCCACAATTCAGTGGTTATAATCAGCACGATTCTCAAGTTAGTACTTTGGGATTTCCATTTAATTCCTTTTCTGCAATTTATAGTTCTATACACATGTACAGGGCTGTAAACAATTCACGCTTCTTGAGTTCTGTTGTAGGTTGGCTAGTTACAATTCTCTATTAAGCTCATTCTTTATTTGCACAAACCAAAGTATCACCAACTTAAAGCTTTTGTTTGTTATGAACAATATTAAACATCTTTGACCTCTGTTGGATGTTCTTCAGCAGCTTGAGGCTAATCTTCAGCATGATATTCATTCAATTTAAAGATAATATAGAATAATCACAAATTAAGATGGAAATGAATTTTAAATGTTCAAAATGACTATACTATACATTGCCCTGATAAAAATGCAACCCTTAGATAAAGACATGATGGGTCCCATATTGTTCCTGATTCTTGTTTGTTTTTAATTATCGACTCCTTTTTGTTCAATTCTAAGGGGCTGTATATTTTCTGATAGGAACTTCTTGCCTTTTTACTGGATGGGCTTCATGAAGATCTGAATCGTGTCAAGCAGAAACCTTACATTGAAATGAAAGATTGGGATGGTCGTCCAGATGAGGAGGTTGCAGACGAGTGTTGGAGAAATCACAAGGCTCGAAATGATTCTGTAATTGTGGATGTTTGCCAGGTGAGGAAGTAATACATTTTATCTGCGTGTTCATTTTCATGTTATGTTGTTTAATATAGTTTTATCTTTTATCTTTTAGCTCAGATTTATGAAATGCTGTTTGTAATATAGTTGAATAACTGCATCCTTCTTCAAATCTTACTGTGTTCTGGATTATGTATATCTTGAGCTCAGTATCCCTGATTGATATACAGATATCCAGAACAATTAGGGGATATCCAAGAAAGGATGGGACTGCATTTCATTTATGTTTCACTGTTATAGTGAATTCGTTCTGAACCATTTAGTTGGCTTTCTTTTTATGAGCAAATAACATATATTGTCAGTCACATGATGCACTGAGTTCAAACTGTTTCCACATTTTCCATTTACTGGGAATTGGTGGTTTTGTTTACCATACGATCTGTTCAAAGAGCTTCATTGTTTTCTTCTGACATGGGAACTTATCTTCAATTTATTTGTGCTACTAACTAACAGTTTAAACATGTTGGACAATGATGTTCAGGGTCAATATAAGTCGACACTGGTCTGCCCAGTTTGCAGCAAAATTTCAATTACTTTTGACCCCTTTATGTATTTGTCACTGCCGCTACCTTCCACTGTCACTCGTTCAATGACAGTAACAGTGTTTTATGGAGATGGAAGTGGTCTTCCAATGCCATATACTGTCTCTGTACTAAAAAATGGTCATTGTAGAGATCTTATTCAGGCATTGGTTGCTGCGTGTTGCTTGAGAAGTGATGAAAGTCTTCTGCTTGCAGAAGTATGTAGTTTTCACATATTTCTTTTTTCATTTTTCTCGATTTATTTGTAGTAGCTAAGGTTTGGATCTGTTCCTTGCAGGTCTATGATCACAGGATTTATCGTCTATTTGAAAATCCTTTTGAATCATTGACTTCTATAAAAGATGAAGAATATATTGTTGCATACCGGCTTTCTCAGAAGGGAATAGGAAAAAGGAAACTGGAAATTGTTCACCAGGAAAGGTGAGCTCACTCACTTAGATTCTAGCTGCTCTATCTGCTGAGGGGATGCAAAATTCTGTGTTTTTGTTATAAGTGGCACTTGTATAGAATGGTTCATGCACTAACAGTGTTTATCTCGAACTTATTGTAAAATTCTGCATCGGTGAAAGATAAATTTATTATAGTAACATGTGGCATGACTTCATAACATGTAATGTCAAGAGCGAGCTAGTTAAACTGCCTTGAATTTTAATGCTTTTTTGTTTTGTAGGTCTGCACCAGACTTTGTGAAAGGCAGTGGATTCAAAGATTTTGGAGCACCTCTGGTTACTTACTTGGACGATGACCCGCCAAGTGGAGCTGATATTGAGTTGGCGGCTTCTAGACTTCTCTCACCCTTGATTAGAACATGCTCATCTAATGCAGTTCATTGTGGAAAGGAAAATGGTTTTCTTTCAGAATCTAATGGTGAAACATCAAATTGCTGCAACGGTCATGCTGAATTAGGAGACCGGTCAATGGACACTATGGAACTAGAGGACACATCTGGCCAAGAGTTATCATTCCAGCTCTTTCTAACAGATGATCGGTATTCAAGTCGCAAACCGATATTCAAGGATTCTGTCATCAAAACTGGAGCAAATCATATAAAGGTTTTCCTAGAGTGGACTGAAAATGAACACAAGTTATATGATCCTAGCTATATGAAGGATCTCCCAGTTGTTTATCATAAAACTGGGTTTACTGCGAAGAAGACCCGGCAGGAAGGTGTCTCTTTATTTTCATGTTTGGAGGCATTCTTGACCGAAGAACCGCTGGGGCCTGATGACATGTGGTAATTTTTTTTTCCCCATTTTGAATTTCTTGCAAGTGCTCTTCATATTTTGCGTATTTATGCTCATGTGAATTACTTGATTCAGGTACTGCCCTGGTTGCAAACAACATAGACAAGCCACCAAGAAACTAGATTTGTGGACATTGCCTGAGATTCTTGTTTTTCACTTGAAACGGTTCTCATACAGCAGATACCTGAAGAACAAACTTGATACTTTTGTGGATTTCCCTATTCATAATCTTGATTTGAGCAAATTTGTGAAGCGGAAAGATGGGAAATCATATGTATATGAACTCTATGCCATCAGCAACCATTACGGTGGTCTAGGTGGTGGGCACTATACAGCTTTTGCGAAGGTGAGCAATAACTGCAGTTTGAGTGTTAAATCATATGTTGTATTTGGATGGAAGGTGCAGATGAGTTCTCAATACATTTTCATTTTGTGCATGAGGCTATTGATATTGTCTACTGTTGGTATTAAATGTTGTGGATTTAGACCTGTGAAATTCTTGAGAAACCAAATGTATACATATATTGTTTATTATGATGTCACTTTTATGCTTTTAAGTTCTTTGTCGGACACATTGAACTGTATGCACTGATTTTCTAAGTCATTTACTTCACCAATTTTTGCAGTTGATCGATGATAAAAGATGGTACAATTTTGACGACAGCCGAGTTTCTCCAGTTAACGAGGCTGATATCAAGACTTCAGCTGCTTATGTGTTGTTCTACCAAAGAGTTGAAACAGCAACAAAGGTGGGATTGGGAGAGACATCACAGGGTAATACTGTTTCTTGAGAGGCTAATAATGTCTGTGTCCTACTGTTTGGTCTCGTGGGAGTTTAGGCCTTCGTTCACCAAAGTCCAAGCTGACAGTGGTAGCCAGCTTTGCAAAGATCTCATCCTGTACAAGCCTCACAAAGGTATAGATGAATTTGTACATGCATAAAGGAGCAGGTGGACGAGGAACAGCTAGCTAAAGTTATATTTTATTAATTCTTTCTTGAGAATCTAGGCTTAAGTAATGTCAGGCTGCATTATAAATCCCTAGTTTTAACTTTTTGCAAAATGATTCGGTTTAAAAAGCTACCATGCTTTGATTTCTCTCAACCTCTTAGGATCATTTCAGCACGAGAGTTGTGCAAACTGAACGAAGGATGGCCGCATGTAATAACCCTTGCTGGTGTTGGCGTACTTACCATTATTATTTTCTTTTACTTGTTAAGATTGATTATGTGAAATGTATTTTTCATATCCAGCCTATAAATTTTGCGACTAGTGCAAGTGAAAAAACATCTCAAGAAAGTTTCACTATTTCTTTTTTTTTCACCTTTTTTTATCCTGGGGTTGCGAAACTCGGTTGCGTAGTTAAAATATTATGAATCAATCAGGATGCACACAATACTAAGGGATAGGATATAATGGTAGATATTATCATATCTCGTTCCACTATGAATGAAATGGGAGTTACAACTAAGACGATGAATTTTAATAATCTAAAGTGCGAACAATCACGCCACACAGGCTAACCCTCAAGCGATGCTAATATCCCGAAGAAAATCTATTAAGGTAATGAAATTATATACCCTACAAAAAGACAAATGAAGAAAAAGTTACAATTAATTGCCAACTAGAAAGTGTAAAAGCAAAATTGATTCCTCTGGATTTTCTTTTAATCAGCCGAACCAAAATCAATTTTTAATCAACTAACCAAACCAAGAGGTTGGCCCACTCACAAAGGCAGCAACTTTGAACGAAAGTGCGCAGCAGCAAGCAAGCTAAGGGGCCCAACTACGGAGATTATTTAAAGCTCATTGGGAACTTATGCCTACTTTCTTTCTGACAGTCAACTTCGCAAAAGATGAATGCTTTGCACTTTGTAGCGTACAACTAAGGGAAGAGAACTTCACCTTTCCTCATCTCCTAAGCTGCCTCTTATTCCCTCCCACCATACATTTTCAGCCTGGCTTTCAACGGTTGATTCCTTTTCGATGAAGGCGTTGCAAAGGCAAAGTTCAAAACGGAACTTTGAAGGCCCAGCAGATAATGAACGCCAATGTAAAAAATAGACGCCCAATGACAATATTACATGTTTCCTGAAAATAGAGAACGACGTTAGTTTCTTGTGTAGTCCAATGGATACGGCATTGTCTTCACCGGATCGTCATTATCAGGGGATAGATGCGTAAGTGATCTATGCATTACATTGCTACTTGTAACATTTAATGTGATTGATTAGTGACTAAAAATTGGACCATGCCCGTTAACCACTCAAAAAAGAGGACGTTATCTTCAACCACTACACTTTCACATGCTCAAATGCCAATATTCTGATGGTTAGGTATCGGAATTCAAAGAAAAGGACAAGTGAAAACCAATTAACAACTTACTGTTGCGCTAGAAATGGACAAGTAACCAGTAGAAGAACTCTCCGGTGCCGCCGGTGGCGTTCCGGGCGTTCCGGCACTGACACTGCTGCCTCCGCTTGAGCTCGTGTTATTAGTCAGAGCGTCGATTGAGGAGATTCCAAGTGAATACGCTGGCGTTCCATCCGGCTTAAATAGACCGTAGTTCCTCTCGGATGTTGGTCCGGGCTTCATGTTCTCATTAAATAAAGCGAATACATAGATGTTCAAGTCTGTGTTTGGCCTCGCTGGAGTCCCCTTCTTTTGAGAAATCAGCTTAATCAGGTTGCCATTGTATTTCTTGGCATTCTCCGGCGTAGCTCCAGCCTCGTCCTCGTCTCCTTTGGATGGCCAGCCAGTTTCCGATATGTGAATTGGTAGCTTCCTGTAGCCCAGGGATGATAATGCAGCGTAAGCGGCGTCGATCTGAGCAAACAGCATATTGTCGTAGTGGAGGTTGGAAACAGGATCTACAATACCCTGATTGGGCTGGAAGAGAACGAAATCTAAATTGACTTGCTTTGGATTGCCCTTGTAGGCGAAGTATGGATAAGCGTTAATCAAGAAAGGTGAGCCAGTTTTGGCATGAAAATTTAAGATTGGAGTAACGCATCCAACCAGATCTCGCCGGAAAGCTCCTGCGGACGGAGGATAAGAGGTTTCGAGAATGGCTAGAGAGTGAGCGGTGGTGACGGTGACTTGCTTGTCTAATCCTAGATTGACAAGCGCAGTGTGTACACTTTGCATTGCGGGAAGAAGGTGGTCGGTGAGAGAGGTGTCGTTGAAGGTTAAGATCTCGTTGCCGACAGTAATGCAAGTGATTTTGGTGGCAGGTAAGTAGCACTGAACGTTTGATTTCACCCAAGCTTGAGCTTTATCTGGATCTCTCATCTTCGATAGATACTCGTTTCCAAGTCCTACTATGAATTCCACTCCGGTGTTGGCAAATGCACGAAGCACCCGTGGATCTGCGTCGTACAGCTTCACCTTTGTGGCGCCCACTGATTTCACCAGCGCTACTACATTATCCGGCGAGGGAAGATTGTTCGCTATCTGGCCGTAATTGATCCCGATTGAATCTACCATTACAGGAAGCAGAACAACTGCATGGGAAAACTGTTTTAGCTAATCAAATCAACACAACACAACTCCTAAACCAACGAGTAATTAGGGATAAACTACCTGAAATGTGAAGAATTAGAGAAGCACAGTAATAAAATCTATTGAGCTCCATTGTTGGTTGGAGCTTGATCTTGCTCAGTAGAGATCTGCACACTTGGAGGCAGTAGCTATGAATTTAGGCTAAGCAAGCAGCGGGAACAGTAGGTGAGTGTGACACGCAAACTTGAAAGCAATTGGCTGGCTGAGGGAGAGAGAGAGAGAGAAAAGTGGGCGAAATGGGCAATGGGTTGAGGATATATAGAGAGGGAATTAAAGGCGGCGTTTAAAAGCTTTTGGTACAAATACTAATTTCGGAATTTGCAGGTGAAGTTATTGACATTTATTAACATCAGCTTTTTAAATTCTCATTTTATTAATTAATTAAAGGCAAATACACAGAGCAGAAAAGCTTATGTATTTGATTCTGACGGAGGAGGAAGAAGATGATGGCCGTTTAATCGTTGGATGCTTTGCTGGTTTTGATGGGTCCCGTTCCATTAGGCTTCTCCGACACTCTTCACATGGTCACCATTCCCAATTGATTGAGGTAAGGAGGGGACCGTTTTTTGCTTTATTGATTATTATTGGCCTATTAGCCAACTTTTCTATTCTAATTTGCTCTAAGGAAGAAACAAAACAAGGAATTAGCATACGATACGTGGCATACATGCAAAGCAAACAGAAAGCAACTGTGATGACCTTTCGGTGACTCCTACCTAATATATATTTTTTCAATAACTGATTTCTTTTTTATTTTTAATTTTCAATTATTATTCCAAACTCTCCCTAAAAAGGCTCTGGGCCCATTTGCATACAAGCCCATTATACTTGCATCTGCTACGCAAGACAGTCCACATATTCAACAAGGGTCCGTACGGAGACGAATAGACAATGTCTGTTTGGAGACGAGAATAGGAAATTTCTTCTTGGGATTGCTTACCAACATTGCTACGTGGTGCTTTGATTACCAATTTTCAGCTGTCTTCTTCATCATCTATTTAAATGAAACAATCACAGGTGTCTTCACAGGCACCGTCCTTTTTAAGCTTTTGTTTTTGTCATAAACATCATTTGCCATTTCTCAAATCCAACTATAATTATGTTGAGAGCATTAACTTCCCATCTCATTATCATTGCTTTATTTGAAAATTGTATCTTTTGTTGTTGTCCTATTTACAGAACAATTATAATTCTTGGGTCCAACAAACCCAAAAGACAATTATTCCATCATCGCCGAGATATCTATTATGACTTCTGTATTTATCCTCGTTGTCGACATTTTCAATCAATGTCTATACCTGTTAGTAAAGCAGGCTTCAGGAGAGACAAGAAACATTATTTATCAGATGATAAAATTTTATTTACTCACATAAAAGCCCTTGCAAAAAGGCTGTGAATTTTCTGTTAAGATCCCACACAACGAGATTACACACGTTAGTTGGTGAATTCTCTTTTACCCTGATTGAAATAACATTCATCAGGAAGAGAACACCATAACAGAAAGAGGAAAAATGTAGCAAAATCCCTTTGATTCGAGAACTGGACCGATCGCCACAAGGCTTGCGACTGGAATAGATGTCTATGTATTATGTATTTGCTACGGTCAAACATTAGAAACCCTCAGAAACATATTATCTTTGCTGCTCAAGGAGTGGCGAGATTCTCCTTAGCGAGAGGAGCAATCTCCTCCCCTTCAACGCCAGGTTCACTGCCAGCAGCTTCCAGGTCCAGAAGCATCTTCTCCCACAATCTGGCTGGTCCCTGCATCAAACCAAAATGGATTTTCAAGTTGACAAATACAGCGCATTTTTAATTACCTTCTCTTCATGAATTAGCCTTGAAATGTACGAACCTTCCATGAAAGATCCTGGGCCATGCAGTTCAGAATCATTTCTCTTAAAGCAACGGTGCCATAAGTGGCAAGAGCTCTTACAACAGCTGTAACCACTGCAGCTACATCAGCCGGATCAACTCTGTCACACTGGAAATATCGCATTGGGAAGTCTTATTATTTCAGTATTAACAGAGGAAAAAAAAAAGTGACTAAAGCAATCGGCCATTTACTTCAACGTGGAAGGCCCCCATTTGGAATCCTGTGTAACCTTCTTTAACAGTGTCAACAAGACCACCAGTGGAAGCAACAATGGGCACCTGCACCCAAATCAATACTATTACTAAAACAGCAGTATTGCCATTACAGAAAACAATAAGAAAGATCAAACCAATGAATAGTCCCAAATTAATGGACTAAAATAAGGACAGCAGCCATAGAAAGAGAGGATAAAAGATTGAAGGCTATTACCGTTCCATATCGCATAGCATGCAATTGAATGAGACCACAGGGCTCAAATCTACTTGGTATCAACATAAAATCAGAACCAGCTATGATCATATGGGCCAACGGGACATTGAATTTTGCAACTCCTCTAGCCTTATCTGGGTACAATACCTCCAGCTGTCGAATTTGCTTTTCAAAGCCTTTTTTGCCAGTTCCCTTAAGGCAACGTATTATCAAATTAAATACTGCATAGTTCATATACCAACATCGGTTGCACGAGAAAGGACATTCTTGTCATACTTACAAGTATTACTATTTGCACATTGTGTTGAACCAACTGTGAAATAGCTGCAACCAGAATATCTGAACCTTTCTGCTCTTCTAGTCTACCAATGAAACCAATTAAAGGAATGTTCCTGTCAACAGGCAACCCAACTTCTGCTTGAAGAGCTTCCTTTAATAAAGGCTTTGCATCCATAACCTGAAAAAGAAAATCCGAATAGTCGCCCTCTCTTTCGCTACTGATGTGTATTGTTTGATAATTCAATTTACTTTTAGTGAACTTACAGTTGTTGCATCATAGTTGATATCTATATATTTGTCAGTAGCAGGATTCCACTCCTGGACATCCATACCATTTACAATACCAGTAATGCCAGTTTTGCGAATGATATTATCCAGCTCCACACCTCTATCTTCTCCAGAAACAAGTTCCTGGGCATAGTATGGGCTCACAGTCAAAACCCTGTCTGATTCCAAGATTCCAGCCTTCATCCAATTGATTTTCCTTCCCTTGACAGGCTTATTATATCTAGCAAGAGAAAGGCGGTCAATGCTTGCAAGACAAATAATTGAAGAAATGCATGAACAATTGGTATTTCGAATTAACATTAACTGCCTCAAACAAATCATACCCATCGATAAAGTCAAAGGAGCCCTTATATTGATCTGGCAAGTTGAGAAGTGAGAAGTCTGAGAAGGCAAATCTGCCCTGATATGCAATGTTGTGGATGCAAAAGGCAACCTTACATCAACAACGAAAAGAAAAGGTTATTTAAATTATTCAATTCTGAGGGGCAAAACAGCAGAACCATAATTTATTCAATTCAAAGCAAGGGAAACAAACCTTGGCACTCTGGTAAATTCCCATAGGTTTGTAAATGGATTTTAGGTAACATGGAAGAATAGCAGCGTGCCAATCATTGGCAATGAAGATAACATCCTCTCCTGCATTAAGAGAATTTCAAACAGCAAAACGAATGTGTTAAAAACTACTAGTATTTTTCAACAGTGAAAACTGAAAATATCAATTAAATTTTGTGGAGAGGTGCACACCATATGGTCCTGAGAAATATTTGTTGCTGTTCAAGTTCAGAATTCTTGGTGCCTCAAGAGCAGCCTGAAAAAATCAGATTATAGCAAGATTGAACATCATCTAGCAGCTAGAAGAAACAATAAAGTTTTATCAACTACCCTGCTAGATACTATAATATAGCAGTTGATAAAAACGAATTCCAATATAAGTCATTATTAACTTCTAACAAGAAAAATCAGTTTAAATAAGGGAAACTTTATGTTTTTCTGCAAAAATTAAAGCCATGTGAAATTATACTCACTAGGCACAACAAGCTAAATCGCATTTGGTTGTCCTTGTAATCGATTCCTGCTCTGGGGCCATAGATTTTGGACCCAGTTTTGCCCCAAACCTAAACATTCAAACAATTTAGAATTAGGGAAAAAGACCCAATTTGGAATATTCTATCCTATGCATTTTTCTGAAATTATAAAAGTTTTTTGGACCTTCTCAAGGAAAATTGGGTGATCCACGAACACACGATCAACTCCTCGCTTGTAGCAGTGGAAGAAGCGGACAGTTTCAATTTTATCCCCAACTTTAATCTGCACATGAAAAGCCTATGACTTGAGGAAATGGTCCTACAGAAGGGATGGGAAATACAGGAAAAGGAAATACACGATTCCTCCTAAAAAAAATGTAAGCAATAAAATGACAGCACCTGCACCAATACACTGGTGTCCCATGCGTCCCTGTACTGGTCATAGCGAGGAGAGACTGTCATCACCCGGTGCCCTCTTGCCTGAACAGGACAACAAATTACAAATTACTTGAATTAAGCCAGGCTAAGAATAACTGAGAATGAGAAGGCCAATCTACTAACAGCCATGGCCGGGGGAAGTCCTCCAAGAACATCACCAAGTCCACCAGTTTTGCTCCACGGACCAACTTCAGCTCCAACAAAGATCAAGTTCATGCCTTGCCCACAAATGATATTGCCGGAAGGTCTATCATTCTTTGTTGCAGACACTTTTTTCCCAGCTTTGGTAGCCACTGCCTTGGATTGTTTTCTCATTTGCAGCTTATCCACCATGTTGAGAGACCTTAAGCCATGGTAAGTCATGGTTTGAGTCCTGAGTCCAATCTGAGGCTTTGCTTCTGATCCATGGCTGCTCCTCGACACCAACTGTGCAGCTGTCAGAGTAGCCATAGTATTCTCCTGCTCTAGCAGAAACAGATATTAAATTAAACAGAGAAAAACCGTAAGTTACAAACCACTGGGAAATAGTTAGGCTAAACAGAACAAATTGCATATAGAACCTACAGGATCAATCTATATATATTTAGTCGGATATCACCAAACTAGCGAGAAAATCTCTCAACAAAATCCTACAAATTTCTTTAAAAAAAAAAATAAATCAGAAAATATCTACATGTTTAATAAATAATAAACTGAAACGCTACCCACAAGCTTAGGCCGAGAAGTCTGTTACGTTACGTCGAGAATGTGTCGGTGCTGGTCGAGGAGAGCAGAGGACCGAATAGAGCTTCGGTTTCGGGTTTATGATTTGGTTCTGTCACTGAAATTTTCAGTAGCTGATGAGACTGAGAGCACTGGAGGGGTTTTCTAGAGAGCGGCGTAGATGCATTTGCTACTATACGTGGCAGCAAGTTAATGGTTTGAGATACTCCCAATTACTAGGCACCTCAAGATTTGTTCCCAAAAATCACGTGAAATGGGTCCCATCCTGTATACGAATATGCGCAAAGATCTTTTATTTCGCAGTCGTCAGGCACGAAACGACATCGTAGCGTCCGTTCTCACGGTTAATATTACATTTGTAATGTTAAGGGCCTTGATGGGTCCGGGACCGGGTCCATTCACCGGTCACCACAACACATCACCCATCACCTCTGAAACGACGTCTCTTTCACTCAGATTTTAATTTTCATATAGACCGTCACATGTTTTTTTTTTTTTTTTTTTAAAAGGTCCGAGGACCGGGATCCATTTTCAACACGGTCACCCACAACCAACATCACCCAGTCCAAACCTTTGAAAAAACGACGTTCTCCTTCCACTCAGATTTTAATTTTTTCTATAGACCGTTCCCACAAATGTTTTTTTTTTTTTTTTTTTTAAATCCCCAAGGAATGGACCGGTGGCATTGGAAGGGGTAAAGGAAACGCTTCCCTGTAGATTGTAGTACAAGTAGATTACAGCCACAGAGGAAAATGGATTTCTATAAATTACAAAAAAAATTGGCCATATTTCCATTATACGACTTTTTGCTGAGATCCTTTTTGCTGAGTGGAGTTTGCGCGAGAGTTTTCCAACCCTATTGCAGGTTGCTGGACTTTTTTTTTTTTTTTTTTTTTTAAATCCCCAAGAATGGACGGTGCATATGGAAGGTAAGAAACGTCCCTGTAGTATGTAGTACAGTAGTACAGCCACAGAGAATGATTCTATAAATTACAAAAATGCCATTCCATTATACGACTTTGCTGAGATCTTTTGCTGAGTGAGTGCGGAGTTTCCACTTGCCAGTTGCTGCTCGAATTGCCAAAATCAAATTGAGTTTGCCAGGAAATTAGTTATAAGCTCCTAAATATTTTGAATCCCACAGTAAATTTCTTTCCAAATTAGAAATTTTAAATGCATTTATTAGTAAAAAATTAAAGAAAAAAAACTTTCTTTCAATAGTTTTTCTCCTTCCCAAACAAGTTGTTAAAATTTATATACAAATATACTAATTTGTATGGCTTCTGTACTATTGCAAGATACTGTCTAATTTTTTGTTCAATAATATTTTATTAATGTGCTTTTTCCACCGTAGAAAATATAACAGGTTGTCGAGTTGAGGGGCTGAAAGAGTGAAAGCGATAGACGCGCGGTGTGGCCAAAGATGGTGTGTTTCCCCTTGGAGGCGAGCTGAGGGGCCTCCATCTCTATGCACCTCTCATAATTTGGCCACAACAACACCATCTTCTTCTTTGCTTGTTGATAATTAAACATAAATAATTATTCTGATAGTATTATATTAACTAAACATCAAAATACAAATGAGGTTTCAAATTGTATAGATAATGCAAATGTGATTTAAAGCAGAATTTGAAACCTCGAGTTTGGGTGCGGATGCATATCCTATCCTAATAATTTTCAAATCATGTTGGTAATTTCGGTTGATGAATTTTTTAAACTAAAACTTAATAATTATGAGCTATAATATTATTTAAGTTCAAATAATAAAATATAATCCAAATTAATATATCTTTAGTTCTTCTTTTTGTTTGTTATGCTCTTAGACTTATTTATTCTCTTCCTATAAATAATGAGATTTTAACAAAGAGGAAGTTACTTAGGGTTAATGAGAAATGAACATTACAATAACACTAATACGTAAAAGAGGAGGAGGATTGGTTTCTTATTAGTAAAGTCTTCTTTTCTTGTTTGAGCAGTTATCATGATTTCATAATCTGCTAACAATATATAAAAGCTATGATGAAAAGCAGTTGGTGGCCGCTCCTTAGAGTCAACAAACCAACTTGGGATATTCTTCGTCCCTCAAAGCATAATCTTTATTATGCAAAATTCTTAAGCCCAATCTGAATTTCTTAAATTAAAAAGCAATTAGCTTAACAATAAATTAACAATGAACGAATGACTCAAGTTGGCATTTGTTTGCCTTTTCGAATTAAAATTTTGCCTGGTATGAAAAACTGGCTTGTTAGTATTAACTTTTCCAGGTAATGCACAGTTCACTGCCAGCACATTTCATCAGAGATACATGTCGATCAAACCAAACAGCTGTTTCAATCTCCTTCAAAATTAATAATTTCATGCTCAGAGTCAAAGAGACAAACAGACAGACAGGTAACCCGCCTTTTAAATTAATCAAAATTGGTTTTAAACGCCGGAAATTCCATAACACAAGGAGGAAATTCGACAAAACTGTGACCCTCGTGCTTTGGAGTTTATGGCTACATCATCAATCCATTACGAAAATGGCAAAAGATGAACAACAAAAGGACCTCGCTAAACTGAAAAGAAAAAGATTAACAAAAACTCCTCGCTAAGCTGCTTTCTCTCCTTAATCACAACAACCAATGGGGTTTCCCTCAACAAATGGAAAATAGAACACAAGTTATCTGTGAGCTGTAATCAGGGTCTCTATGAACCTTAACCCATCAAATCTTGGCGCGAATTTCTCCTTGTCTAAGGATGCACAACCACCCGGTACCCTATGTCTTCCATTGGCAGGAGTTGATCCCTGTTCAAAATCAAAATAAAAATCAAAACTTTACAATGCAAGACGCTACAATCACAATTTCCAGGAATGAAACGAGAGCAGGAAACAGAAATTAAAAGCGAAAACAGATATTGCAGGCTAAACAGAGTTTAGATCCAAAAAAAAAAAAAAAATATCATCTTTATCTCCTCCGCGCTAAGCTTGAACTTTTCTTCTCCTTTAATCCACGCCAACCAACCCAATGGGTATTCCCCTTCCCAACAAATGGGAAAATTAAGAAACACCAAAGTTTATCTAGTTGAAGCTGTAATTCCAGAAAAAGCGTTCTCTGAACCTTAACCCATCAAGATTCTTTTGCGCGAATTCTCTGTCTAAAGGATGGCACAACCACCCGTAACCCCTATGTTCTTCATGGGCAGGAGTTGAGGCCCTTTGTTCAAAATTCAAAGAAATTTACAAAATCAAACTTTACAATGGCAAGACGCATTACAAGATACAACAATTTCCAGGAAATTGAATACGAAGAGCAGGAAAACAGAAATTAAAAGCGAAAAAAGATATTGAGCAGCGAGGGCTAAACAGAGTTTATATCCAAAAAAAAAAAAAAAAAAAATCGTTCCTTTATTTTACCATTAAATCCAGATGGGCAAATTGGGATAGGAAACCAAAAATTCATGACTTTCATTATCCAAATTACTAATGAGACATTTTTTAAAAAGAGGGGGAAATCTACAAAATCCATTAAAAACAGAATTATAAAAAAAATTATTTTCGAAAGGACTGAAACAAAAAAAAAAAAAAAAAAAAAAATCGTCTTTATTTCCATTAAATCAATGGGCAAATGGGAAGGAAACAAAAATCATGACTTTCATTTATCCAAATACTAAATGAGCATTTTTAAAAGAAGAATCTACAAATCATAAAACGATTAAATTTTTGAAAAGGGCTGAAACAAAATACCTCGTTAGAGCAAGGATAAAAAGCCACGTCGCGATCTCCTGCAGAGGAGGAGGATATAGCCACCGTGGACGCGGCGACAACAGAAGCTACGAGAGTGCACGCTCCCTTCATTCTTAACGATTTCTAATTGTCTATGTTCTCTCAGTATCTCTCCGCGGAATGAAAATGGGCGAAATCCGACGAGGCTCGCCGGATCTCGACCACAGCTGGAAGTCTTGTTTGGTGTGCCTTGCCCTGTTTCGCCCCCTATCTATTGCAAACTTCTTTAGGGACTTTATATTTCGGCAGTTGCTGATTGAAGGGAATTTAATTCAATTTTTAGTTCCGTACACATGGATTCTGGACCACTCGTATTCATCAGATGGGGAAAAAGCCACGTGTACGGAGAGTATGTTTAGGTTGGGTTGGATTTAAAATCAAAGCGGTTGAAGGTTAGGCGTGCAGCGGAAAAGAGAGGGTAGGCCGTAGGCGGGTCGATTAGCATTTTCTTCTTTCTTTTTCTATAGCAGAGAAGAGAATAAAAAATAGGCAGACAGCGATGGTTGCTTTGATTGGAGAGAAATGTCTGCACCGTAACTTATGAACTGCATACGACCCTCTTTGAAATAAGTTGTGCATTTTGCTTAAGCTCGAAGCCGTCGCCGTCGGTTAAAAAAAAAAAAAAAAAAAACGAGCGGATGGTTGCGTTTTGATTGGATGAGAAATGTTCTGCACCGATAACTTATGAACTGGGGCCATTATCGATCCTTCTCTTTTGACAATACCAGTTGTCGCATTTCTCTTGCCTAGCTCGAAGCCGTCGCCGATACGGTTAAAAAAAAAAAAAAAAAAGAAAAACAACAGTATGTATTTTATGATCCTCTTCGAGGCATACGTGTATTATTATTTTTTATTATTTTTTATTTAATTTTACTTGCACATTATTGGTCTGATTATGTTATATTCTATACATTGGATTATTTATTTATTTATAAAACCCCATTTGCACTATTTGGACTATTTGCACCTCAACATTGAAACCCCAATGGGTGACCTCGCAAGTTGCTTCCGACGGGATAATTTCTCCAAACGGTAAAGGGAGAGACAATCAGACAATACTCACTTTTTTGTGATAGCGTTTTTTAGTTTATAATATATTAGATGGATGTTGTAACTGGATGACGGATGTACCTCACATATATTCTATTTTTCTACTTACTTGTGGTTTCATAAGAACTCTCTCTGTGATTTGTTGGTGGTGTGATCAAAATTTAATTGTGAGCATGCAATAGGGTGGGTGTTTGGGTTGAGAGAGAATCCAACCGCAATTGTGGTTTGGAGTACTAATCGGGATTAATATTCACAGGACCTGGAAATTCTTCGTGGTCTGTGTAGGCGGCGGAATAATAGTCCAAACACGACAGTCGCAAAGCTTTCTTACTCTTACTTGTACGCTTCTTGAATCAAACTTCAATTTTGACGCAGAAGCAATTCGGTTAAAAAAAAAAAAAAAAACAACAGAGTATGTATGATCCTCTCGAGGCATACGATTATTATTTTTATTATTATTATTTAATTACTGACCATATTGCTGATATTATATTCACAGATATTATATTATAAACCCCATTGCACATGACATGCACTCAATTGAAACATGGGTGCCTCGCAAGTTGATTACGAGGAAATTTCTCCAAACGGTAAAGGGAGAGACAATCAGACAAAACACTTTTGGAAGGTTAGAAAAAGAATGGAGTTTAACTGGATGACGATGACCTACAATTTCTATTTTCTACTACTTTGTTCCCAAGAAACTGTGATTTTGGTGACAAAATAATGGCATCAATAAGGGTGGTGTGGTGAAGAGAATCCAACCAATTTGTGTTAGTACTATATTAATATTCACAGGACCTGGACAATTCTTGTGGTCTGTGTAGGCGGCGGATATAGTCAAAAGAAGGAAGCTTTCTTACTCTTACTTGTACGCTTTTGAATCAACTTCTTTTGACGCAGAAGCAACTCGGAAACCCATTTTCTCGTCCTTAGCTGCAACTATAAATTAACTCCCTCTCTTGCCCCAACACAGACTAAACCAATTTTTTTAATATTGGACAACAATGAATTCCATCTTTAGCTCCTTCGATGCTCTCTGCGCCGAATTGTTAGGCCAAACAATCAAGTCCTCTTTTGCATCTGCAACTTCTTATCGCTTGCTCAGGAACCCAGAGCAGAGAACCTCATCGCCGCCACAGGAAACAAATCAACGGCACCAGCAACCGCTAAGGCCCCCGAGATTTGCACCGGAGCTTGATGGCCTCAACTGTTTCGAGACCCTTATCAACTATTGATGATTTTGTAATTCAGTTCGATGTCGTTGTAACTAGGAATTCTTTCGTTGATCCATAAATATATCACCATCTTAGAATTTTGTAATTTTGCGAGATCAATTTGCAAACATTATTTGTGACTAATGAATGGACAATTGCCTGCTTATTCGAGAAATCATCCTCAGCTTTCAAGTATTACTTGCTTGTTATCAAAATTTAAGCAAATTTAGACAAAGGCTATTTCGATCCGTAAATCTCATGTGTTTGTGAAGACGTTCTCCTTAATTATGTTTTAATTAATTTTATAAATATGGAAGAAAGAACACACGGTTGATGGTTGTTATGCAACATAACAGCGGGAAATTTTCTTAATTCACGGTCCTTTGATTATCCACAATATTATTAGCACCTAAAACTTTGAACATTCAAGATTAAATTCAGCATATTACTAATGCTATTAGCCTTTCATTTCTGATTTTATCTTTGTATTTGGTGTGGAAGAATCAACTGTGCTACTGTAAGACACGTTTGGACATGTACAATGAACAATCCCATCGTCATTCGGACACGCTTAAAGAAGTCTGAGCATGTGAAGAATAAATAAGTGGTGGATCCAATACAAATTCAACCAAGTTGCTGATGCATCCTTCAAACAATACGGCTCTCTCTCTCTGTGCCATTTCAAAGTATGAAACGTGGAAAACGTCAAACAAATCCCACACAATAAAAACGAGGCCCCAATAATTGACTCAACCCGCACTGTTTGTGAACCGCATCACACGAAGAATGGCATTTTGAAATGGTGAAACTAAAAAACTTCACATTGGGAGAATGGAAGCTGACTTTGATTTCATCTCCATCGTAAATAAGTAGACTTTATATGATTATGAATTTCCATTCAAACTTGTATCAATATGACATCCATTTTCCAAGGGGAAAAGCAAACATGCTTTGATTATTTGCCAACTCATAATCCAAATTCAGTTCAGTAAAAAAAGAAATTAAAACAAGCAAGTAGATTGGCCTTTCATTATTGGTCCAAAAGGAAATGTATCAATTACTATATTAAGAACAACACAGAATGACAAGAAAAGAACCTCACTGTTTCTGTTATTTTTGCAGCCTGAGGTTCTTTGATTACATTGCCCTATTTCATGAATACAGCTTGCATGATCTTTTTCTCTATCTGATCTGAAGCTGCGCCGAACCTCAAGCACAAGGAAAAATGAGTACAAAGCTCGTATCCATTTCAACTAGGTGAGTTAGGGCATACATCATCTGACCATTTCTCAATTCACTGCAACCCTCGATTAACTTCGGCTGTCATCTTCCAAATCAGGCAATAAAAAATAAAAATGAAGAATAAAAATTCCTAATCACAACCTCCTTCCAATTTTTGCAAATCTTCTAGCTACTCCAAATATAACAGCTTTAGTCAGCAGCCCTCTGTCAAGAGTACAAGCAAGAGCAATAGCCCCACCAAGCACTAGCATCCTAGGTATGTTTCCCCCCGATTTCTTGGATGAATCCTGCGTTGCAGCCTCCAATGAACTATTAGCATTGCTCTCTAAAGATCTCAGGTAATCTGCGCTTACTTTGGTGTTGATCTGAGCCATGAAAGCACAACGTGAAAGTGGGTCTCCAGCTGCTCTCTGCTTTTGATATGCACGTAAACCCGGTTCAATCTTTTTCACAGCTCCCCACATACCCTGCCGGACTCCAAGCTTTGCAATTTCCCACGGAATACCCATATCTTCATGATGGAACAGTAGCACCTCACATGCAGTCAGCTGGCCATCCCCCCTTTTTGATTCAACTGGATCACAAATGACAGATACAAATTTTAAAAACTATATAGGAGTTAATAAAGCAGAAAAATACTACAACTGTTGTCAAAGAACAGATGTTTAGAAGTTTATAAATGAAAAACATGAAAGTCAAACAGTTACCTGCACGAACGCACCAGCTTGAATAGTACAAATCCACACGTCTTGGTTTGTTGCGCCTTGGAACAGACATGCAAGGAACTCCCTGAAACATGTAAAGACAGACTAACAAATTACTTCCAGGATTGAATAATTTGGACGCATAAAAACAATATGACATGAGCAAGGGGGTAGAGGAGGGAACTGTATAAAAAGAAACTCTGACAACAATGAGACTTAAATTTCAACTCACAACAACACAACCAGTTTCTCTCTAACTTCACTATAAAACGCAATTCGTTGGTGCACGAAAGTTTGAACCAAAACAGTGAATTAAACACAATCCAAATGGCTTCAGCAATCAATAAGCCACTGCTGCTACTATAGGAACTGTTAATTAAACAGTGAAAAAGCCTAATGTTTGTATTACATCTACACAAAACTGAGACTTGAATCAATAGAAAATGAAAATTTGCCACACTCCCCATCTAAATACCATTGAGAAAGGCCATAAACCAACAGAAAATGAAAGAGATGGAAGATTTAGTGTCAGTTCATCTTTAACATACCTTTGTAACACAGTAATACAGTCGACCTGATTCCCAAATTCGACGGCCTATGATGTACTCTCTGTCACTGCAGAAGAAGGGAAACTGTGCCAAAAAAAATCATAAATTTAGTATACAAATCAGAACCAAACATTTCATGAAACAAAGAGATATTATAAAGTAACCTCCCCACCTTCCGCACCCACTGAACTATCATTGTTCCTGTGGTAGGGCACTCCTCCAAAGTTGCAGCATGTATAAGCATGTCATCCCATTTCATTCGAAATTCATCATCCCAAAAGAAGTCCCTCACCATTTCAGGAGTGGCATCCTCAAACACAGTGCTACTACGATATTGCGGGGGGCCATTCTAACAAATTGATATAATAATCCAATTAATAAAATGAACTGCACAATTATAGAACTGATTGTAGCTGCATTCATATAACTAAAAAAAATGGATTTTGAGAAAAGGAAACCAACCTCAGGGTCCCTCCGCCAAGCTTTATAGCTCATAGTTGGGGTAGAACGATCCATCATCTGAATCCAAGCAGGACCTCCATCTTTCTCTTCCACAAGCTTGCACAAATGCTCTAAATCATCTTCATTTACTATACCGGAACTTTCCTTTTGCGACTGTTTGGAACTGCAAATAGAAGTGAAGCAGATTAAGGAAAAAGAACCCCCAAAACCCAATTCAAAAATTCACGGTCAATAAAATTTTCGAATTCATTTCTTCATAGTTAAAATGCTAAGCAAACCCCACAAACCTGCAATCAGCACTCAAGGAAGGTGGGGCTGGGGGAGAGTCCTTTTGAATCCCATCGTCGGCAATCCAAGAGATGCAACTGGGCAACTGAAACTTCAAAGAATTTAAGGTCGGAATCGAGGAAGATGCTGGCGATGGTACTGTGTTCGCAGAGTCTTTATTGACAGAAGAATCCAGCAATTCTCTACCCAAGTTGGCCCATTTAGGCTTCCACGCCCATCCTACAAGAACCCCAATAATAACCGCAATCCACAAGGGAGCCATAAACATGACGAGCTCAGCCACGATATCACCAATAGTAGGCCTATTCAAAATATCCAATAAAATCGACCACAAAGCCATCTGACTCTTCCTTCCCAACGAAATAGAGACAAACAAATAATACCCAACAATCCAGAAAAATTAAACCCAAAGCAAAATTGAAAAAAGAAAGAGAAAAACCCTCAATTGAATCGAACTTGTAAGACGCTTAAGCACAGCGATTACTCGAGGGTTTCAAAGGAAGAGCACCGAATTCAGCAGAGGAAAAAAAATTGGACCAATAGAGAAGAAGAAAGCAGAGAAAGGAATGATTAGATAAAGATATGGGCGTTGAAGAGAGGCAGCAGAAAATTGAAGAAGAGGACAAAGTATTATTAGATTGTTGAATCGCTGCGGATAAGGATTTGAGAGATAAGCGGTAGACAGACGTGGAGTAAGGATTACCGTAGGGCCAGCTGATTTTTGAGTTTATTGGGCTTAAACCTTGTTATGTCTTGCTTGTTTGTATCGCGGACGATACCGTTTAGGGCGAATTGAAATGCTGCAAATGGAAGGCGGGTTGGTCTTTTAATGCCTAAATTTATGGACATGCCTTCTCTGCTGCTGCGTTGCCGTTTATTTTTATACCACTCGGATATGTCCATCCACAGTGCGGTGGTCTGTGGTTCACCGCGTTCTCGTTTTTCACGTTTGCTGTTTTTTTTTTTTAAAAAAAAAAACAAAGAAAAGTAATTGATCCAATGCAATTTATTAACAATAGCAAGAAAAATGATGTTTCAAAAAATTTAAATTTATTTACATTTTATTATCTGAAATGTTGATTCAGTTATTAATGTCTTGTCCCCAGCTCATATTAAGATAATTATATATTATTTTTTTAAATATGATAAATATTATAGAACGAAAAAAAATAAATACTTGCACAGAATTCACTAAAGAAATTAAAAAAAATATAGTACTATTTCAATCATCCATTCTATGATTCAATTCTTTGCTTTATCATTTTTATTTCTATCAAACATAAACTTTTAAAAATATGAAATTTAATAATTCTTAATATTTTTAAAATAATTCTCAATATTAATAGAAATAAGTTAAAAATGATTTTACATAAAAAATATTTTCTAAAAATAAATTTTGAAAAAACGCATGAGGATCCTACAGTAATTTAAAAATAGTAGTAAAAGTAAGTATTCTAAGTAGGTGGTTATGGTCATAAATCATATGCTTTGGATCATGCAACTAATCATTCTCATCCACGTATGCATAATGAGCTTTTTATATGTTTTTTTTTTATTATTATTATTATTTTTTTTGAGCTTTTGAAGTGATTGACTTTGAATGGCTGTGAAGCGCTGAACTAGACGCGGATTAACAGACTAAGTAGCACTCTTTGAAATTTTTATTTATGCTTTAATTGTCGGAATTGGAGACTTATACTGCACCTTGGTTGTTTGGTCAAATGGTTTGTTCAACGATTTTGACCTCAAATTCCCAAAAACCCAAAAGAAAGACAAAGGCGAAGAAATAAATTATTGTGATTCAATTTCCTAGACAATTTATATATTATATATTTACATTAAACTTATGATATTTTACAAAGCATTTATATATTCATATGATATTAAAGTGAAGTGAATAATGATATAAATAGGTAAAAAATAAATTCTATTCATATTTATCTTCATAAATCTCTCTTTCTCCTCTTATTTGTATGTGTTCAAAATAAGAAGCTTATTCCTAACATTGTAGGAAAAAATTCAAAATTTTAGAAAAAATCCTAATTTTAAATTAATAAAAAAGAAGTGAGAAGTTTACCTTCACCCAAAATCATAGAAGAGGACGAGAAATTTCAAGAAAGTGGAAAAAAGAAGAAAAGAAAAATAAATTCAAATCTTCGTTTGATTTTTTTTTTTTTCCAACGAGATGAACATAATTCTTTGTAATCAAACAAAAGAACCATAAAAAATTGAGAAAATTATAAATTAAAATCCCCAATCAAAAGATCACAAAAATCAAAGGAGAGAGAACCTAAAAATCTCGCCAATGTATATAATAAAAAACGCAAAGAAGATGATTCAACAAACACTGCACATGCATACATTCGCTCACACACAGCTTAAATCAGAAATAGAACTTCAATTGCAAAACTATACTATTTTGCACACAGAGCAGCCAACACCGAATTTCAAAATGAAAACTCACTCTCAGCTCAAATGTCGCCAGAATTATTATAATTATTTCGTTTTAACTTGCAGTAACTGTAAATTAGTAGTCTATTCTTGTGTTTTCTCGGATACCAAACATTCCCACATTTCATGAAAGGTTTTTTTTTTTTTTTTTTTTTTTTGTGAGTAAATTCCCCCGCTTAGATCAATTCTATCATTATCACGTGAAGAATATATTACAATCATATACACGCTCAGGGTGATCGAATAGCTTTTACGCGCGTATAGAAAGCAGTTTAGGTATATTGCAGGGTGGAGCATATTTAAAGGAAAGTGGCATAAATGATATAAATAGGTAAAAAAGATTTAATTCTAATTTCATATTTTATCTTTTTATAATCTCGATCTTTCTATCTCTTTATTTGTGTAATGTAATTCAAAATTATAGAAAGGCTTATTCCTAACATTGTATGTTCGAAAAAACTTTCAAAGAATTTTAGAAAAAATCCTAATTTTTAAATTAATAAAAAGAATGTTGAGTAGTTTACCTCTCACCCAAAATACATAGAGAAGAGGACAGAGAAATCTTCAAGAGAAAGTGGAAAGAGAGGAGGAAAAGACAAAAATTAAATTTTCTATATATCTTCGTGTTTGATTTTTTCTTTTTTTTTTCCAACGAGAAATATGTAACATAATTTTCTTTGGTAATCAAACAAAAAGAAACTCTCTCTAAAAATGACGAAATATATTTATTAATTAAATCCTCCATCAAAAGATCAACAAAAATCAAAGGTTAGTAGTCGAAATACCATAAAAAATCTTCAGCTCAATGTTAACAATTATAATAAAAATTGACGCAAAAGAAGATGATATTTCAACAAAACAACTGCACAATGACATATACATCTGCTCACAGCAGACAGACTTTATATCATATGTAAATAGTGATACTTAATATTGCAAAAATCTTCTATTGTTGCTCCACCATCAGAGCAAGGCCGGACAGCCGAATTTCAAAATGAGAGAACTTCACTCTCAGTTCATACTAATGTCACGCCAGGAAATTATAATATAATTTATATTTCGTGTTTTTAACATTGGCTTTTTATAACTGGCTTTTAGTTAATCTTGTATAATTAGTAGAATCATATATCTTTGTGTTTTCTCCTGGATACTCTAAATACTATTTCCCTCACATATTTTATGAAGTTTTTTTTATATTTTTTTTCTCCTCTTTATTTCTCGTATATTCCTTCATCTTTGGCAATTCGGATTGTAGCAGCTGTTCAATATGGCTTGTTCTGTGACCGGTGATTCTCTTCCAAGATAAAGATTTTGAACTCAAATATTTTTGGTTTTAATTACAGACTAATATAGATTGCATAATTTTCGTTAGGCACAAAAGACAGCACAGATGCATTTTACAGAGGACAAGAAGAAGGTTTAGTCATCACTAGGAGAAGAGAGAGAGGTAACTAAACTACAAAAGCAACAACAGCAAGAGAATAAGAAAGACACAAAAAGCGCAGAAAGAACAACTTACGAGATAGAATTCAAGATTTATACTTTTCTCGATTAAAAAATTTCTTCAAATTCGATTCATAGTTAATTTTCTTTTTCTCAGCGGTTACGATTCTTCCTTCCCTCCTTCTTTTCTTGCTTTTCTTTTTGTCAATTTATACAATGGACATATAATAAAAAGAAATAAGAAACTAATGCTCTCGTCTTTCTACTCTTTTTTGTTCTCGTTTTTTGTTTTATGATTGTGCTTTAGGCTTTCTGATATTTCGACCGGTTTAGATGGCGCTGCGGTAGAATTTGTGTGGAAAGGTTTTTTTTTTTTTTTTTTCTTTATTTTCTCTATATTTCCTTCATCTTTGTCAATTGATTTACACTTTCAATATGCTTTCTTGAGCTGATCCTCTTCCAGATAAAGATTTTGAACAAATTTTTGTTTTAATACAGACTCTTAGATGCAAATTTTTGTTAGGCACAAAGAACACATGCATTTACAGACAAAAATGGGTTTTAGCTCACTAGAGAGAGAGAGAGAGTAACTAATACAAAAGCAACAAGAGCAGAAATAAAAGACACAAAGCAGAAACAATTACGGATAGATCAAGTTTACTTTCGATAAAAAAATTTCTCAATCGATCAAGTTAATTCTTTTCCACAGTACGATCTCCTCCTCCCTTTCTGCTTTCTTTGTCAATGTACAATGGAAAAAAAAGAAAAGAACTAATGCCGCTTTCTACTTTTGTTTCGTCGTTTTCTTTGCTATTATGATTGCAGCTTTCGATTTCACCGTTTAGATTGCCTTCTAGAATTTTTTGTTTTGGTCCGCTTCATCGTTTGCAAAGGACCATTCAAGACATCAAACTGAATCAAGTAAGTAGCAATAATCTTTTCTCCTATAGAAATAAAGAAGGAAAGAAAAAAATAAAATAAAAAAGCATCCGCCGACCAATAGTTAGGTAGACGTTGCTGTACTCAGGAAGTAATACAGTATAGTACCTCAATAGCACTGTTAGGAACTGTTGGTTTGTACTTGCAAAAGCCACGTGTTTGAGAAATTAGGAGTCTTCTCTTCGATTCAATTCAAAATCACGAATTGCACATGCAAATAATTCTGATGGTCGTCACTGTCACATCGCAACCTAACCCATTATCGTTTCTGATTGCTCTATCAATATAATAGCCGGAGTATAAGTTAGCTCTTGGTGTGAATGTCCCTTAGCCTCCTGCTCTTATAAATCAATCTTAGACTTAATTGATAGAAGACGAAGTTCTACCATTAAAGATACTCTTGTATCCCAATCATTTTCACTAAAGATACTCTTTTTACGTAATTGGATATGCCTTATTTCGGTGTGCAAATTTAGTTGCTTGCTATTGCCCCACACTTAATTTCAAAAAGTGAAGATGGCAACGTAATGTAACTTCTTGATTTTGATTTTTTTTATCATCTTGATGTTATGGGGTTGCCTTCTTGCTTTTTTTGTTAACAAAACTTGCAGTTCATAGTTTTAAGCCATTCCAATACAAGTAAATTGCTTGTTTATCTTTTATATATAGTAAAATTTGAATATAACAAATGGAACCATCCAAAGGTTTATGAAATTGCATTCATGGGGTAGTTGCACTTGAAAGAAGATTGATATGGTGTTCTCCATTATCTTCAACTTCGATACTATTAAAACTAGAACGATGGTTTTAGTAGTGCGAGCTTTTTTTCCTGGCCTAAAATGCCCCACCTTCACCTTCAATGAACAACACGTGAATACACTTGCTCAAGAATACAACAGACATGTTTCACACTAACCAAAGTTTGACAAGAGGACGAAGGCGTCGCTATTCTTCGTGAGTTTAACAGCGGAAGCAATTAACTGTATCAACCCATAGTGCGCAATGGCTTACACCATTATGTGTATCTTAAGACATGCGATGCAATTATCAAGATGCACTTGATGTTGAAAAATCCAGCCGCATTCTCTGTACATTATACATATTTTAATAGATGAACATGGAGGGGAATCCAGATTTGAGTTGAGCCACAGCACTTTTTTCTTATATATATATATTAAAAGGAGTTCAATTATGCCATTATCACGCATAGCTACATGTGACAAGGCTATGTTGTTCTGTAAGCTGGCTGCTAAGTTACTGTTAGGTTGTTTCATCATTGGATTATCCACAAAGAACTCTAATGTTTGTGACAGATTTTCACTTTTTTTCCCTTTTCATTTTCTGGGCTTGACAATCTGTATGTGCAGGTAATTGATATAATCATGCACCAACTGTCCGAGACATCAAATGGCAAAAATCGGGCAGATGGTGTTTTTCCAACCATAGCCTTGATCACACATACACAACTAAATTACAACCTACAAGTTTCAGAAACTCGTGTGCCAGATTGCTCCATCACCTTCCCCACAGCGCTGATGTACCTCCACCATTCTCTCCACTGACTTGCAAATGCCGCTGCAGGTCCAATCAAATGATGCAGCGCAAGGATTCCCTGCTTGAGCCTTCCACTCACAGTCTGTCATAAAATTTGACAGCATTAGCAGCGCAATTTGGTGCAATATATCAAACTTTGACGAAGGAAATATAACTTAATATTCAGTAAAACAAACTTCCTAATGACTCCAAGGTCTATTACAATACATGGGATGAGCAGCCACAAAAACAGTGTCCATGGAATTAACAAGTACACGGATCTTTTTGATTGTTTGACCCCAAATGCAAAAGCCTATAAAAAACCTCTATGCCTAGTGTCGCATTTAAGCAAAAGCTAGTGAATTCAGTAATAACAGAGTTCAATAGACAATACTTCAGTTTTGGCATGTCAAAAGCAGAAACAGTTGAGATATTAAAAGTAATTCATATTCTGGGGACACAAATAACAATGTAATTGAATGTGTCTTACCAGGAGGAGTTCCACAACAGAGGCTTCGTTCATCAATGTGCTCAACATCAAGGCCAATAAACCAAGATCCCAAGGAAACGTCTTCATTTGAGTATCTATGAAGTATGTGCCTGGAGACAACACATTTATCATCAATTGCATGGTGTCTACAATCAAGTAGAACAATTATGTCACACAAGGTTACCTATTTACTGAAATATAGGTGGCCAAATCTTTAGAAATTGCATATATTTGCCCTGTTGCATGTCTAAAATACTTATTTCCCTCCTCGCCAAATTTCCAGTATTCTGGCTCATGGTACTTCACACCTCTGCATGTCAAAGGGAAAGATGTATAATTGTGGCCAGAGATAAATGATCTGAACATCAGAAATTTTGTGATATTTAACTCCTTACTTCTGTGACAGAACAGGTCCAGATTTCATACATCCAATATAAACACGGGGTTTTGATCTATGGCGGGCCAACGTAGAGCCAACCATACCTGCCAGATATTGAAATCAATTCAGTAAAATGAAATCACAATCATTTTATGCTCCTTTCTTCAATGAAGCAGCAAGGGATTAAACATAAAGATAACTAACCAAGATTTACGTGTACATCATCATCAACTTTAATATAGAAGTCAGCATCCCACTTAGCAACCGCAGTTGAAAAGTAAATTTGTGTTTTTGATGACAATTCATGATATCCTTCAATATGATTCTGCATCATGTTACCGATATGTAAAGCTTCCCAAATACTTTTGAAAATCACTTCATCCTCCACCCCAACACAGTAGCTCCGGGGAATTTATATAGAAACTTACCAGCCGTAGAAAATCCTTGTGTTGCTCTTCTTCTGCATCGATAGCACGATCCAAAACACCACCTGGCGATGCACTGTCAATCATGAAATTCAAGAATATTTAGTTTATCTACTGTCAACATGGGCTAGACTGCTAATCGGTTGAGGTTTTGACTAAGCTCACCTGTGTCCAATTACAAATCGTAAAATGATACCCTTTTCCATCTCCAATTTCTTTAACTCCTCTCCTAGAGTAAAACAACAACCAAAACTGTAAGCAATTAGGTAACCATGACAGCAATCAGTGGTCTACCAAAACTAGAAAAGTTTAACCTTTGGCCATCCAAGTTTCTCTAATTGAGTCCCTTCGCTTTCTGCTGCTGAATGCTGTAATTATACCCATAACAAAGAAAACTTTCTGTCGCTCCTTCAAGGGCTCAGTTCCAGATTTTGTTCCCATTGGAGATCCTTCCTCATCATCAACTCTGACAGCTCTTGCAGCTGCCAGCTGCATTTCCAATGATGAGATTGTTTTGTCTAGTGTCCTGCAATTATTGTCATAAATGCATCATATGTAACATCATGAATTTTATACAAGCTCCAAGATCCCATTTGGAGGTTGGAACTTGGAAGCTACCAGTCAAAGTTCGAAAACCAAAGAACTAGAAAAGTAATTTGGAATTTTCAAGAATTATCGGCAAGCAAAAGAGCCTTACATGATTACATCATGAGTTTGTGAAACTTGAGAAAGGATGTCTCCTGCCTGGACAGATGTTTCCTGCAGTACCATAAACAATATCATTAGCATGCCTTACTGCACATAATGAAGCTTGTGACAACATTATTCTAGTGGTCGGACTTGCCTTCTTCTCACAATTAACTATAGGATGAGACGTTTTTGATTGACGGTCCTTCACAGATAAGGCTTCTTCTTCCACTTTAGCTGGATCTGGAATGGCCCAAAACCTAACAGATATAAGAAGTGTGTTAGACATATTCATCTCTCCACCTCCACTCCTAAAGAAAATAAATACAGAAAACGTTAAAGGAAATATAAAATTCCAACTAATATTGCGCACTGTGTGACAAAGATTACCAGAAAGTTAAATTCACGTAGGAATCGCTTAACAAAGAAAAATACTCTATTGAACGTACAAGTTCCAGAAAATAAAGGTGAAAAGCAGAAATAATTTCACAGACCATAAAAAAATGTGAGTACTGCAAAGTACCAGCTACAACTACAAGACGCAGCATCTGGCTATTTTAAGTTCAGCTGCTTGATATATGGTGTTAAATCATGCGTTATCCTAATATTGATGAAGAGCAAGAAATAAAATATGGACAAAGTTGTTTTACTTACTATCAGTCCATTGATCTGCTCCTTAATCACACTCAACAATTACATTTAAAAACAGAAATGTTCTTTAGATGCTAATGCTGATCATGCAGATCAGTATTAAGCTAGCATTTCAATTTCATTGTAGACCTTTATGATTAATGCCATAAACAATTTAATGGTTGTCAAGATGATAAGAATAACTTCAGCGCCATTCTTTCAACAAAAAAAAAAAAAAAATTCAGCGCCATGCTAATTGAAAATGGACCACGACTTTTTTGCCACTTAAGTAAAAACCATTAGCTTATCAGCACCATCAAAAGCTACGCAAGCAAAGCAAACTATAAATTCAACCTCCTAAGTAATATATCAAATAAGTTCTCCATGCTGTGGAACACATTTTCCCGTTGAAGGCTGACTAAACTCATCCTTGCCTAGGTCTCAAGCATAACCTAATCCACTGACTTGTTACAGGAGACAAAGATGTCAAAATACACATCAGTTCTCCAAATCTAGTAAACAGAGGTCTTATTCCAACATACATTTATGAATTCATTCATAAGCAACGGCCAAAATCTATCAAGGAAAAAAAGGGAAAAAGCTAACATTTTGCATATGATTTTTTGAGGGGCCATCTGAAATCACCCATCTCGATCAAAAGCAGCAAAACAGAACTAAAATAACAGTTAAAGCTTCTCAATCCTACTAATAGGAGCTATAAATCTGACAGATGATCATTCTAAAGTCGAGATCTTTGGCATTTCAAAGTAGAGAGAGAGAGAGAGAGAGAGAGAGAGAGAAAAGAAGAAACAGAACCTGTTGACAACAAGAACACCCAAGAAGAAGCTGGCAATGCAGAAGACAGAAACCAACTTGGTGGAGAATCCACTGCTGGGTTTTTGAGGCCTGCTCAAGCCCATTTCAATCTAACAAGCTTCAGCTTTAAGGAAGCTTCCTCCTTTATTGAAGCTTCTGGTGCTACAAGGAGATAACAAACAACCCCATTTCTTAGAGAGAGAAGAAGAAAACAACAGAGATTAATGTCTGAACTCAACGGGTTTCAAGTAGAAAAGAAAAATGGAAAAATGGATTTGTTGCTTTTCTTGCTTTCAGCTTTCTCAATCCAATCAAAATCACTAGGACAATGGGCAAGCTGTAATTATGTTTGCTTTCCTTGTTTTGTGACAGAGAGAGAACTATTTTAAAAAATAATAATGCAAATGACAGAGGTCACGGCAACCTCCAAACTACCAATTATACCCCTCTGCTTTCCTGGTATGATCACTGTCTTATTATGCCTTGGAGTCCTCCAATCCCTAGGCTTTTCCCTCTCCTTTGTTTTAACTTCCTTTTTTTCGTTTATTACTATTAGTTTCTTCTGGACCACTTTCTTTTGTAAAAAAAAAAAAAAAATGGCTGTATTGCACTGTCTCTTTGTATCAGTGGGTGTAGATTCAATTCAACTCCATTTTTCATACCTTTGCTTCACGCCTGAGACGAAAATTTGTGCGGAAGTTATTGATCCAAGTTAAGCAGCTTCTGCATTAAAATCTCTCTTTGGTGTAATTAGGTATGATTTTGATAAACATTGTTCATGGCAACTCAATCATGTTTAGGTGCTATCCTTTTTCTTCTCACAATTTCTTGGGAGGAAAAGTAGTTGAACCCATTTTCTTATAGTTATCGTATTTGATCATCAAATTATTAGTTGAGTGATATTAAATTGTTTTTTTTTTTTTTTTTTTTTTTTTTTTTTTTTTTTTCTTTTGAAGTCTTGATCATCATTAATTATGTTTTCTAACTTTTTTCTTTTAAAAGAAAAAAAAAATTTATTATATCCCTTTTGCCTTTAAACTGAAAAAACGTGGATAAAACATTTGGGGTATGAAAAGGATAATGTTATTTGAACTTTGGGTATTTGCTAGCATTTTCCTAACCTTCCTGTTAAGGTTAGGTGGGTTTTTTTTTTTTTTTTTTTTTTGAAGTCTTGATCATCATTAATTATGTTTCTACTTTTTTCTTTTAAAAAAAGAAAAAAAAAATATATATATATATCTCCTTTTGCCTTTAAACTGAAAAAACGTGGATAAACATTTGGGTATGAAGGATGTTATTTGAACTTTGGGTTGTGCTAGCTTTTTCCTAACTTCCTGTTAGTGTTAGGTGGCACTAGCAGGTGATACTTTCACCATACAAATCAGGAAGCTATTAAGTTGATTTAATTATTTTGCCAAACCATTACCGTCTTTCTAAATCATACTATACTTAATCGATTCATAGAAAATAAAATTACAATGATAAAATCATAATTTTTGTTAAAAACTCATTTTTTAATAAAAAGAGAAAAGCGGAGGGTAATTTAGTCCATGGAAAAGTTTAGTTGAGGTGGGTTGGGTCTCGCTGTCCCATATGGAGCAAAACGACTCAAAAATTTAAACGGGAAGGAGGGGTAAAATAGTCCATTTGGGAACAACGGTGTCCTGTCCAGTCCACTGCTCTCAACAGCAGGACGGGCGGTGCCAATAGAAGAGCATTATGATCCGAACCAGACAAGACGACGTGGTGAAATCAAGCAGACAACTTTTGATTCCATTTCATAATTTATAAAGAATCTTTATTCGGGATTCATATATCCCATTTGCACCTTTAAATAAATTAACTATTCATGAGATATTCAAGGTTGGATTCATAAGAGAATGAATCTACTCATCAAGCTCCTTCAATCAACCGGCCAATTTCAAACTTTCAAATGAAATTTACAAATTCAACTTGAGTTTGTAGATGAGCCATAATTTTATTTTTGAAAGCTACAATATCTAAATATACAGACTTATAATTATTTTACAATTCAAATGAGTCCGACCTTAAATTTCGCTATTTTTTTAAAGAGTTTGAATTCTGAGTATATTTAAATGAATCAATTTTGATTTTATCTAGATTCAACTCAATTACTCCCGTATTTGTTACTAATGAGTATCCATTTTGCCAAAAAAAGATAGAATTAAGAAAATTAATATAATCCATTAATATCGGTGACACTTTACTAAAATGCCCTTCAAATAATGATAAATTCAATTGAATTAAAAGGGTATATTTGAAAGTAAAAGTATAATGTTACTTTGATTTCATAAATGGACACTTGAATTTAAAAAAAAAAAAAAAAGAGTAAATATTGAAGATAAATGGGCTTTGACAAGCATCTTGGTAGTGGGCCGGGGGAATCAAAAGGGGCTTTGAATCAGTCAGGCCTCATTTCAAATCCAATTGCATGGATAGGCTTGGGCAGCTCCAGCAGAAAGTTGGCTTTCCCTTTCAAGTTTCAACTGAAAGTAATCAACTTTTGACGTTCTATTTTGCTCTTTTTGGGTTTCTCCTTCTATTTCGCTATGTTTTCCATTCCTGTCGGTTGTCTCTTTCAAATGCATTTTTCTTTTGTGTCTCTTTCCAAATTCACCATTTTTGTTTCTACAGATTGAAATTGCCACCAACCAGACATTTGACGTTACATTACATTATAATAAGCTCATATGTCATTCAAGAACGATGATGAAGAAGACATAGCAAAGGTATGCTGTCTCAACTCTGATATTTTCTTTCTTTAATGGCTTTCATTTATTAGTTTTCTCATTTATGTCTCACCCGATACAATTGACATTCTTCTCATCCTTATCTTTATCTTTGTCTTTCATCAATTATTAAGCTTGATGCTGCATTTGTTATTATTAACAATAATAACAATAAGCAAACAAAATATTTGCGTTCTATTATCTTTGTAATGTCTGTTATTCCCGTCGGGTACTGTTCTTGTTTTGTTATATCATTCCGATAACTATTACTTAGGTCGCTGTTATTTTTATCAAGATTTGGCTTTAAAATGTGGAATTCTTTTGTGTTTTCTCCAAGATTGAGTCAGTGAATGGTTGCAATGGCTGGGAGAGACAGGGACGGGCTTGCAATGGCCTCGCAGAGGCTCGTAGAGGCTGCCCTCAGTGGAAATATAGAGTACGTGAGAGAAAGTTTGAAGTTAAAAGCAATAGATGTTAATTACATAGGGACGGTGAGCTTGAGACTGAATTGCATTGAAACCGTGTTAAGGGAGAATGAGGCTGATGAGATTGAGATTGAGTACAGGGATTTTGTCACTGATGTCACTCCACTTTTTGCTGCTGCTCATTCAGGTCACGTTGATATTGCCAGGAAACTGCTGGTACGGATTCTGTTTCATTTTTGTTGCCAATTTACGAACTTTAAGCAAAGTGAATCAAATAGTTGCAGATCAAATTTGTAGTTTACAGGCAGCGTCCCTAATCAGTTTTTCTTTTTGTATTTTCACAAGTCAGTTTTATATTTTTTTCATATAGCGCAGAAGTTCATTATTAATGGACTGGAATTGCTTTTAATTGATTCACTGTTGTTGGATTGTTTTACTGACTTTTTGGACTCCTGATTTGTGTTAACTAGCTTCCTTGTCCAATTAGTAAATAGATATTCCTGAGATTTTTGGTTTTTCTTCTCTGGTAAATCACTACCTAGTTGATAAAAGTTTCTGTAATTTTTGCTTGTTTAATGATAATTGATTTTGTGCTGTGTCATTGCTTGTCCAACAAAGTTATACCACATAAATTATTTTTGGTTGAACAAAGCTATGTGAAATAGACTGGTAGAATTCCATCCTTGGTGGTGGCCTGATCATGATTCAGCATTTGCTGGAGTCTTGTTATTATATTGTCAAAAGATTCAATGCATTTATCAATTTAGATTAATCTGTCAAATGCTATTGCCTATTTTTCATTAGATACTTTTTGACTGGCTCCAATGAACGATATATTAAGCTTCTAATGTCACCCATCATATTGTCTTTTTTCTTTTGTGAGTTCATAGTCAGCTGGAGCTGATGTAAACCAGGAGTTATTTCGAGGCTTTGCTGCTACAGCCGCTGCTCGTGAAGGTCACTGTGTCCTTCTTGATATGCTTCTCAAGGCAGGTACATGTCGATCAGCTTGCGAAGATGCTTTACTTGAGGCTTGTCTATGTGGCCAGGTTAAAGCTGCAGAATTATTGCTGCATTCAGATATGGTAGGACCTGATGTGGTAAAACATGCACTTGTGTCTGTAAGCTGCAGAGGATTTGTCGACGTTGCAAAAACCTTAATCAAGGTGTAAATTTCGTGTTTCTATGGATCTAATTTTTCAGTTGGAAACATCTGAGCACGCAATTACTTTTGCCTTACAGAATGGAGCAGACATAAATTGCACACAAAGGGTTCTATTGCATTCATTGAAGCCTGTATTGCATGCTAATGTTAACTGCACACCTTTGACAGCTGCTATCGTGAGCCGGCAAGTTTCAATGGTTAAATATTTGTTGGAGGTAATGCCCTACACTGTTCAATTTGGCACAGTTCTCATTCATAATCCGCAGATTACTTTGAACTGTAATAGCGATGTAGAAGGCATTCTACTAGTATTTTTGTGCTTCACAGTATCAACTGCATTGCAACAATTCCTTTCCTGCTATTCAGTTTTTAGCTTTGATTCTACATCAGAACTAAACTCCATCCTTGGTTTTCTACATTAGCGTCCTAACTTCTATTTTTTTCCCATTTTATTCTTCAGTTTTCTGAAGGTCCAAGAAACTAATATTATTCACATATGTAATTCCAGTTGTTTAAGCATTGGATTTATACATGTATATTTAGGCAGGTGCAAGAACAAATTGCCTTGTTAGGCTGGGAGCTTGGTCATGGGACATCTTCTCAGGTGAGGAATTGAGGGTGGGTGCATGCTTAGGTGAGCCATATACTGAAGTTTGGTGTGCAGTTGAGTATTATGAAGCAAGTGGTCAAATTTTGAACTTCTTTCTTCAAGATCAAAACTTATGTCTTGAAAGTCAACAAGAAGGCAGAACCCTTCTTTGCCATGCGATCCTTTGTCAGAATCCTGATGCTGTGGCTTTGCTTCTTACTGCTGGAGCTGATGTTGAGTTTCGCATGAGGACCAAGAAAGGTCATGAATCTCGCCCTCTTCATTTGGCAGCTAGAATGGGATGTCTTCCCATTTTAAAGCAATTAATCTTGCATGGTTGCCAAATTAATTCAAGAACAGAAACTGGTGACACAGCATTGATGTTGGCTGCTAAAGCTGATCAGGCTGATTGCTTCCTTGAACTTATGATTTCTGGCGCTGATATGGGTCTGGTAAATAAAAGTGGGGACAGTGCAATACAATTGGCAAAAAGAAGCGCGTTTGGATCATCTTTGGTTGGTATCCTTCGTCGGGCTGTTATCACTGGGTCAAAAGTTTGTTCAACCAATCTTGAGGTGTTCTCTTTACTGCACTTTGTTGCTGGATATGGAAACGCACAACTTTTACAGATGATCCTTCAACGTTTGCAAGATGATATAGATAAGCTTGATGGCTTTGGTTTTACACCCACAATGATTTCGGCAAAAGCTGGTCATACTGAGGCCTTCAAACTCCTGATTGATTCTGGAGCTAACATTAGCATCAAAAGCAGGGACGGTCAATCGGTAGTGTCTCTGCTGCAGCACCATGACTATGCTGGTATCAGGATTCGGTTTGAAGAGATATTGCTTGATGCCGCACTTGGTCATAGATTGACAGGTTACTCTGAGTTCAAAGCTCTGCACTTCTCAGCACGTATTGGCAATTTGCCTGCCATGGTTCGACTCTTGGAAATGGGGTTCCCTATAAATTCTGTGGATGATAGTGGGCATTCACCTCTCATGATTGCTGCTAAGGAAGGCCATGCTGATGCCTGCATGCTCTTGTTGCAACGAGGTGCTGTTTGTGGGATTGCCAATTGCAGAGGAGAGACGGCATTATCTCTGGCTAGGAAAAGCAATAAATGTAAGGCTGCAGAAGCAGTGATCTTTGATTATTTGGCTCGTTCTCATGTGCTCTTAGGGGAGGAATTATGGAAGTACACCCGTGATGGTAGAGGTTCACCACACAGAAGGGTTGTTCAGATGCTCAAATCTGGCTTATTAACATGGGGGAAGACAAGTAGGAGAAATGTGGTGTGCAAGGAAGCAGTTGCAGGGCCAAGTGAACACTTTTTAAAGAATCGAAAAAAGTATATTGAGAGTAGAAATCGAATAGTTTTTAGGGTGATAACTGAGACACTGAGGGAGATTCACTTTGAAGCAAGCTCGGCTATAAATTTGGAACTTTGGGTTCATGGCATTAACCTCATCACGAAGGAGGCCGCTTCTGGTGTTTGGGGATGAAACTTGTTAGATAAAAGTAAGATAATTTGCAAGCAGTGTGAAAGACAGGAACTAGGGTTTTTTATTTATTTATTTATTTTTTGTGACTTTGTTGACAACAATTCCCTCTGCTATCTTATGTTTTTGTTTTTGAAGCTAGAATTTAGATGTATAGATGTGATCATGGAATGCAAAATGAAATACCAAGACTTCACTTTCTTGCTGATCTTTGTGAATGCTGCCATTTAAGGTCAAGCATGGTTTTTGAATGGAAGGCAGTCAGAAAGGCCTTTTTGTGAATCAAGTAGCTGTTGATGCTGGCTGTTTTGGAAGAAGTAGCTAAGGTAGGTGTGTGTTTTATGCTTTTTGCAGTTGTTTTGTGTGTTTCCAAAAGCATATTCAAAGAGAAATTGGGTTTCACTTCCTGCTCCTTTTGATTTTCTCGCAGCTATTGAACCTTAAATATATGCAGTCCATATAACAAATGGGGCAGAATGGTAAGCTCTAAGCATATATTCGAAGGAGCTATTGCATTGCAACACCATGAGACAGTAGTTTAAGAAGTCTGAAACAGATAATAGATTTTATCAGAATTGTACGCCATAGTGCATGCTGAGTGCTTGAGCTAATGTTTTGTAACTCGCATTAGCAGATATTCAATAGGTAGAAGTGACCATGTTGTACGAGTCAATAAAATATGTATACTCATCTTGGATTTGCTTTATTTATTTGTGTTTTATCAATTGAACTCCTGAGGAGCAGTACAATCATTTCTATGACCCATTGACAAAATCAGAAAATAATTTCTCACATAGTTCTCTCTTTATTTCCAGGTACTATTTCTGTATTAGAATTTGGATATCTGCTAGTGAAATTTCTGGAATTAGCAAGGAAACTGCAGGAGAATGCAACCGAAGTGTGACTAGAACTTAGGAATCTCTACACTTGTTCTATCCTTGTGGACTCGTTTTACTGCAATCTGTCATAATTGATGTTAACCCCTAGATTGATTGTAAATTTAAGAATCTTGGGATGATCCTGGGGAGTGAAGAGGTGTAATAAGCCCTGTAATAATAAAGAAGTTCTCAATTGACATTTAAAGGACATCTGTATGTAATAACATTTGTTGTTGAGGCATGTATATTTGATGAAGGTGCTTTTCTTGCCAGCCCATTCTTTAGAAATCTGAGACAAAAATTCGTGGCCCCTGTTCATATAGGATGCGAAACGAAACCTACTTGGTGAAGATTGTTCTTGCTGAATTTTTGGCAGCAGCAACAAAGACACTGTTCTAGAAAAAAAAAAAAATGGCAGTCCTGTTCATAACTCCATATTATAATTCAATAGTCTTTTTCTATATTGATATAAATGTTATATTTATATAACGCACAAGTTTGACTGATAAATATTCATTTCTACCCTAAAGAAGACAAAGAAGTATGCTGGATGTGGTTCTGAGTGCTATGGACAGTTATTCATTATATTTAGAATAATAATTTAAACATGGAATGTTCGAAAAGGATGGTGAAGACAAATTTCTTTTCCCTTTTCAGTTTCCCACCCGATCAAAATATTTGTCCATAGCATTGAATTAGTTTAAGCCACCGACGGCTGATGAAAGAGGAATGTATAATAGTCAGGCAACCCAAAGTCAAAAAAATGTGCGGATGGGCCAAAATCCCTGTTGACCAGAACAAAAGAAGTTTCCTTATTCACACGACTTTGTGTTTAGGATTGTAGCACAAGAATTGGATACACCGATGCTTCAAGTAACTACTGTTTCCAAAACAAAGAAATGGTAGCTTAAGTTCAAAAAGTGCGTGGAGTGCACTTAAAAATCACAAAATTCTGTCCCCATACGAAGCTTTTTCATCTTTACCCATCGTAGCGTGTATGGTAGGTAAGTGAGTTTATGTGCTTAGCTAAAGAAACTAATTCAACTAGTTAAAATTAATCGCTGATTACACGTCACTGGTTTAAATGTTGACGTCTCAAACTTTGACCCTTCTATTTCTGTTAGCTTCCACTTCCTTCGAGTTGCCATACCCACTTTGTCCAAAGGTGTTTTGAGTTTTTCCAGTTCAAGATATTCATATTTGATTGCCTCTCTCAGAAACATTCAGAAAATATGATCAAATCGATGCCAGTTTCTACTTTGTTGGTGAATCTTTTCTTCTTTCTCTGTGGCCAAGTCATTTTGATAACTGAGGTGGAAGCCAGTAGCAATGTATGTAAACATTCAAGATTTCCCTTTTTCTCCATACTTATTTTGGTTTTATGAGAAGTAGAACGCATATCAAATCCGTAAGTTGTTATAATGTGAATAAACAGGTTCATATTGTTTATCTGGGAAAGAAGCAACATGATGACCTCAAGCTTATCACAAATTCACATCATGATATGCTCGCTAATGTTGTGGGGAGGTATAACAGATAAACTGAAAGTCTGTGTTCATTAACAATATTTTACAAATAATCTGATCGGTCACTTTCATATGCTGCAGCAAGGAATTGGCATCACAGTTGATGGTATACAGCTACAGACATGGCTTCTCTGGGTTTGCAGCCAAGCTGTCAGAGTCCCAGGCTCAAAAGCTTGCTGGTATGTGAACATATGAAATAAATTTTGCTGCTGATTGCTTTGTTCTTGTTTATTTGTTTACTTGAATGTTTATATGTTTGCAACCGAAAGTTATATTTCCTCTGCAATACATCAGAATTGCCTGGTGTTGTTCGAGTTATACCAAATAGCCTTCTCAAACTACAAACAACTAGGAGTTGGGATTTCCTAGGCCTTTCTTCTCATTCTCCTACCAATGCTCTTCAGAACAGCAGCATGGGCGACGGAGTTGTAATAGGTGTCTTTGACACAGGTTAGTTCTGTCTCTCTCATTCATGCATATGTATATAAAATGAAAAAGTAAGAAACACTAAACAACTTGATGAAACAGGAATATGGCCCGAGTCCAAGTCTTTTAGTGATGAAGCACTTGGACCAATCCCATCCCGCTGGAAAGGAGTTTGTAAATCTGGGAAGCAGTTTAATGCTTCTCATCACTGTAACAAAAAAATAGTTGGTGCCCGTTGGTACATCGATGGATTTCTTGCTGAGTATGGAATGCCTTTAAACAGTTCTGAAAACCTAGAGTTTTTATCCCCAAGAGATGCACACGGACATGGGACTCACACAGCCAGCACTGCAGCTGGAGGTTTTGTTGGCAATGTGAGTTACAGAGGCCTTGCTCATGGAACTATAAGAGGTGGAGCGCCCTATGCTCGGTTGGCAATATACAAGGTCTGTTGGAATGTGCTTGGAGGACAATGCTCATCTGCTGACATATTGAAGGCATTTGATGATGCCATACATGACGGTGTAGATGTGTTGTCGCTGTCTATTGGGACTTCATTTCCTTTGTTTTCACATATTGATGAACATGATGGCATAGCTGTTGGTTCCTTTCATGCTGTTGCCAAAAGAATCACTGTTGTTTGTGCAGCTGCTAATGCTGGACCTTCAGCTGAGACTGTTGAGAATGTTTCACCTTGGATCTTGACTGTCGCTGCAAGCACTATAGATCGAGCATTTCCAACACCCATAACACTTGGGAACAATAAAACTTTCCTGGTATTTTATGAGCTTGCTTTCTGAAAAATTAATGAAAATCTTCTAATTCTGTTTTGTGAATGAAAATCACAGGGTCAGGCCATATTTAGAGGAAAGGAGATTGACTTTAAAGGCTTGGTTTACCCAAAGGCCTCAGGGCTGGACCCTAATGCTGCAGGGTAGTTTGATCTATTGTATCATAGCAACTTGAATTCCATTTAAAAAAAGATTTCTTCATCTGAATTGTGTGCTTGCAGTGTCTGTCAGTCTCTATCACTTGAAGCTACATCAGTAGATGGAAAGGTGGTGCTTTGCTTCACCTCAATGTCTCGTAGAGCTGCAGTAACAAGTGCTGCACAAGTTGTCAAGGAAGCTGGTGGAGTTGGGTTGATTGTTGCCAAGAATCCCAGTGATGCTTTGTATCCCTGCAGTGGTGACTTCCCATGCGTTGAAGTGGACTATGAGATTGGAACTCAGATACTCCTTTACATCCGTTCTACCAGGTAATTAATGTCCATCAACTTCATTGCTTATTATTTTTCATCCTTGGACTAAATACAAACGCAGGTTCCCTGTAGTAAAGTTAAGCCCTTCCAAAACAATACTGGGAAGGCCTGTATCGGCAAAGGTGGCATATTTCTCATCTAGGGGGCCTAACACACTTGCTCCAGCAATTCTTAAGGTACATTCTGTTTCTTAATCATGTTTTTATTTGTTAAATCATTTGAAAACATATTTATTCTGTTCACAGCCAGATATAGCTGCACCTGGGATGAATATATTAGCTGCTACTTCGCCTCATGATGCATTTGAAGACATTGGATATGCAATGCATTCAGGAACATCAATGGCAGCTCCCCATGTCTCAGGCATAGTGGTTCTTCTCAAAGCATTGCATCCTGATTGGTCCCCAGCGGCCATTAAGTCTGCTTTAGTCACAACTGGTATTCTTTAATTGCTTTACTTATCTGCTCCACTGTCTTGAAAGACTGCAAACAGACACTCAATTTTCATAATCCTTAATGCAGCATGGAGGAATCATCCTTCAGGTTTTCCGATATTTGCGGAGGGATCTCCTCTAAAGCTGGCTAACGCCTTCGACTTTGGAGGAGGCATTGCAAACCCAAACGGAGCAGCAGACCCTGGTCTTATATATGACATGGATACAGCTGATTATGTCCATTACCTTTGTGCAATGGGCTACAACGACACTGCGATTTCTAGGCTTACAGAACAACCCACACAGTGCCCCAGCAAAGAACTATCCATTTTGGACGTGAACCTTCCTTCCATAACCATACCAAATCTTAGAAAACCCGTCAACCTCACCAGAACAGTTACAAATCTTGGACCCTCTAATTCCATTTATAGAGCAGTGATTGAGCCTCCATTTGGTATTAATGTATCAGTAAAACCTAGTGTATTACTTTTCAATGATGAAACTAAGAAAATCACCTTCACTGTGACAGTTACTACAACCTACCAGGTGAACACAGGGTACTTGTTTGGGAGCCTATCTTGGACCGATGGTGTACACATTGTGACAAGTCCATTATCCGTGAGAACAGAGATCTTACAACCATATATCGATCAAAACTAAGTATTTATTGAAAAGAAATTTCAGTTATTTCATGTATACCAAGATAATTTAAATTTATCTGAAGGTTTTTTTTTTTTTTTTTTTTTTTTTTTTCAGTAAAACCTAGTGTATTACTTTTCAATGATGAACTAAGAAAAAATTCACCTTCACTGGTGACAGTTACTAAACAACCTACCAGGTGAAAACACAGGGTACTTGTTTGGGAAGCCTATCTTGGAACCGATGGGTGGTACAACATGTGACAAGTCCCATTTAATCCGTGAGAACAGAGATCTACACAACCATAATATCGATCAAAACTAAGTAATTTATTGAAAAGAAATTTCAGTTATTTCATGTATACCAAAGATATTTAAATTTATCTTTTTTTTTTTTTTTTTTTTTTTTTTTGTATTCTTCTATGATCTCAGCCATTCTTTGGAGAAGGTATTTTTTAGTACACAATCTTATCCTTTTTACTAGTCATAGAAGGATTGATTTTTATGAGTTTAATTTCCTTTCAGCTATTTCTACAGATGTTTTTTTCTTATAGATTGTTGTATTATTAAGATATAAGATTACTTATCCCTTGGGGTATAATATTAATGAGTCGTCCATCTCTCTGCTTATGAGAAAGGAAACAAGATGTCCAAGAAGAATACCTTATATTCTGGATCTGAACATTCCTCCCATTACCATTCCAAATCTGAGAAAGTCTGTTACTACAGCATATGGGTACAATAGCATAGCCTAGGTTGTGTCATTTCTTATTCCCTTTTATTTTACAGTGTAATGCATATTTCAAGCAATGATATTCTCAATGCAAAAGGTAGACTGGCTGATTTAATGAAAGAGTTGCAGAGGAAACGTTTGTTTCATGGGAAGTGACAGAAAATGGAAGAGTTACAGAGGAAAGAAGGAGGAGAAGGTGAAGAAGAATCGGGGAAGAAGAATCTGCAAGAGAGAAATAAGGAGGAAGTCTCTCATGTACTAGTTAAACTGCCTTGTAACTAAAATGACTAAATAAAATCGATCCTTGCAGATTTACTTTCTTCTTTATTCTTTTTTACTGACAGCACCTTCAATGGTTCATGTTATCCGTATTCACAACAACGTCTACAGCAATATTTGCATCTGTTTTCACAGCATCTGTATAAACATTCACAACACTCCATCAGCTGCTGGGAATCCTTACCGCCTGCAAATAAGGTCCATATGCCAATGCCTTTCTATGCACTACAGTTAAGTATGATCTTGGAGAGCAGAACATGTTCTACATTGGCTCGATCCCCTGCGTCGTTGATCATCAACATTATTAAATTCTTGTTCCACTTTCACTTTCTACTGATTGGAAGTCTGACCTGGACAAGATCATACCATAAAGAGAGGTTCTAGGGTAAGCATCTATTGCCATCATCTTGCCTAAGTCCTTAGGTGAACATTACAATTTTTAGTTCTCATTATCTATATCACTATCACCTTTCTCCAAGCCATACCTTAAAAGCAGAGTCCCACTGACAAAAATTAAAAGCAAAGGAACAACTAGGATAGAGGAATGCCAAAGAAATCTTATGGCTGGGCCTTAAATAAAGCTATTACACTGCTATTCCAATAATTTATTTTGACCATCAAGCTCTGTGAACAACACAAAATTTTCAAATTAAAAAGTTCTTTTTCTTCTGAATACTTGTGAAACCTATCAAATATCAAGGAGATGATTTTTACTTGACTTCAACATCATGTTTTCCAGCACTTGATAATTACCCAACAGGCTTTTGTGGTCTACTGCACTATATTGACGGAGTAAAAGGCGGGAAAAGGCTGCTAAAATTAAAAGAAAGGGTAGCAACTGGTAGACAAAGGCACCAACTTCAAAATTCCTGCATTTCTTTACAAAAAGTCATGCCTAAAATGATGTATCATACTCCACAATGGAAGTTTGCTCTCACCATCTCTTTCCACTCCACTACCCTAATCAATAACATTTATGTATTTGCTTTTGTACTAGTTGAGCACAGAGCAAAAAAGTGTATCAAAAGAAAAAAGTGTATCACTTTCCTCTTATCCATCAAATGGCTTTAATATATCTACGTACGCTATAATACATAACTAGCTTATAAAACTGATAATTTACCATGGAAATCTAAAATCCCATGATCACTATGTTCATGTCTATTATAAAGATTATCTGATGGATACCAACTTGAAAAATTGGAGAGGATCAAGAAAAAGCCATTTGCTTGTGATTTTAGCTCTATTTTTATTTCAACACCATCTTCATATTTTTGAAATATATGTTCAGGCCACTAAGAAGGTAGGTACGCATCAACTTCAATTTCCAGCATTTCCTCATATGAAGAACTTAAAAGGGAAATGTTTTACAGGTGCATATTGTGTACATGGGAGAGAAGTATGAAGATCCAGCAACTACCAAAAAGTTTCACCATAAAATGCTGTCAACCTTGTTAGGGAGGTAATCCACAGAGCTCATTATAAAATTCAAAAGCTGATATTATGTTTCTTTCTATAAAAAGCCATCAAAAGTTTCTTATATTTATCTTGAAGCAAGGAAGCAGCAAAAAGTTCCATTCTCTACAGCTATAGACATGGCTTTTCTGGATTTGCAGCAAGGCTATCAGAATCTCAGGCAGTAAAAATTGCAGGCACTGTAATTTTCTCAGAACACCACGTGTGATCTATGTTATTTGCAGATCTTATAAGATTGTGGCCCTTAACTTGCAGACTTTCCTGGTGTCATCCGAGTAATTCCAAATAGCATTCACAAGCTCCACACAACTAGAAGCTGGGAATTCATTGGGCTCAATCATCATTCCTCGAGAAATCTATTAACACAAAGCAACATGGGTGAAGGAACTATCATTGGTGTCATAGATTCAGGTATTACCTCTTTAATGCAGATAACCTTTCACAGTAAATCCTAAATTTGAATGTAAATGAAATTGTGCAGGAATTTGGCCAGAGTCCAAAAGTTTTAATGATCAAGGGATGAGGCCTGTCCCGTCTCATTGGAAAGGAATATGTCAAGGGGGAGAACATTTTAACTCATCCAACTGCAATAAAAAACTCATTGGGGCTCGTTGGTTCATAAAAGGATTCAAGGATGTGATTAGTAAGCCTGTTAACACAACTAATAGTATGGAGTTTCTATCACCCCGGGATGGAAGTGGCCATGGCACTCACACGGCTTCAACAGCAGCTGGCTACTTCGTAGAAAAAGCAAGCTATAAGGGACTAGCTGCAGGTGTGGCCAGAGGAGGAGCACCTCTTGCTCACTTAGCAGTATACAAGGTTTGTTGGGACATTGAAGGTGGAGGATGCTCTGATGCTGATATTCTAAAAGCGTTTGATAAAGCCATACAGGACGGAGTGGATGTACTATCAATCTCAATTGGAAATGAAATTCCTTTATTCTCTTATGTAGATCAGCGTGATTCAATTGCAATTGGTTCCTTCCATGCAATATCAAATGGAATCCCTGTGATCTGCTCTGCAGGAAATGATGGTCCAAACTCACAAACAATTGTGAACACTGCACCTTGGCTCATCACTGTTGCAGCCACTACGATTGACAGGGCTTTTTCAACAGCAATTACTCTTGGAAATAACAGAACACTACGGGTAAAGTAACAATTATTGAAAGCGAATGGGAATCAGGCATTTTGTCGGTCTCTTTGTTATCATTTTGTTTGTTGCAGGGAAAATCTATTGATGTAAGCAAACATAGCCATGGGTTTTTTGGCCTTACGTATTCTGAACGCATAGCTGTTGACCCCACAGTTGACTCTGCGTAAGACCTTAATTTGCTTTCCTTTCTCTTCCTTTTTCTTTATAAATATTTGTCCCCTCTCCTTCTATATTCTGTGTCTCTAAAATTCCGTTTCTTCAGTAAGGATTGTCAACTTGGAAGTCTGAATGCAACATTAGCAGCAGGGAAGATCATTCTGTGTTTCTCAAAATCAGATGCACAGGATATAGTTGCTGCATCAATATCTGTGTTCAAAGCAGGAGGGATAGCACTCATATTTGCACAATATCAAAATGATGGACTTAAACCCTGCAAATTGATTGCATGTGTTAAAGTAGATTACGAAATGGGAACACAAATACTTTCTTATATTAGAAAAGCAAGGTAAGGAAAATGTAAGCTAACACGCCCCAATGCAGACACACACAGAAAAAACATGGCTGTTAGACAAAAAGAATACTAATTTCTTCACATGTACATGAAGGTTTCCAATTGCAAAGTTGAGTTTTCCCAAGACTGTAATTGGCGAACAGGCATCTCCACAAGTTGCACCATTCTCATCCAGAGGACCAAGTTCGATTTCCCCAGCAGTGCTAAAGGTATTGGCCGACAAATTATCCTCCCATTTAATGCCACTATGAATGTGATTGGTGAAGGAATCATCAAGCAATCATCCATAATACTGTAAAACTTAAACTTGAAAATATGAGGTGAAAAAGAGCAAATACAAAGAACAAGGGATGAGATTTGGAAGCGCATTATCCATGGAAAAGCATGAAGCTTTGGCTTGAGGCATGCTATTTTAGAATTTCAGATTATGAAAAAAACCACTTAAGTAATAGACGAATATTCCAAAGAATTAAAAATCTGCAGAGAAATATCTAAATATTTAGTATAATTTAAAATAAAGGAAGGAAGTGCTTTTAGTGATTATTTGCTATTGTTTATATTTGTTCTGTTAAACAAGTGCAAAACTAAACAATCACAGAATAAAGTACCTGGTTTCCAAAAACATGCTAAGCAATTATAGAACTGCTGAGAAGTTCCAAAGAATTTTCCTCTGAGATCATCTCAAGTTCTCAACACCATAGAAGTGGTTGATTATTAATTGTTATTATCTTTTAATTATCTAGAATGTCTAACACCTACTCCACTTTCTTTCTTTTTATCCCTAATGATGGTGGTAGCCTGACATAGCTGCCCCAGGCGTGGATATATTAGCTGCATATGGACCGGCTGCGAAAAATGAAAATGACCACACCTATGCTTTGCTATCAGGCACATCGATGGCTTGTCCCCACGTAGCAGGAATAGTGGCTCTCATAAAATCTATACACCCGAACTGGTCTCCTGCAGCCATACGATCAGCTCTCGTCACCACAGGTGAGTGACATACAAAACCATACTATTCACTAGCTGTTTAGAGCACAATAACTAGCTGTAAAATGCAAATCATAGCAAAAATATGACCCCATCATGGAAAATGCAGCTTCCCAAACCGGTACGGATGGAATGAACATATATGAGGAAGGCCCCACCCGCAAGCCAGCAGACCCATTTGATATAGGTGGAGGACAAGTTAATCCTGAGAAGGCAGTTGATCCAGGGCTTGTTTATGACATTAGCACGGAAGACTATGTTCAATTCCTCTGCTCCATGGGCTACAGCAGCTCATCCATTAGCAGCTTAACCAAGGCCGCCATAAACTGCAAGCAAAACTACCACATTAAGTTGAATCTGAACCTCCCTTCTATCACTATCCCAAATCTAAACAGAAAATTAACGGTGTCGAGAAAGGTGACAAATGTTGGAACCATAAATTCGGTGTATAAAGCAATAGCGCAGGCTCCATTCGGCATAAGGATGACAATAGAGCCACAAATTTTAAGCTTCAACTCGACCACCAAAAGTGCTTCCTTTGAAATTACCTTCTTTTCGACTCAAAAAGTGCAGGGATATTACAAATTTGGGAGCTTGACATGGACCGATGGCAAGCATTTCGTTAGGAGTCCAATAGCAGTAAGGGATATTAAATCATATGCAGATGTATGAAATTGCGGAAATATTGAATGCTATGCATTATGCAATAAAGAAATTTTAGCGAATTTGATAATTTGATTGCTTGCCTCTGTTTAATCTTTAGAAATCACCATCTCTGTAACTCCAATTTGAGCTCTGACACCGAGAGAGAAGCAACCAATTTACCGGAAGAGAACTGCAATAATTTGTAGAGCCAATAAACGATGATACGATCTGTAGCTGAATTGATCAACCGTATGGCTTTACGTGCATGGCGCTATTGAGTTAAATTTATTAATATAGTTAAATTAATAAAAAATATAATCAACAAAATTAAAAGTACTTTGTAATATAGTTATACAATAAATTTCACAAACCGTGTTCCAGTAACAACATTTCAAAACAATTTTTTTCTTAAAAGCAACAAGAATGTAATTAAATTTGTTAATTAAACTCACACCTAGATTAAATTTGCTAAATAAACTAAATATAAATACTATTTAATATTTATATTCAATACTAAATAAAACTGTTTATCATCTCAAAAAAAAAAAAAAATGTTTAGGTCGGCCCATTAATGAGGTCCAACGTTATGCATGGGCTAGTTGAGACGAGAAGCCCAGCCCCAGCAAAGTTAGAGATTAACTCGCAGAGATGCAGACGGGGGATTTTATCCGAAACTTCAATTTTCTTCTCTTCTGCTCTGCTGACACTAACCGACCATTCCCTCCCTCCCTTGCTCCTTCGCTGCAGTAATGGCGGCTCCTTCTCTCCCCGCATATCATCATCTCAGCTCTTCGTTTTCGAAGAAAAATAGCTCTTGCAACCATTACATTGCTAGTAATGTTGACATTAAGCTGCGCTCTTCTCTTTTAGCTTCGCCCATTAGCTTGTCTTCAAACCCCAATTTTTCTCTGCAATTCCTTGACAGGAAACACTCTCCTCTTCTTCCCTCAACTCCCTGGCGTCTCTCTGTCATTGCAATGGCTCCCCCTAAGCCAGCTGGCAAGACCAAGAAAGGTATGTCTGTACATACACAACCGTGGTATACTCAATTTTTTTTTATCCCTTTGATTTTCCTTTTCTGGTTCCATAATTCAATTCTAATTGCTTACGTTTTAGAAATTTCTGTTTTGTTCTCTGTGTTGCAGTGGTTGGATTGATAAAGCTGGCTCTCGAGGCCGGTAAGGCAACTCCTGCTCCTCCTGTGGGGCCAGCACTTGGTGCTAAGGGCGTAAACATTATGGCCTTCTGTAAAGATTACAATGCCAAAACTGCTGATAAAGCCGGCTATATCATTCCTGTTGAAATTACGGTCTATGATGTTAGTTCTATCATCCTGGGTTTTTGTTTTTGCATTGCAAATTCTTCAAACTTTTTGTGGTTTTTATGCTCCTTTCCTTTTTTGTTTATTAAAATATCATTTTCTTGCTTTTTTATGATTAATTCAGGATAGAAGCTTCACTTTCATTTTGAAGACACCACCTGCCTCAGTTTTACTGCTTAAGGCTGCAGGTATGCTCGTAATTCTATTACTCACCAACTGTTTGATGTTTTGTCCCTATAACATTTGTTCATTCCTCGTTTTATTCCCATTCCGTTTGAATTATTTTGCAATTTTATAATAGTGTTAGTTGTTACACCAATAGTTAAAACAATTGGACTATTGAAGGCTTCAAACCATCTAAGAGATGCATGCATGTGCAATGCACAATGAGCCATCAAGAGTGGCTATAGAACAGTCAAACGATTAAGATCATTTAAGTTGGCAGCCTTTTGCACTATATAGGTTCTAGTTTGTGGCAATGCAAGTAATATGCTTCATATTTTTGCAAATAAAAATCAATTGTTGGGAACAAGCTGAGTAGCTGAGTTGTACTTGAGTATGTATGAACAATAAATCGTGTTTGAAGAGCTGGAAAAGGCTCAAGTTTTAATAGGTAGCGTTACAAGGGTGTTTTACACCTTTTTGAGGTTTGGTATAGTACCTGATGGAGGACCAGAATCTTTATTGTTTTGTGGATGTTTATATCCCGTGTATGACCTAGATGTATGAGGTCTGCCTTGGTGGCTATTTGGAGATGGTACCTATAACCATAGTGAGGTAAAAAAAAAAAAAAAAAGATGTTGAGGCATATGGTTGAGCAATAATCTATAAGTCATCATCCTCACGCTCCTTTATTTTCATTGTGCCTGTGGTGATTAGTAGCATGTGATTCTAATCATTCTATCTATCTCAAGAAAAGAAACATGGGATTCTTAATTTTTCTGACTATGATGATTTGATAAATGAAATTTGGTACTCAGTCATTAATGTGCCCCTAAAGCATATGAACATGCATAAAGCAGCCTCAGTGGTGCCAGAGCTAGCTTGTTGTGCCTTAGTCCTTATAAGAACTGGGTGTGTGCTCAACTTATGATCTCACTGAACCTTGTCATCTATACACAGCTCTTGTTGAAATGAAACATAACTTATTCTCCTGTCTTAAAGTTCTTTTTGTTATTTAATTCTGTTTTGCTCCCATCCCAAATCAAGTGTTGTATGACTTTGTTGATTCTTTTCCATCATGGTTATGTGGTTAGTCCTAGGAAACATGATAAGTCACTAGCCATTTTATCCCCTTGTCATTGTAGAATAGTAATAGTATAATATCATTGTACATAGTTTTGTGATCAAGCATTCGATTAAAATTTTTTATGATTGTAACATAGTTATTTGCGGTACTGGGTGATTAGGAGTGGAGAAAGGTTCTAAAGACCCGCAAAACGAGAAAGTGGGAAAGATCACAATTGACCAATTGCGTGCGATAGCCACTGAAAAGCTACCAGACTTGAATTGCACCACCATTGAATCAGCAATGAGAATTATAGCAGGCACTGCAGCTAACATGGGGATTGATATTGATCCTCCTGTTCTTGAACCCAAAAAAAAGAAGGAAGTCTTTTATTATTGATGTCTGTATTTAGAATTATCTAAGAAATCAATTTGAATTTTTGCCGGCCATGGCATGCGATGTTGTCCTTTTCCAAGTAGATGTCAATAGTTCTGCTGGAAAAACCAAATGAAGTGGTGGGGACAAGCTGTGGATAATGAAGCCAAAAACGCGAGGAATTAATATTATCATATTCTGAACACTGTTTTGGTTAAAAATTTGTTTTGTGATGATTGTTTGCAGCGAAATTAAAAGATGATTTGTTTTCAACGCAACATCAAAGACACGTAGAGAGAAGAATATACTGGTTGCTAGTGAAATTATATCAATACATAAATGATGATGCCCGAGCCAAGAGTCTCCCTTGTTCTTATTCTTATCTAGTACCATTTCGCCAGTGGTTGGTACACAACTGTCATTACATGCCAACTTCTTTCTCTGTTTACTTCTTTTGAAAATTTTGGAACATGTTTTCGACAAAGATACATTTTTTTTTTTAGTTGAAAGTATTTATTTCCTGTTGCATTCTTCCTTTTTCCTCTCTTTTTGAAGAGTATATAATATAATCTCTCGTCCAATTAAGAAATAAAGAAAAGGTTCATTATAGTATTTATTTAAGAAACAGAGGATAAAAAAAAAAAAAAAAAAAAATTATACTTGGTTGCTAGTTTTTGAAATTATTATCATACATAAATGATTTGATGCCCGAGCCAAGAGTTCTCCCTTGTTTCTATTCTTATCTAGTACCATTTCGACAACATGTTGGTACCAACTGTCATTACCATTTTCGCCAACTTCTTTTCTCTGTTTATTTTCTTTTTGAAAATTTTGGAACATGTTGTTCGACAAAGATTACATTTTTTTTTTTAGTTTGAAAGTATTTATTTCCTTGTTTGCATTCTTTCCTTTTTCCTTCTCTTTTTTGGAAGATATATAATATAATCTCTCGTTCCAATTAAGAAAATAAAGAAAAGGTTTCATTATAGTATTTATTTAAGAAAACAAGAGGTAAAAAAAAAAAAAAAAAAAAATACTAGTACTTTTTGGTAAAAAAAAAAAAAAAAAAAAATACTAGTACTTTGGTAGGTAGGAATAGTATCCAATATCCGTGGCGGCCCATAAGAGGGTAGAAAGGTAAAAGCGAGCATTACTTTAATGTTAATTATTTACTATGAAACAAATTTGCTTTACAGACGGAAACAAACGCTGGTTATGATTTGTATTGGAGCTGTCTGTATCCACTTATAAACCACACTCAGCTCTCATCATGATTTGGAATATATATATGTATGTTTTCATCTTATGACATATTCTTCTTCTCCGTCCATCTGAGAAAGACAGAATCCTCCGTCACTAGTACGACCTCAACGAATCCATCCACTTGATCCCTAAGGTACTTTCTTTCCTTATTCCCCTCTTGTTTACTCGATTATTATTTATTCACGCTATATTGTTCGATCTATTTGCCGAAATTTTCAACTTTCTTGGATCTAAAAGGGAATCTTCTAAGTTCAATATTATTTTTGGTATAGCATTTTAAAAGTTCGATTACCTTTTGCCCTTGCTGTAAGTTTTATATTTTGTTTTGGTTTGTTGGTGTCGTGAAATTTTGCTTCTTTTACTCATCTTTTTTCTTTTTTCAGGGTCCTTTTTTTTCCCTCTTTCTTTCGTTCAATAATATTTTTATGGTTCTATCTGGCTTTGTGTGATTTCAGGATATGTGTTGGTCTTCTGTCTAGGACTTTCAAGGATTAATTATATCTATATAGTATGGTGGTTTTCTGGTTAATGCTGGTCATTGAAGTTTGTTAATATAATTTTTTCTGTTTTAGAAAATTCAAACGTTTATAGTTATATTGCGAGATTGTTTTGTCTTCGCTGTTCAGTGGGAGGAAAGAGTCCGTTAAGTGTGATATTGCTTTTTGAAGAGGAAAATCAATAGCTGGCTTATATCACTCTATTGAATTGTTTTTCTTTTCTAGTCTGCTCATATGCTCGAATAAAACCATCGCGATATTGAAATGATTGTATAAGTAACTGTTGACTATCTCACGAGATATTGATTGAATTGAAAGGACACTTATCATTCTTGTGCCTTCACATCATTTGATCAAAGCAATATACATGGTAACAATGATTAACAAAAGATGTAGCATCCAATTCAAGAACAGATCCCAAACTTGATATGGTAGGCAAGAGTTGCCAACTTGGCCTCATATGATTCATATTTGAGAATTTTCTGGGTTGCAAAAGATTATTTTAGATGTACTTATTTTTGAAGGCACATATGTATTTTACGTTCATTCTTATGCTCTAGAATGATGAAAGCATAATTAGAATTCTAAGATGAACTGTTATAAATGGCTGAAGTCAAATGTAATTGTTTATGGATGGGAGCTTTATAGTGTCTTTTATTTGGACATGACCAGATAATAGCAATCAATTGACATGAGATATTTAATCATTGCCAACAGACTTGAATGAATATTTCTGGATTAAATTGATGCTTTTGTTGGTTAAATTCAGATGGAAGTGCAAAATTCTGAACCTGCTCATGTAATTGAGGTCCACAGAGATGTACCATCCATTGAACGGAATCTGGCTGGGAGTAAGATTTGTGGGGGAGCAGCATGTGGATTTTCAGATGCTGGAACCAGTTCTAAAGATGCAAAAGAACGATCAGCGTCCATGCGGAAGCTTTTGATTGCAGTTGTGCTTTGTGTTATCTTTATGAGTGTAGAAGTTGTTGGTGGCATCAAAGCCAACAGTCTTGCGATCTTGACTGACGCTGCTCATTTGTTATCAGATGTTGCAGCATTTGCAATATCCTTGTTTTCACTTTGGGCATCAGGATGGGAGGCAACCCCGCGTCAGTCTTATGGTTTTTTCAGGATTGAGATACTTGGCGCACTGATTTCCATTCAGATGATATGGCTCCTTGCCGGGATCCTTGTATATGAAGCCATTGCGAGACTTATCTATCACACCGGTAAAGTTCAGGGTTTTCTTATGTTTGTTGTCTCTGCGTTTGGTTTGGTGGTTAATATTGTCATGGCACTCTTGCTGGGTCATGAGCATGGTCATAGTCATGGCCATGATCATGGGCACGGCGGGGAGGATCATGGTCATGCACATAACCATGGGCTAAACATAGATACGCGTCACCACCACCATCATCATGAGAGGAGCTCTGAGCACTATGATGAGCATCATCATACTCATGATTCACATCATTCTGAGCCTCTTCTCAGGACGTACTCAGAAAGTGAGCCTAAAAAAAAGAAACAACGGAACATCAATGTACAGGGGGCTTATCTCCATGTGTTGGGAGATTCCATTCAAAGCATTGGGGTGATGATTGGCGGGGCAATAATTTGGTATAAACCAGAATGGAAGATTATTGATCTGATATGCACTCTTGTATTTTCAGTAATTGTATTAGGCACAACGATCAGGATGTTGCGGAATATTCTGGAGGTTCTGATGGAGAGTACACCGAGAGAGATTGATGCTACTAGACTTGAGAAGGGTCTCTGCGAGATGGATGAGGTGGTTGCTGTCCATGAACTGCACATTTGGGCCATAACAGTAGGGAAGGTTCTATTGGCTTGCCATGTTAAGATCAAACCTGAGCCTGATGCTGACATGGTACTTGACAAGGTCATAGACTACATTAGGAGAGAATACAATATCAGTCATGTAACCATTCAAATAGAGCGCCAGTAAGTAGAGGTTATACACTGTTTGATTAATATCAGCTGTATGGTTCAGAACAATTTAGTCTATAATTCTTTTTTCATCTGTTAAAAGATCATATCATTGACTGCTTTTTATGAGATAGAGTGAAGGGCTTTTGGCTCATTTCTCATGAGCCATTCACATAATTTAACCTTTTTCATGGTGAATGTCTTTCTTTGTTGTCTGCAATCAGTTTTACCGCAAGCGTTAGCGCGGAAAATGGAAAAAAAATGTAATAGAAAATTCTTCTGTGTCAACCCTAGCCTTCTACCTTCGGTCTAGCTATCCCCTCCTTAGCCAGGTCAGACCCAACCTTTATAAAAATGGATTCCTTTTTGGAACGCTTATGAACATATCTCCAGCAAAATTCTCAATGATAATATCGAATGATTACTGGAATTAAATGAACCAGTCTCTGAAGTTCCTTTAAAAGACTGAAAATGTTGAGCTTGACAAGTAATTTTATAGGCCAAATACATATAACTCTGCACATTTTGTGGAAAAACCGTGTGACATTTTAGATTTTGTGTAGGACATATTACAAGTTGCGAATTTTAGTCATATTATATACATCTCTCCACTTCTAATGATAAATTTTAAGATTTTTGACTTTTTATGAAAAATATTGATTTTGTGTGATTAGGACATTTTTGAAAATAATAATTTTTAAATTTTCAATAAGTCGTTAGTCATTCTAATTATCTAACCTATTTTATACCATATGATATTATCTGTTGAAATGATATTAAAATTAATAATAAATAAAAGTTATATGTATGAAAACGGTAACCATAAAAATAAAACAACACTTTCAGTGTCCATTTATAATGATAAATAACTTATTTTACTGGTATAGGAAAAAACTAATCATTTTAAAGAAAAATGGTTTTCATTTCCAAAAACATTTTTTTATTTTTACATGTTGACAAATTGAGTATAATTTTATAAAATCCAAAGGTTACCCTTCTGATGGGCAGTCATATAGGTTCTTTTTGGCTATAGTATGGGGTCTTGTGGTCAGCTTGATATGATTATCTTGCTCGCTCGATACGTCATTAAGAATTGCAGAGGCAATATAAATTTTTGTCCAAGAGTTGTGTCACTTAGGAAACTTTCGGTAATTTTAACAAAATATTTCTCTGTCTATTGCTTAGTATTCTGCTTGACTGAATGCTTCCTAAAATTAACCTGTAGGAAACATTGAAATCAAGTTTGAACCATTCCATGTCGAAGCTTTCAAGCCCAAAAGTCCAATGATATACTCCTTTGGACTAAAAAGCCCTAAACGAAGGCTAGTTCTAGAGCCGATATCTTTTGTACGTCTAACGGACAGCTCGTATAAGGTCTTTTAGGCAATAGTTTAGGGTCTTGTGGTCAGCCGAACATATCTATCTCGCCTGCTCGATGTATCATTAAGAATTGCATACACAATATAAATTTGTGAGCAAGATCCGTTAAACTTGGGAAACATTTGGTAGTGTGGCCCAACATCTCTCCTTCTGTTGCTTCGCACGTTATTTTGAGACCATAATATTTCATCTATGGACTTGTAGGAAGCATTGAAATCAAGCTTGGGTCATTCCATGTCGGATCTTTTGGGCCCAAAAATCCAAAGGTACCCCTTTGTTCAAGGAAGCGTTGTACGAAGGCATGTTCCAGAGTCGATATCTTCTGTATGTCTCATGGGCAGCTCATACAGAGTCTTCTAGTCAATAGTTTAAGGTCTCATGATCAGCCTGATATGCCTATCTCGCCTGCTCGATGCATCATTAAGAATTGCATATGCAATATAAATTCATGCACAAAATCGGTGCCACTCCAAAGCATTCGACAGTTTTGGCCCAATATCTTCAGTCTGTTGCTTCCCACACTATTGTGAGACCATAATATTTCATCTATAGACCTGTAAAAAGCATTGAAATTAAGCTAGGCCCATTCCATGCCTGAGCTTCTGGTTCCAAAAATCCAAAAGTATACCCCTTTGGTTTAAGAAGCCTTGTATGAAGGCCTGTTCCGGAGCTAATATATTCTGTACGTTTGATAGGCAGCTCGTATAGGGCCTTCTATGTGATACTTTAGGGTCTCATGGTCAACTCAACATGCCTATCTCACTTGCTCGATGCGTCATTAAGGATTACATATGCAATATAACCTCATGCGCAAAATCGATGCCACTTCGGAAGCATTCGGCAGTTGTGGCCCAATATCTCTCATGTTGTTGCATCCCACGCCATTTTGAGACCACAATATTTCATCTATAAGCCTGTAGGAAGCATTAAAATCAAGCTTAGCCCATTTTATGTTGGAGCTTCCAGGCCCAAAAATCTAAAGGTAATACCCTTTTGGTCTAAAATGCCATATATGAAGGCTTGTTCCAGAGTTGATATCATCTCTACGCCTGTCAGGCAGCTTGTATAGGGTCTTCTAGGCGATACTTTGAGGTCTCGTGGTCAGCTAGCATGCCTATCTCTCCTGCTCGATATGTTATTAAGAATTGTATACACCATATAAATTCATGTGCAAAATCGATGCATCTCTTGAAGCAATCGGTAGTTTTGGACCAATATTTCTTTGTTTGTTGCCTAACATGCCATTTTGAAGCCATAGTATTTCGTCTAAGACCTGTAGAAAGCATTGAATTCATTTTGGGCCATTCCGTGCCGGATCTTCCAGGCCCAAAAATCCAAAGGTATACCCCTTTGGTATAAGAAGCCCTGTTTCGGAGTTGATTTTTTTTATACGCCTGACGGTGAGCTCATATAGGGTCTTCTAGGCTATACTTTTGGGTTTCAGGGTCAGCCTGGCATGCCTCTCTCGCCTGCTTGATGCGTCATTAAGAATTTCATATCACTCATGCGTAAAATCAGTGCCACTATAGAAGCATTCGGTGATTTTGGTCCAATATCACTCTGTCTATTGCTTGGCACACTATTTCGAGACCACAATACTTCGTCTAAGACTTAGAGGAAGCATTGAAATCATTTTTGGTCCATTCTGTGTTAGAGCTTCTGGGTCCAAAACCCTTTGGTCTAAGAAGCCCCGTATGAAGGCTTATTCCAGAATAGATATCGTCTCTACGCGTGACGGGCAACTCGTATAGGGTCTTCTAGGTGATACTTTGAGGTCTCATGATCAGCCTGATATGCCTATCTTACCAACTCAATGTAACACCCCTTCCCGGTCCACCCGTAAACCCGAATGAACCGAGTCGAGATGTTACAAAACTGGTTGACTGTATGGTCTGACATTTGGTCTAAAAGAGAGCGCCTAGATGAAGGGACTATTTTTACAGAATAGATAGTCGTCATGCTACCGTGACGGGCGCAACTCGTATTAGGGTCTTCTAAGTGATTAGCTCTTGAGGGTCTCATGAATCAGCCTGATATGCCTATCTTACGCAACTTCAATGTAACACCACCCTTCCGGGCGCACACGTGAAAAATACGAATGGAAGTAACCGGAAGTCGAGAATGTACAAAGAAACTGGTGTGAGCTGTATGGTCTGAATGATCTGATATATGCCGTGAAAACATACTAGTATTTGTTGCATATAATTTAACATGCGCTGACTAGGCGTTATCAAGAAAGTAATGGTAATTTATATTTACAAAACATGATGACAAGTTACAAATGAAGACTGGGCAATTGAGGATGTGGCCTGTCATGCATAAAAAGAAAAACAAAATGAGTTTCTAGCTCTGCAAGCGACGTCCTCTACGGAATGAAAGGCAGCAGTTTGTACCGCGGAACGGAGAAGTCCTCTATGGAAGCAGTCGGCAAAACCTGCGAGTTGGAAAAACAGTAACGTCGCTGAGTGCAAGGCATAATGCTCAGGTGGATTTCGTCAACAAATAAGAAGAACGCAATTAAAACACCATACATGTAAGAAAGAACATGGAAACATATATGGCAATAGTAAGCTCACACATTATGGATACGTTTCCATAATATATGATTATGGTTGTTGTACTGTGTAATAATCCTGTATAATTCATTCGAAATGTTTAGTCAAGATATTGAATGGCTCATAAGGTTTAATAGTGAAACCGAATGTGAATAATACAGAGTAGACTGATGAACTGGATGAGACTGTATGCTGATAGGCCCCGAATCGCCTATCAATATTGTTCCGTTTTTGGTGCCCTCACGGATTCGCACCGCACGGTTTTAATCCTATCCATTCAACGGCCTGTAGCCGGAAGCTGTCCAAACTGTATGGAGCGCAGATCTGCTATTTCATGTCTGCGGACATAGCCTTAATCTAGCATGGTTTCGTTACGCAACCATCATGGAAGCTTCATTATTAAGGCACTAATCAACAATGTAACACAATAGCACAATAAAACTGGGTGTTTTACAACTTCATAGGTTCAGTATTGTGTTGATTTCACACCTATCTAAAAGTGCTTACATGTATATGTTTTAAATCATGTTCTTATGTTGTATTTTTGTTTGTAAAATGAATTGGGATGCATGCATGTTGAGCAGAGGAATGTGAATTGGCAATAGCAAATGAAAGCAAAAGACACAAAAAGCATCAGTCGCGAGCGCGACATTCCAAGTCGCGAGTGCGAGATGCTTCCCAGAGAGAAGTCGCGAGCGCGTCTTCAAACCTCGCGAGCGCAAGAAATGCATTTGAGAGTCAGAGGGTTTTCTGGCTCAAGTCGCGACCGCGCAGCACACGTCGCGAGCGCGCTTGTGTGATTCGCGAGCGCGAGATGCGCACACTGAGAGTCAGAGAGCTTCTGGCCAAAGTTGCGACCGTGCATGTGATCCTCGCGAGCGCGAGTTGTGCAATTGAGAGTCAGAGAGCTACCTGACTCAAGTCGCGAGCGCGCAATAGGAAATCGCGAGCCAAAGTCGCGGACCGGCAAGCGCATGGTGATCGCGCTCCGTCGAGTGCGAGTTGGTCCATTTGAGAGTCAGAGAGCTACTGAATCAGTCGCAGCGCGCAATAGAATCGCGAGCGCGACCTTGGCTTCCAGTTTATGCGGAGCGCGCGGACGTGATTCTAATGCAGTCTGTTTCTTTTGCCATGAAGCCTCATTATACAACTATCAAATTGATATTCAAAAAGCCCATGTTAAGCTACACAGAAAGGAACAAATAATCTCTTAGAAGCATTCCTAATTCCATCATATATGGC